TGTATAGGAATATGAATTATGGACTTAAAAAGATGGAATGACGCTCTACTTTACAAAAATTGTCGTTTGAAAAAAATAATAAAATATTTTGATTTTTTCTTATTAATAATATCAATTATAGTTTTAAACATCTCTCACATAGGAAAATATTGCATAAAATTTCAGTGAACATTATTGTTCAGAAAGAATCAGATGGAAATGGAGTATATCGTAATAGATGATGACAGTGTAAATAATGTTTCTTCATATACATATTTAAATGCATATACTTCATGCTTTTCAAAAGAAGTAGGCACGCTTGTTAATTTTGTACAAGTATTCAATGGGTCCAATAAATATTGTTGACTTAATTTGTCTAGTTTTTGTGACCATATTGACACATATATTCGGTTCATTCACATATACACAATGTGTCATTGACTCGTTGATAATGTCATTCCGTGGTACATCGATGTTAGAAAAATGTGGGTCCGTTTGCGATGACTTTCTTGCGATGTCTTTTTCATTTAAGATGTATAATACAGAAATGGATTTCTTCTTCTTCCTTTTTTTCACTGCAAAACAAAACAACGGAGTTGAATCTTCCAAAAACTACATTATGTGAGGAAATAAGGATTTGTCACATTGGATGGAGTCTTGTGGACATATTTGTCAAAGATATTGGGTCAATTCGGAAACTCGGAATCCTGAAGTGTCCTTTGTATGGTTAATTAACCAGTGTTGTCTTCACATGGCATCTTCTTGGTGAAGAATGAAGAAGATGCAGTAGATTAATCTTTCACGTCTTCCAAAACCAAAAAAGAAATGTTATACTACTGACTTAATTAGTGTTTTGGTTACGATATCATAAAACAAAAGCAAGACAATAACGGCAACAATGATCTCTACGTGTCATCTTAGAATATATGGACTCGGTTATACAATTAGTCCCGATAATAATTAATGATAGCAATGACTTTGGTAAAGTAAGAAGAAAAATCGTAGTTAGTGGAATATAAAGCTTCAATTAAAGCCATGGTCAACTTTTACATGTATGTTAACACAGGTGTCGTACTGATCGGCATTTATCTAAAGTTTCATTTTACAAAACAACCATAAACAAAAACCCCAATTACTTGAAAGCAGTCTCAAATGGAACCAAACTTTAACAAAAATACCGCGACTTCCAAAACCTATAAATCTATCTTGTGGGCCCATACTGGATCCACATGTTAATCTTAGCATGACACCATGGGCCATAAGGCCCATCTGATCAAAAGCAAAAAGTGACGTGCTAATCTTGTTTATGTAAATCTATGAAGAAAAACTAAACTAATCAGCATCTTAAAAGATGCGGAATCTCGATTTCGTTCCAACTCAGGTAAATCCATCAAATGTACCTAATTCACACTAACGTGAAACTAATCCCATTTTTTTTAAACAATTTGTAACACTATTAGGTAACTAATCATCGATGACGGCTTTTTTCTGTTTCTTGTAAACAATTAATTTGCATAAGAATTTTTATGGAGAAAAATGAGCCACCGTTTTAGACTGTTAAACGCATGCGTCTTAACTAGGCCAAAACAAAAAATCTCTCTTACCCTTCACACCTCTTTTCCTCAAAAACCCTAGATCCCTCTCTCTCTCTCTCTTTCGTCTTGCCTTTTATGAAGCTTCCCTTAATTTATAATACATCACTTTAACTAGATTATTACTCTCTCCCCTCTCTTTATTTACTAGAGCTTCACCGTGAAGACGAGCGAGACTCCCGTTTTGCCAGATCTGCTTCTGTTTCCTTCTTCGCTTGCCTCATTACACCTTCACATTTATGGTGATTCTCTCACACTATTTTTTTTTTCTTTCCAAATTTTGTTTTTCCCCATCCGAAATTCATCTACTTTCTTCCTGGGTTTTATCTAAATCAAGTTTTTTTTTCCAGGATTTAGCGTGCGATCTCGTTGAATTTCCAGCTGATTTTTCACGATTGTACATTTTTGTTTTATCCTGCAGATCTATCTGAAGGAAGCTACGAGCTGCGTTTGATAGTCGAAGATAAAAACAAACCAAAAAAAAACTTCATCTTCCTCGAGAGAGACTTGCTTCTTCTTCCATTTTCGTTGCCATCAAATGGCAATGCCACCTGGAAATGCTGCTCCTTCCGATAAATTGCAGTTTCCGCCCGCCGCGGTCGCCGCCGCCGCCGGAAACTGGATCCCGGACGGGCGAGACGGGTTTATCTCGTGGATTCGCGGCGAGTTCGCTGCGGCTAACGCGATCATCGATTCGCTCTGTCAGCATCTGGTAGCGATCGGGGATCAGAACGAGTACGAAGGCGTGGTCTCGAGCATCCAGCAGCGTCAATTAAACTGGTCTCAGGTTCTGTATATGCAGCATTACTTCTCGATCGCGGAGGTCTCTTACGCTCTACAGCAAGTTGCTTGGAAGCGGCAACAGAAAGTGTTGCCTCATCAGCAACCACCTCAGAGGCATTACAATTCCGATCAGGTTGGGAAATTCGGAGGAGGAAGGAGATCAGGGCCTGGGGTTCACAAACAACAGCATCATAATGGCGGTGGTGGTTACAGAGGAACTGAGTCAGTGGCGAGGAACGGGCATCAAACGAATTCGGATTGTCACAGCACTGATCGAGAGGAAGCTAAGCTAGCAAGTGATGTTGCAAAGGAGAAGAGAGGTAATGAGAATAGTATTTGGTTATTGGCTTCATTGCTTGCTTGCTTGTGAGAAAAGTAAACTTTTTTTGGCTGCTTAATCCTATCTGAAATTTGGTGTGAGATAGTGCATGGTTTGATAATGCAAACTTGTTTGTAGTCTCTAGACTCTCTACTGGTTTTATATGTATGAGTTGAGGCAATGTTACATTTATATTCTTGTTTTGTGGGACAGATGGTAGCGAGAAACCAAAGAGGGATAGTAAAGATTTGGAAGAGTCTAAGTCTGCTGATGCAGAAACCCAAACGGAGATAGTGAAGCATAACTGTATCTCAGCTTCTAAAGGTATTTTGGAGAAACTGAATTTTTTTTATTTCTTTCACCTATATTTGAGATGTTTCTGATTCTGTGTTTTTGCTCTTTCTTTCAGAGAACAGTCTCGGTTCTGAGAAAAAGCAGGAGGAGAAAGATAAAGAGTGTCCTGCAAGCATGGCAAAGACTTTTGTGATCCAAGAGATGTATGAAGCGAAAATGGTGAGTTGGATCTTCTTAAAATGATTGTTTATAGTTTACACCTCCCAAGACCAAGACTGAAGTGCTGATTTTTTGTTGAGTAGGTTAATGTTGTCGAAGGATTAAAGATGTATGACAAAGTGCTTAATGCAAAAGAAGTTTCTCAGCTCGTTTCTCTTTTAAACAATCTGAGAATTTCTGGAAGAAGAGGCCAACTTCAAAGTAAGAATCTTTTTATGCACTGCTTATAATAACTTGACTTGTTTTTTAGTTGAGTCTTTGAGTCATATTGGTTCATGAGAAGCAGGTGAGGCATATGTGGCCCACAAACGTCCCAATAGAGGACATGGACGCGAGATGATCCAACTCGGTCTCCCCATAGCTGATGCACCACCTGATGATGAGAGTATCAAAGGCAAGCCCTTTCAAAATCTTCTTTACTTGTAAATTTTCAATGTATTGGTGAACATGAGATATAATATGAGTTTTATGCAGATCGAAGAATAGAGCCAATCCCATCCTTTCTTTCAGACATCATTGAACGTTTGATCTCAAAGCAAATCATTCCTGTGAAACCAGACGCTTGCATCATTGATTTCTTTAACGAGGTTAAAACTGATTGCTAACTTCGTTGAAATCGTTAAACTGTTTGTAATTGTCTCTCTTTAACAAAGTAGGAGTTTTCTTGTGTTGTCTTCTGTAGGGAGATCACTCGCAGCCTCACCAGTTTTCTCCTTGGTTTGGACGACCCGTCGGCATCTTGTCCTTATCGGAAAGCGAATTCACATTCGGAAGAGTCATTGTCTCTGAACATCCCGGCGACTTCAAGGGCTCTCTCAAGCTTTCTCTCACTCCCGGGTAAACTGATTCAACTGTCACTTCATTCTGAAAAGTTGAGATCTTTCGATCTTTTTCTTGTCATCAAATCATATTTTTGGTGTTTTTGAACAGGTCCGTTCTTGTGGTGGAAGGCAAATCGGCAGATCTTGCTAAGTTTGCAATGCAGTCAACACGAAAGCAGAGGATGCTCATCACCTTCACCAAATACCAGCCGAGAAACTCTACAGCCGGATCTCATTGGGGTCCACCACCGCCTAGCAGATCTCCGACTCACCCCATCCGTCTCCCAACCGGTCCACCTAAGCACTACCCTCTTATCCCGGTCACCGGTGTCTTGCCCACGCCGTCTCACCGCCCACCAAACGGAGCTGCTCAACCGATGTTCATCGCCCCTTCACCTCCTCCTCCTCCCCTGCCGTTCCCAGTTGGTGTCCCACCGGGGCCAACGGTCTGGCCACTGCTACCTCATTCACGACACCAGCCGCCACCGCAACCTAGAATGCCCATCCCTGGAACCGGAGTGTTCCTCCCACCAGGCTCCCAAGAGAAATCCAACAACAGCAACAGAGGCAGCTCTGCAGAAGGAAAGTTAGAGTCGAAGACGAAAGAAGAAGCTTGTAACGGAACTGCTGCGGAGGAGTGTGATGGCAATAGCGGTAGCGGTAACGGTAACGGAAAACAGAGCAATTAGCTGAAGAAAAGATATGATAGAGCAAAAGAGAGAGAGAGAAACGAGTCGGGATTGATGTAAACTGAGCCTGTCTGCAGTTTTTTTAACTGTGAAAAAGAGCGGGGAATTCGATGAACAACGTTGTCTTTTTGTCACTTGAGAAATTGTTTTTTTAGGAGAGACGAGCAAAATTTACCCGTTTTCTACTCTCTAAAATATCATTTATTTATCTTTCTTCTAAAGTTATATTTCTCTCTTGTTTCGCTTTCATATCTTCACACTACTAGTACTAATGAATCATATCAATAGTAATTCTTATACAGACTCAAAGATTCTCAGGAAAGTTATGTTTAGAACAAGAAAATGATTTTGGGCTTTGAAAGCTCAGCCTTAACAATTGGCTTTGATCCTTTCTCCAGTCTAGTAAGTCCAATTGTTTTTGTAAAAGTAAAAGTGTTCTTGAGATCAAATGTGAGATGTCTTGTCTTGTTCTTGTTTACTCCTCAACCACAGATTATATTATTATTAATTTATCATTTTGTCATAAAATCCATTATTTGATATGTATCTTATCTATACATGATTAAAGAGAATCTGAGCATAGGACAACAAAATGTGGCAAAATCATATCCAATATCTTTATGGATGAGAATCGGACCCAATTGTGTCACTAAAACTTTAGTGTCGGGCATGGTTCCGGAAAACTCGTTAATAAAGTAGTACTTATAAGAATAATTAAATTAAGAAACTAATTATTTTAAGATGGAAGCGTAAGAGAAGATGAACGTGTGTTTTATCAAAATAATTTTACTAAAATGACTAACCAAAGGAAGCATCATCAGTTATGAACATTGTCGCATAATAAATGTAATTCGAAATTTCAACGAAATACGAAATTATAAACACAATACGTCTTATCAGTAAGAAGCGAAATAAAGCTCATCCTTGTAAGTCTTCCAATGATGCAAAATGTGGCCAGAAACATCATAGAAAACGACACGCAGTTCAGTTTCCGAGATGTGAACCGACATGAATCCTTGTCCGTCGTAGTAAAACCTCAGCTCTTGTGGATCCAATTGGTTCACGTCACCTTTCCACGCCTTTGATCCACCTCCACTCGTCATAAACTGTATTTTACTATATACAACAGAAAAGAGAGTAAGCAAAATAATATGATCTGCCTACAATCATAAAATCAAAGAATGTACGCTAATCAGTTTACAATTTCAGTTAATACCTGTCCGCGCTGCTAATATGCTCTAAGCAATGATCATGCCCGTTTACGTAGAGATCCACTCCATTCGCCTAACGAATCAAGAAAAAAAAGTAACTACATCAAATATTATCTAATGATTCATTAAATATTCACGTGCACGAAATGATAACTATATAACATGAGTTTATTTGGTACGTAGAGAATAGGCAAAAGCTGCTTCTCCAACTCAATGGTGTTCCCGTGGTGGCCTGCGCTTTTGATTGTGTGGTGCCCAATCACTATTTTCCAATTTGCAGATGACTCTCTCAATGCCACGTCCACGTCCTATAATCATTAATTATGGTTAGTCACAGTTCAATTCGCAATTCAAATTAAAACGTTATTATTCAAAGCCAAAGTTACGTTATTGCCTGTAAGAGATTGTCCAGATATGTCTGTCTGGGTAAGACGCCTCTCCAGTCATAAACGTGCTCATTTGGTTGGACAAAGTATTTATCAGCGAACGGAGTTGTGTCGACGAAGAAAAAATCGACGATCTCTACAGCGAAGAGAACATATATTGTTGATTACAGAAATATATATTGATGGTAAAATGTTTTCGGAAACGTAAGAGATATTCCTTACCAGCATCAACAACGAAAGATCTCATGCAAATCCATCTCTTGTCCAAAGCCCTGAGCATTGGACTAAGTTGTGCCCTGACGTCACCTCTATAGTCATGATTTCCTAAAACTATAGGTTAAAAGAAAATGCATTTTACACACTGGATCACATATCGTTGGAAAATTAAGATCCAATGAATTTTGGATTTTTAAAATAGTTAGATATTACGTTTTACAAAATTTCAAATTTTATGATTAAAGACTAGTTGATTTTTATGTTTTCGTTTTCTGCAAAAAATTAGATGAAATAGTTTAACTAATATAATTGATTTTTACAGTTTTAATTACCAGAATACCAAGGTTTCTGCAAGCTCTGCGCGGTATAAATGCTGGTGAAAGAATCTTGAAATGCAGGATCGTGCAAGCCAGTTAATCCATTGTCGTAAAAATTGTCGCCGGTAGAAATAACAAAATCAATATCTAATTTTTCTCCAATTTCTCCCATCTGTTAAAATTTATATAAACAGTCAGTCCTTACAAAATAGATATACAAAAAATGAAACAAAAAGCTCAAACATTAAATGCTCACTTGAATGGGGAACTCCTGAACTGAATACATGAACATAAGACAATATGACAAAGCAACCGTTGTTTATCTATATGCATGTCGGGTATTTATTATTTTATAAACCGAAAAATTGATATTTTACGTTACAATTGAGTTCAGAGGAGAACACAATAAGTAGAAGTAATTTGAACCATACGAATGGAAAACTTGTGTAGATTTTGTTTTGTTTTTTCCGTCTAAATAAAAACTTGCTGAAATTTATGAAGTACTGGAATTTTGAAATCCTGTAGTCTTTAAAGGTTTAGGCGTTTAACAAAGACTTAAATTTATAAAAGAAGAATAAACTTGGTTTCGATAGCCTCCACGTTTCTTTTTTCTTTTTTTCTTCTAGTAGTATATCACCATTTTTTTCCTATCCTATTCTTTTCTTTTTCTCTTCTGTGTAGGTTCTGGGTTCCTTTTTCCTTTCATTTATAGAAAATGTATTTAACCAATCAACAAAACAACAAACTAGATGTCTAAGCAAAAAGAAAATCTGTTAATAAGTTCATCCGCGGGAAAAAAGGTTATAGGTAGATTAAATTCGTACACAATAGCTGAAAACCATTTTTATTTACGATAAAAGGATGCATTTATATGTATAAATGAGGAAGATATTAAAAGTAACCTGAAGAGCTACGTGGGACTGATTAAAGGAGCCTCTTCTTCCCCAGTCTCCGACGACGAGAAAGCTTAGCGTACCATCGGGTTTCGCCGGCTGCTGTAGTCTCCGGAGCTCCGCCTTGGAACTATGGGCGGAGAATATAAAAATCAAATAAGAAACGGAAAATATGAAATTTACAGTGTTGTATTTGAAGGCAGCCATTGAGAATCTGAGATCGAGATGGGAAAATAGAAAGCCAAAGAGGAAGAAGATAAGGTGTTGTGGGTTCTATCGACTAACGACTGTTGTGTGATTGCTTCTCTTTATAAGTAGGAGGCTAAATTGGGGTTGAGAAATAATCTTTATAATTCTGATTAGAGAGAGACACATTGATGCTGCTTGTCCATCTTTAGTATGTTAATGATATTCTAGTATTCTTCACGTGTTTTTTTCGAAGCTGTGTTGATTTCACATTTTTATTTACAGAAAAATTAAATAGAGTAACTGATAACTTTTTGTTATCTACACAGGCTGTAACCAATAAGCAAATGACATGTTGCCAGAAACAAAAATTAAGTGGCTTTATACTGTTTTTCCGCACTACCACTTCTAAAAATTTCGACTTTTTGAATCAAAATCAATTGATATGTTAAAAAAAATGTGAGACACAAAAGAATATTGCAGTCAAAACTGTGAATGGTATATTGATCTCTCATCGTACACCTATTTCTTTTACTGCACTGACATCTCTGTTCAGTTGCTATTTAAAGTCCCAACAGAACTGGATCGATACTGAAAGATAGACTTCATATATATCTTCAGCATATAGTAATTTGAATGAAATTTCATTATTATATATTGTCTCGATTGTTTATCAGATTAAACGTAAACGCAATAACTTAGGTCTAAAACAAATCTAACCTAACCTATCTGATATAGGCTATATCGTTTAATTTAAGTTATTTCTGAGCTGTAACCACATAAACCAGATATCTAACATTAGCTTCGACTTGATAATACACGGTATGGAGAAGGTGGTGATGATTGGTAACAAAACGTAAACTGGTGATGTGGAAGTGGAAATATAATTTTATTCTGTCTTTTCGATGCTGTTGTAGCCGACAAAATTCACAACTCATTCTTTACCATCTCGTGGGGACTCCGACCTCATGAGCAGATGAGCCACAATTCTTGCTTGTTGATTATTGCTTAGTATTTGAGGATTTGCCATTACTTCTTTTTTTTTTTAAACTAAAGCTTTCAAATTACCATTACTTTGTTCACTTATGACAACGTACTCGCATAAAGTTTTGTTTAAAATAGACGTTTACTAATTTCACTCGCATCGTTTTTCTCGTGTGAGTGCGTCGTCATACTACATGACAGCATAAGTCAGTGTCAGTGGCTGGCCCATGCCACATTATTCATGTGGAATGTGAAGAATACTTCCAAAATTCCTCAACTGAATGACCTTTTACTATTTCTTCTTTTGTCTACACTCTACATTTTCTTACACGGCTACGGCTGTGATTGGACGACACAAATACAATAAAGAGAAATTGTGATAAAAACATAATTTCACGCTAAATATACCAATCAATAAGAACTGCCGAACTGGGTGGTAGTCCCTTTTTTCCTTTTCCTCTGCGTGTAACACTAACACCAGTCACAAGACTCACAACTCACAACCGTACATGCATGATGCATGTTATTATGCAAGTAATTCTCTAAACCTTTTCATCGTATTAAAGGAAAAAGAACAGAATGCTGACGAAAAAAAGAACAGAATATTCCATTATACAATTTGTCTGTTACGTATTAATTTTACAAATAATGTGGAGACCTAAACGATGTGAAGCAAGAGGAAAAAAATCTTGTTAACAAATTACAAATCGTTACAGTCTATGAAAGCTAAATGATTAGAGGCCCAGACTCAGTATCTAATGCAACTATGCAAGTCAAGGCCCAGGTCCAGTATCTGATAGGCAGAACCGATGTTAAAGTAGTTTGAAGATACAGAGGTTAGTGTAGTACGTATGATGTAGTCAACAAGGTTGACTTAAGAGCATAGAATCTCTACTGAATCTCTGGTGGTCCTTCACTGTGAGTCTGTGACTTCTTCAGTCCGGTTAGGCAAGTCTTGAACCGGAGTACTGGACCGTATAGATAAAGACATGTGTTTGTCTGTTTGCGTGTTTTTACCTCAGTTTTGAGAAAAAGTTAACTGATTTTATTTTGAGTCCAAAGTTTTGACCAACCAGCTTCGTGGATTTCGCTAGCTGTATTCACACATATCTAACACTACAGTACTACACACACACCTAACAAAATTATTGAAACAGTGGGTTTGAATTTGATGATGTAATGCCTAAATCATTTATTCAACAACCTCTTTCTAGTTCCTCCTCTATATGCAATCCAATATATGATTATGTATTATAGATTCATCATCCATGTGGTGTTTGAGTCTTTACGTTGAGAATTGAACAAAACGTAAGCCTTTTTCTCAGGTTACACGTGTGTGTAGATCACTCTGTCACTGTGTACATTATATGGTGAATGTCAAAGCAGATGCTTTCGAATAAAACTGAACATTGTGTGGGTATCTAGAATTGTTTTCTTTTCTTTTCTTGATCATTACTTTGTGTAGGTACTAATCTTTTAAGTTAACAATTGTTTAAATTGGAGGAGCCTGCGAGGAATTATGGCTCTCCTCATCTTTCTCGACTCTTCATCAAAACTCCTTCAACCTTTGTGATGATCACATGTATCCTTTTCTCTTCCCACTAATCACCTTTTTTTCAATTCACCATCCACATCTTCAATTCCTTACATTATTTGGGTTCATTTTATATACATATAATCAATTAGTGTACCGACATGTGGGGTCTACCACACGCCCATTTTAGTCCAACAGCTTATCTAACTTCAAAATAAAACAGATAAACTAGAGAATAAATCTTTAAATTTCTTGCTTCTGTATTTAATATTTGTAGAATTCTGTACAAGTTCTCAAATGATATGTATCACATTAATGTGTGTCTCTCATGAGTTTACTCAATCATTATAGAAGTTATGCCAAACATCAGCACATATGTGAGTTCAAGTTATATGATCCATTAGTACTCAATAAGTCACAATTATTGATATTTTGGATCGCACGGACAAAAATAAAGTTTAATGAGCTTAAACATAGCAAAGAAACAAATGTGTTCTTCTAATGTCAGATTAAGCAACTTCCACTGAGTGTATCAGGAGACATAAGACAGTTTTATAAATAACTATTTCATTATCTTTCTATAGTTTATCAACGACAAAGATTATCATCGATGCTAAAGATTACTGAATAATTTGCATTGAACTTATTAAATCATATATGAAGTGGTTAGAACTCAACTTGTCGGCTAGTTATACAAGGTTAGAGATCTATGACTACCCTCGTTTCCTTTTGCTTCGTATTTTTTATTTATTTCTAGAAGTATGACTGCTTGTTCTCTGTATTGATCTCGGAAATCAATGTGGTTAAGAATGATACTATATATATAATGTAATAATAATTGCATATTTGATTAGTAGTTGTGGTTTGGAGAGCAATAATGAAAGGTTTGGATAGGATTCTAGCGTTTTGCTAATTAAATAGAAACAAGATTTTCAACATCTTAATGAAATTAGTGGAGTCGAGTGACATGGGCCACCACCACATCCACCCTTTTGATTAGACCATTCTGGCTTCTTTTCTTGGATAATATACATCTTTAAGGCAGCTTTAATCACCCTCCATAATGTTTTTTCTTTTGCATTTCATTGTTCAACAGTGATTTACCTGTTTCTTCTCATGATTAAAGGTTCATTGCAATGTCGATTAGGGGTGTTATCATTATAATCTCTTGATTAAATGACAAACTACTTTATATTTTATATATCACCTGAATCATTTGATGCATTTTAGTACTTTAAAATATTTTGGTTGGTCCATGAGGTCTTTAGTGGTTGTACAGAAATTTCATAAAATAGCAAGAGCCTAATCATACAACGTATGCATACATGACATTCGAAAAATACTTTATGCGTCGCCAATAGCAATACTTTATGCGTCCCATTAAAGGAGACAAATCTTAATTACTTTTTTTTTTTTTTAATTGGCATGTGTTACCTACGCGCATACTATAACGTCTGCACAATACTACACATCAGTTTTTTTTTTTTTTTTTTTTTTTTGTATTTTCATGGAGTAAATAAAATAGTAATATTAGAGAATAATGAATAAGAAGTTAATAAATTGCATTTATATATAACAGTATAAATTGAATAATGTGATATGACAAATCGAAGCTCAGTTTTATTTAACTTTTTCTTTATACATTCTTCTTCTTTTTTCTTTTTTTGATAAACCTCTCTCTTTTTTCTTCCAACTTTTGCTCGGAATTCTATGCTTTGCTGATTAGTTTTTTTTTTTCCTCTCTGCAAAAGTAGTGAGAAGCTTTTGATGTTAAGCTCCAGATCTGATACCTGTTTCTGCCAGTTTTGGTCTACATCTTTCTTCTTCCTTTGAGCTTTTAAGCAGCCATTCTCTCAAGCTGTGCTCTCACTCTCTCTCTCTTTCTCTCTGTCTAGCTCAAGATTCTAACTTGAGAGTAAGTAAGTGAGAGAAAGGCGAAATTCGGTGAAATGGTTGATATTGGAAGCCCAACGAGTCTCTGTTTCCGTACAAACACTACTTGCAATGCTCTACTTCGGGAGCTTCAGGTTTCTCTTCGACCCTCTATTATACTCTCTTCTTCTCTGTTTCTTGTGAAATTTAGGGTTTTCTTGATAACGACGAAGTCTGTGTTTTTCTAGCTAAGTGGGGAAAATGGTCATGTCACAATAGATAAAGTCTTCTCCTTTTTCGTCGTCTATGGCTTTTAAGGGCTACTGCGAATTTTGTCACTCTCGTTCTGATTTTGATGGTTTTAACGAAAAATTTGGTTCTTGGTATTGGAGCAGAAAATATGGGTTGATATTGGTGAGAGTGATGCTGAGAAAGACCGGATGCTAATGGAATTGGAAAAGGAATGTCTCGAAATCTACAGAAGAAAAGTCGACGAGGCTGCAAATTCCAAAGCACAGCTTCATCAATCAGTTGTATCAATTGAAGCTGAAATTGCGTCTTTGATGGCTACTCTTGGAGTGTTAAACTTCCATTCACCGGTATGAGAGCAAGTCTACTTAGTTTCTCAGTATGGCTTTCAGGAAAGTTTCGATCTTTTGTTTGAAAAATTGTGTTTTTGATTTGTTACAGATCAAAGAGAAAGGTTCGAAATCGTTGAAAGAAAAGCTTGCCGCTGTGAAGCCTCTGCTTGAGGACTTGAAAGTGCAAAGAGACGAAAGACTGAAGCAGTTTGTGGATATAAGAGCGCAGATTGAGAAGATGAGCGGTGAGATCTCTGGTTACAGTGACCAACTCAAACAAACGATGATTGATTCTTTGACTCTTGATGAACAAGACTTGACTCTTCGGAAACTTAACGAGTACCAAACACGTCTAAACTCGCTCCAGAAGGAGAAGGTGAGGAAGTTTTTTTCAAGAAGATTAACCAAGGTTTTAGATTATGTAAGCTGCTTACTTACTCATTTGGTGCTCTTGTTCCTTTTTTTACAGTCAGATCGTCTGAACAAGGTGTTGGATTATGTGAATGAAGTGCACACTCTATGTGGTGTTCTTGGAGCTGACTTTGGTCAAACTGTTAGCGAGATTCATCCGAGCTTACATAGGACTAACCATGAACAGTCTACAAACATTAGTGATGGTACATTGGATGGTCTACAAGACATGATTCAAAAGCTGAAAACTGAAAGGAGAGTCCGCTTTCAAAAGGTATATAAACATATCTGCAATGGTGTTCTTCTTCTCTATGTGATTGATAAGTATAACTCGTTTTAATGGTGTTGTTTTGCAGTTAAAGGATGTAGTGGGGACACTTTTCGAGCTATGGAATCTAATGGACACACCTCAAGAAGAGAGAATTAAATTTGCAAGAGTCAGTTATGTTGTGAGATCATCTGAAACTGATATCACTGAGCCAAATATCCTTTCTACTGAAACAATTGAACAGGTAAACAACAAAAGCTCTCTTCTTTGTACCAACATGAAATGGCATTTACTCTCATCTATGATCTCTGAGTTCTTGTTTTTTACTTGGATAATTAGGTGTCTGAAGAAGTAGACCGTTTCAACAAGCTGAAATCTAGCAGAATGAAGGAGCTTGTGATGAAGAGAAGGTCTGAGTTGGAGAATCTCTGCAGATTGGCTCACATTGATCCTGATACTAGCACATCGCTTGAGAAATCAGCTGCTCTGATTGATTCTGGTGAATAGCTGATGGAGCTTAGAACTTCTTCTCATTGATATGATTAGCTGAAACAGATTTCTTGTATTAAAGTTAGATTTCTTCATTTTTCTTCAGGAATAGTGGACCCTGCAGAGCTTCTTGCTAACATCGAAGTGCAGATAAACAAAGTCAAAGACGAGGCACAGAGTCGAAAAGATATAATCGATAGGATTGATCGTTGGTTATCAGCATGCGAAGAAGAGAACTGGCTAGAAGAATACAATCAGGTATAAATTTTCTTGAAAAGCTTGCAAATGAGTTTGTTAAAGGATGTAACTGAGAGATTCATTCTTTGGTTTCAGGATGAGAACCGGTATACTGCTGGAAGAGGCGGACATTTAAACCTAAAGCACGCAGAACGAGCTCGGATTACAGTAAACAAGATCCCCTGTATGTTCTTGTCTCTCTTCCACTACAGATTCAGATGAGATCCTTAGCTTATTATTATTCATTTGTTTGTTGTTTTGTGCAGCAATGGTTGATAATCTCATCAAGAAAACGCTTTCATGGGAGGACGAAACACAGAAGTCATTTCTATATGATGGTGTAAGTTAAAAGTGACTTTAAAGTAAACACATTTTAAAAACCAAAAGCTCTCTTCTTTGATTATGGTTTATTGTTTTCCTCCAGGTTCGATTGGTGTCCATACTTGAAGATTATAAACTGACAAGGAAACAACAAGAGGAGGAAAAGAAACGATACCGGGTTTGTCAAAAATGCTCTCTTTTTACATATAACGCTCTTGATTTGTAATATGTTCTCGACTGTTAAAACGAATTTGTCATTTGTCATCTTCTCTGTAGGATCAAAAGAAGATGCAGGAGCTCATACTAAACCGGAGGGAATCCATTTACGGATCAAAACCGAGTCCAAGAAGAAGCAACAGCGTGAAAAGGTCCAACGGGTACAGTGGGAATGTATCGGTGCCTCCTACGCCTCGCAGAAGCTCAGCTGGAGCAACAAACACCGAGACTATGACCCCAAGATCTTACTCGAGCCATCGCCAAAACGGATATTTCAAGGAAGAGAGGAGACTCGCTACAGCTCCTTTGAACTTTGTGGCTATACAAAAGGAAGATTCTGCGTCTACGTACACTTCGGTTTGCGGCTCTGAACCAGACTCACCGTTACAAAACTGAGTCTCATATGGACTTGATGTGGAGTAGGAAGGAGTTGGGAAATAGATTGAATGTAATTGTAGATCAAGATCAAGTAATTGTAGACAATTTAGTCGTCGTGTGTGTGTGACTTTGAATTGATTTTTGTAACACACTTCAGGATGATAACAGAGTATAAAAAATGATGGATTGTTATGTTGTGATAGTAAGCTTCAAGGTTGTCTTTTTAAGTTTCACTGGTGTGTTGTTCAAGTTGTATGATTTTGTGTATAAATGACTGCAAAAATTCTTTAACAGTCTAACAATGTTTGTTTAAAGTTTTAACCTTTAACCTATATATAAGCTGAAAAACCCCAGAGACTGAGAAATGATCCTAATTCTCTCGCCCAGTGTGGCTCCGTCACTTTCAAATCTCCGATTGCTTTCGCGGTGGACTCGATTCGTGATTCCCGAAGCTCATCATCCACAAGGTATATCTCTCGTCTGCTCTTTCGACTTTTTCGATCGTCGTGCTCTTGGTTGATGTTTCGATCGTCGTTAGATTCCAATTCGCGTTTCCTTGGTTTGATTTCTGTGATTCTGTTTGGGCAGGCACTGTCACGCAATGGCATCTGATTCGAAAGCTACGCGAGGAGAGATCGTCTTCGAGATTGATGAAAAAGCACGAACATTGTGGGAGAAAGAGCAAGTATTCAAGGCTGAATCTCGTAAGGATCTCCAAAACCAGAGAGAAGTTCTTCTCGACCTTCCCTTTCCCGTATATGAATGGTTATCTACACATTGGGCATGCCTTCTCACTTTCCAAGATCGATTTTGCTTCTGCTTATCATAGACTAAGAGGCGCTAACGTGCTCCTTCCATTTGGCTTCCACTGTCTGGAATGCCAATTAAGGCTTCTGCGGACAAGCTTGCTCGTGAGATCGAGTATGGAAACCCTCCTAAAGACGACACACCAAACAAGCTCCAGAAGTGATAGAGATAGTGATACACCAGCTTTGCCGGGTCAGTTCAAGGGAAAGAAGTCAAAGGTAGCTGCGAAATCCGGTGGACAGGTTCATCAGTGGGAGATTATGGAGTTTTGGCCTCACTGACAGTGAGATACAATTCCAAGATCCATACGAATGGTTGTATTACTTCCCTCCATTGGCTGTTGAAGATCTCAAGGCGTATGGATTAGGTTGTGATTGGAGACGGTCGTTCGTGACCACTGATGTTAATCCGTTTTTCGATGCCTTCGTGAGGTGGCAGATGAGGAAGTTGAAATCTATGGGGAAGATTGTGAAAGACCGTAGGTACGATATTCTCACCTCTAGATGGGCAGCCTTGTGCTGATCACGACCGTGCTACTGGTGAAGGTGTTCAGCCTCAGGAGTACACTCTTATTAAGATGGAAGTAGTGAAGCCGTTTCCTCTGAAGCTGGTCCTTTGGAAGGAAAGAGAGTGTTTTTGGCTGCAGCTACTTTGAGGCCTGAGACCATGTATGGGCAAACAAACGCATGGGTGTTGCCTGATGGGAAGTATGGAGCTTATGAAATCAATGAAACTGATGTCTTCATCCTTACTGAGAGGTCTGCACTCAACCTTGCTTACCAGAACTTTTCAAAGATCCCTCAGAAGCCTTCCTGCTTAGTTGAGTTGACAGGGTGATCTGATTGGACTCCCTTTGAGGTCTCCTCTGGCAGTGAACGAGATCATCTATGCTCTGCCCATGTTAACCATTCTGACCAACAAGGGTACTGGCATTGTCACCAGCGTGCCTAGTGATGCCCCTGATGATTACATGGCTTTGCATGATCTAATGCAAAGCCTGCTCTTCGAGCAAAGTTTGGTGTGAAAGATGAGTGGGTGCCCTCTGAAATTGTACCGATTATCAACATTCCGAGTTTGGAGATAAGGCTGCCGAGAAGGTCTGCTTGGATCTGAAGATTAAAAGTCAAATGATAAGGAGAAGCTTGCAGAGGCCAAGAGGTTGACGTACCTGAAAGGATTCACCGAAGGAACTATGCTTAGGAGAGTTTGTTGGTAGGAAAGTTCAAGACATTAAGCCCATTATCAAGAAACAGCTCATAGAGTCTGGCGAGGCGATTATATACAGTGAACCGAGAAGCCGGTCATGTCAAGATCGGGTGATGAATGTGTTGTGGCTCTTACAGATCAGTGGTACATAACGTACGGAGAATCAGAATGGCGGCAAATGGCTGAGGAGTGCTTGTCAAAAATGAATCTCTACTCTGAAGAAACAAGGCATGGATTTGAGCACACTTTGAGCTGGCTCAACAGTGGGCTTGCTCACGGTCTTTTGGTCTTGGAACTCGATTCCCTGGGATGAACAGTTCCTTGTGGAGTCCTTGTCTGATTCCTCTCTTTATATGGCGTATTATACAGTTGCCCATTTCTTTCACGATGGAGACATGTATAAAGGGAGTAAGTCTTTGGTTCGCCCTCAGCAGATGAATGATGAAGTTTGGGACTATCTCTTCTGTGATGGTCAGTACCCAAAATCATCTGACATTCCGTCAGATGTTTTAAGTGAGATGAAGCAGGAATTTGACTACTGGTACCCACTGGATCTTCGAGTTTCAGGAAAGGATCTTATTCAGAATCATTTGACGTTTTTCATCTACAACCACACTGCACTAATGGCGAAACGTAACTGGCCACGTGGCATCAGATGTAATGGTCACATCATGCTGAATTCTGAGAAAATGTCAAAGTCAACTGGAAATTTCAAAACCCTGCGCCAGGCTATTGAAGAATTCTCTGCCACTGCTACGAGGTTTGCTTTGGCTGATGCTGGTGATGGCGTTGACGATGCAAACTTTGTTTGAAACGCAAATGCTGCGTTTGCGGCTGACGAAAGAGCTCACATGGATGGAAGAAGTTTCTGGCTGCTGAATCCTCTTTGAGAACGGGCCCTCCATCTACATATGCTGATAAAGTGTTTGAAAATGACATGAACATTGCTATCAGATTGACTGAAAAAGCCTACGAAAATTGTTTGTTTAGGGAGGCACTTAAGAATGGGTTTTACGACTTGCAAGCTGCTCGAGATGAGTATAGGCTCTCTTGCGGCAGTGGCGGCATGAATCATGACTTGATACTGAAGTTTATGGATGTGCAAACACGCCTCATTGAACCAATCTGTCCTCAGTTTGCAGAGCATGTTTGGAGGGAACTTTTGAAGAAGGAAGGCTCTGTGGTAAAGCAGGCTGGCCAACATCAGATGAGCCAGATTTGGTTCTCAAGGGTGCTAACAAATATCTGCAAGATTCTATCATCTTAATGAGAAAGCTTCTACAGAAACAGCTCTCGGTTCCAAGAAGGCCTAAGAAAGGTGCTCAAGTAACAGAGGAGAAGATGAAAGGCCTAGTATATGTGAATGAGGAATTTGATGGATGGAAAGCTCACTGCCTCGAGATTCTTCAAAGGAAATTTGACCAGCAAACCCGTACTTTTGCCCCTGATCAGAGATACTTGGAGAACTGAGGGAGATTATGCAGAAAGGATGGAGAAGCAGAGAACTTCAAGCAAATTCAGAAGCTTTGCATGCCTTTCCTGAAATTCAAAAAGGACGAGGCAATAGCTCTGGGAGTCAGGCTCTGAATTTGAGGTTACCTTTTGGAGAGAAGGAAGTCCTTGAGAGTAACGTGGAGTTGATCAAGAGGCAGCTTGGTCTTGAAGAGGTTGAAATACATTCTGCTGCTGTGATGTTGATTTAGCTGGTCCACATGCATCACTCCTGAAGCAGAATCCTCCATCTCCAGGCAGTCCAACCGCCATCTTTGTTAACAGGTAAAAGCTAGTTATATTACTATGACAAATCTTATACCAGAATGATACTCTTTTATTCTCATCAACCAAAGTGAACTCCTTACCGCTCTAAGTCTGTCCTCCGACCTGAGAATTCTCCTGCATTACAGGTAATTCGAAAGAAAATCGTGGGACATGTTTCAACTACAAGTTAGAAGTTGAAGACGGCTTAGGAGTTTGCAGGTTTTTTTATACTAGTCAGATTGTATCTGTGTTTGACTTTGTTTTGACTTCTTTTTCTTGTCTCATTTTGCGTATTCGTACTATAGTTTTCTCCGGATTAGCTTTCTAAATTTCGTAGACGAATTTGCCAATGTGTTCTTTTAAAGAAACACCTGGTTTAACGCAATAAGAAAGTCTAGTTTCGTGCTCTAGCTTTATTTATCTAGGCTACAGCAAATGTGATAAAGCCCACAAAGAGTATCACTGCAAAAAGAAAAAACCAAAATTTTTTTACCGATACGACTACATGAATTAAAACAAACGTATCTGTGTCTTTTTTTTTTTGTAATTTGAATGATATATTGATTTCCACAGAGGGTTACATTTATTTGAGCCAAGAATAAAGCCAAGAAACGTATCTATGTGTCTATCATGCTGAAAATAATATTCTGATTGGTGTAATGATCATAAATAAAACGTCAGCTAGTTGTCTTGTCAAAACTCAAAACCCACCGACGTAAAAGTGAGAATCATTAAAGACAATTAAGCAGTGAAGCCAGTAGTTAGGAACATCTCTAAATCAGACACACAATAATTAAACATCCAATAATAAAAGACTAATAATCCATTGAAATAGGAGATTAAGGATTATGAGAAGAGCAACATAGTAAAACATAAGGGGTGATTAGTGAATATGAAATGGGAAAGTTATACTTATCAATTAAGGATTTAATTAAATTAGTGATAAAACTTTTTGTTATTGTTAACCCAAGTTTTAAAATGAAAACGAGAAACACCAATCCCATCGCAGAAGACTCTTATCTCTTCTCTAATCGCTCTCTTATCCTTCAACGTCCATCCCAGCTTCACCGCGTAATCCCTCATCGCCTCCCTTTGCTCCTCCGTGAACTTCGACTTCCTCCTCCTCTTCACCGTCATCTTCTCATCCGAAGTCTCCTCCGTGTCCTCCTCCTCCTCGTTATCTTCTCTTTCCTCCGACGCTTTCCATTTCAGCCTCGCGAGCTGCTTCACGCGCCTCAAGCTCGAGAATGGGAGCCGCGCGTGAGTGATTTGAGCAGAAGATGCGACGTCGACGCGACGGTGGTAGCTGCGGTGGCAGCCACAGGCGGCGCAGAGATCGCCGGTGGTCGGTCGAGAGTATTCACGGCAGCCATCGATGGCGTAGGAGCCTAGCTTCGCGGCGTGGTTGCGCATGCATTCTCTGTAGACACAAGAACTCTGCATCTCTTGCTTTCTCTCTGTAATTACAGAAGGAGGTGTTTTGATTTTGTGAGTAATAAATTTGGTTTTAGGCGTTGTTTTGGTTAAGATATGATGTTGTTTGTGTCAGAAAGAGTTGGGAGTTACAAAAAAGCAAAGCTATTGATTTACTTACTGCCTTAAGATTTTGTACTTATATGTTTATTAGGTGTCGTAATAAATGTGAAAAAAATCCACTTTTTGAACTGTTTTGCTTTTGCACCCATACATTATTAATTTCATATCTTGAGCTCATAAAGTTGTCATCTACTCGTAATTACTGTTTAGTAGAATCCATTGGTAGCCAAGTTTTAAAGTGGTTTTCATAGTTCAGAAAATAAACTTACAAACAGTAACAAATATTGATGCATTCAAAAATAACAATTTACAAATACATGAGCGTGGATTGTATTAGAGGTCACATGTTCTCTAAATATATTACGGTTTTCAAAAAATAATTAATGACACTAGCTAACAACAGTGAAACGCCTTCTTATTTAGACGTTTAGCAAAACTGCTTATGTTTTTTCCATGCGACTGTCGGATTGTGTGACCCACCACAAGTTGAAATATCTTTGCCGCATGTTTATTGCCTACTTATTTACTTAATCGTTTTTGTAAATCATAAAACTATACCGTAGGTTTAAGATTAAATGATAGATAAATTTACAGAAAAAAATCATAGAACTGACGTCCTCTCCTCTCTGTTACATAATTGATAATTCACACATACTCCTCTCGGAGTATTAGATACGATTATGAGTTTATGACACTAATTAAAATTACTACACTAACATGCATCTAACCAACCGTATTATTATGTAAACAACTGAAAAATGGAACAATGAATAAAATTAGAAGACTAGAAGAAGATGGTTACCGAGATAAAGCAACAAGAAAGAGAACAAGCCTGTGATTTCTTAATTTTAGCTACTTTCTTATCTAATTTTCGTCCGAATTCCAGCAAAGAGTTTTGACTTCCAGGAGAAACGATTTAAGAATTTGAAAAAAAAAAAATTACTTATAAAAGGTAAAAGAATTTTTTTTTAAACAAAATAAACATAAAACCGCGCCGGAGATGAAGCTATGGAAACGAGCCACCGTGGTTATCAAGGACGGACCTAGCCTAATCGCGGCGGATGACATTTTCACGGCGGCCGTCGTGAAAGCCACGAGCCACGACGAGTTCTCGATCGACAAAGAGAGCGCTCTCTTCATCTACCGCCACGTACGCCGGAACCCGTCGAGCCTCAAGCCTCTCGTGAGCGCAATCTCCTCTCGCGTGAAACGAACCCGTAGCTGGGCGGTTGCGTTGAAAGGCCTGATGCTGATGCACGGCTTCTTCCTCCGGAAAACCACGGCGGCGGAGTCGATCGGACGGTTACCGTTCGATCTCTCCGCTTTCGGCGAAGGCAATTCCCGGATGAGCAGATCCGGCGGGTTTCAACTCTTCGTCCGCGCCTACTTCGCGTTTCTCGACAGACGATCGATCCTATTCCACGACGGAAACCGCCACCGGTACGACGAAGAGTCGTCGGTGATGATCCGGCTCGTGATCATCCGTAAGATGCAGATCATCGTGGATTCGTTGATTCGGATCAAACCGATTGGGGAGAACATGAAGATACCTCTGATTAACGAAGCCATGGAGAACGTGATCAACGAGATTCTGGAGGTTTACGGTTGGATCTGTCGCCGGATCGCCGAAGTTTTGCCGAATGTTAATTCGAAAACCGGGAAAGCTCAGGCGGACATGGCCCTGAAGATCGTCGCGAAATCGATGACGCAAGGAGAAGAGCTTCACAAGTATTTCGAATTCTGCAGAGATCTCGGAGTCTCGAATGCTCAGGAGATTCCGAAATTCGTGCGGATTCCGGAAGCGGATGTGTTACATCTCGATGAACTCGTACGGACGGAGGAGAATGATGATCAACGAGAAACGGAGGTTGATTCGTGTGAGGATTTACCGGAGAGAAGGGATGATGCAGAAGAAGAAGAAGAGATAGAGACGAAGTTAGTTCATGAAATTGATGATCTGATAAATCTGGATCATAACGACGACCACCACACACCTCCTCCGACGAGAGTTGATATTCCAGACTTAATTAGCCTCTAATTATGTTTATTTTACTGTATTAATTCGTTTGGATTTGTTCAATAAGTGGTCCAAATTCAAATTTAACTTCGTGACTATAACACTTTCCAATCATTAAAATTCAATAAAAGAGAGTAAAGGACTAAAGAGTGATCGGAAAAAACAATTTAGGACAAGATACACTTCAAGACTGCCGTCAAAAAGGGTACAATTTTATTTGACTGTGTAAGATTCTTAAGTAGTCACAAAAATCAATTTCACATAACAACAATTTTAATTAAGAAAAAAATGTAAAATAGGACTAATGAGAAGATCAATTGAGAAAAACATAATTTTTTTTTTCTATGTCAACAGCCTATGCTCCTTATAAAAAACTCTAATACAATATTTTGCATACTGGTAATTTTGAAGATAAAAACATTTAATTAAAAGAATATCTGTTACAACTTACAAGTCAGTAAAATGTTTATAAAGATAACAAAAGGGAAACAAAAATACAAAAAAAAAAAAGAAAAAGAAAAAGAAAAACTCCCCTGCAAATTTTCTCAGTCACCTTCTTCCTCAGACAAACAAAACAAACAGACTCCAACATAACAAAGAAAGCAGAGTATAATAGAAAGAAAAAAAAGATGTAAAACGAGAGAGAAATCTGTTTCCAACCTAAAACAAAGACGCCACCTGAAAAGCAGAACCGATCTCAGATTGCAGACAGAACTTAAAACAAAAAAAAGGTCACAGATTTCAGATTTGTTGTATATACACGATCATTGAGACTTGAGAGAGAGAGATCCCATCCCGGGAAAAACCGCCGGCAATAACTCTCTTTCTTTCTTCCTTCTTTCTTTTACTAAGTAAGAAACTAAATCATCTGATCGTGACGAACTTGTTAGTTCCATGCCTCGCCCAATGGCTCTTAAGATCAATCGGGTTCCCAAAGTTAAACCCATCAGAAGCAAGTTTCTCAAGAACCTTCTTAAACGCTCCTTGGCTCATCTTCCTCCCTGAGATCCTCGCTCCACGGCGCTTAGTACTCATCGGCAAAGGATGCATCGATATGTTCGTCGTGCAACACGCCGACTGCCAACCGCCGCATCCCCAACGGTAACACTGCTGAGGAGCTCCGGTGCATGTGCAGATCGGAACAGGAAGACCGGAAATGTCCATACTCACTCCGTTGATCACCAAATCAACACTCTTCTTCGCCGGTTTAACTCTTGAAACATTCGTGTTGCTGTTACCGTTCTCTTCTTTCGGTTTCCGTGGCTTCTTCGCCTTTGTCGTGGTAGATCCGGCTTTCGAATTAGGCTTCCGCTTCTTAGTCTGAAGAACAATCTCTTCTTCACACTTAACCGGGTTTTCCTCGGTTTGATGGTGATGGTGGTGGAGATTCATCTGCATGGACGGAGCAGACGAGGTCTCCGGGAGGACGTTCCCGTAATTAGGAGCGGTTGTTACAGGCAGCATGTTGAAGAACTTGTCCTTCTGCTGGTTAATCCAATTGTAGCTCATGTGGATTGGTGGCTCAGGGTGGTATGACCCGTTTTGACCGATCATAAGATTCGGGTCTCGCCCGGGTAAAAACGGTTTAGTGTTCCGATCGATGGTTGACATTAGCTGCAAACCGAGATTACCTTTAAATGTAGCGGCCGCTGGTTCGTAGTAACCCCAGTTGCGAAACCCATCGTCATCCATTTCAAAGATCTACAAAAATGACATTAAAAAAAAAAACAGCAGATATTAAAACAAAAGGACCAAACACAAGCAGAGGTTCAGATCCAAAATCAGACAGAACAGGCGCAGAGAGTTTCTCAATGTCCTGTCGGAATTCATAGCAACTAGCCAAAGATCTATCTATTCCTGAATTCAGCAAAACTCCTAACATTTCATTATAATACAGCAACAATGTGAATAAACAGAATTCTTCAGATCTTGCAAATACCCAGAAACAGAATTAGAGTTGATAAACATGAAATCATACGAATTCACATGGGAAATTCCGACAGCTTTTGAACAATTTCTTGACAGAACCAACATGCAGATCCATAAGGATTTTATAGATCTGGGGAATCCAGAGCTAGATCTAAGGATTTCAAGGGCGAATTCTAATAAGTCGCAAGATGTAAACTCCATGGAGAAGAAGGAATTGAGAAAAGCGGGTACAGTACACAAAGGACCCATCGTAAATTCAAGAAAAAAAAAAAGAATTGAGAGAGAGAGAGAGACATGTTTGATGTTAGTTAGATTGGAAATGGGATTAGGAGAGAGAAAACTTACATGAGATGGGTTAAACAAAGAGACGGCTCTTTAAGGGAATTTTTTTGCCCTTCTGGAGAGAGAGGAGAGAGAAACCTGAGAGAGATTGGGGAAAGAGAAGGAGAAGGGGGATGAGAGAGGAGAGAGAATATTATGAAGATAAGAAAAGAGAGATCTGAAGAAAGGGAAAGGGTTTTATTTTAGTGGAAGAGACAACCCTAAAATTGAAACATTTCTAATTAAAAAAATAGAAAAAATATCTCCTAAAATAAATAAAAAATAAATATTCCAAAGGGCTTTTTTTTCTTCCGAAGACTATTTATGTTTTCGGTCAGTACACAAAAAAAAGATTAAGAAAGCCATTCGAGAAGAAGACAAAAACCAAAGCCCACTCTTCATGTCTTTTTGACATCTTCACTTTTTTAAGGACAAATTACAGACTGAAAGAAAGAAGACGATGAAGAAGAGATTAGAAACTTAATGGAAAAATTAAATATTTTCTTGGTAAATTTTATTTTCATTCAAAAGAAACAAGAATAATACATACAGGTTATGTTTAGACATTATATATCAACACACTAATTACCAAATCTGTATACACACAATTTAAAATGAAAAAAATGTTTCTCGCTCTTGACTAGTGGTGTGTTTATAGCACGAACATCATGGAAATGTATAATTGTATAATCCGTGTTTCCAATGTGAGATTGCTTTTAAGTCCCATATTTTATTTTTAAACATGCTTCATTGTTCATAGTCAGAGCTTGTCCCTCACATTCCATTACCGTGTTCCTCCACTAACTTCTAAACAATAACCGGAATCAAACAGATTCAAAATTTGACATAGACAATTTTCTAATATTGAATCTAATTTTTACGCATCAAGAAATCCATGGCTGCTCAACTCAATCCTCTTCTCGATCGGGCTCCCTCTAATCATCTTGGGACTCTTTCTCTTGTTAGACTTTGTAGATCCATGGCTTCTCTCCACAGAGCATTGCCTCAACAGCTTGCGATTTTCTTCATCAAGCTCTCTGTTTTGCTCGCTCACAAGCTCCACTTCTTGCTCGGCTCTAGACAGATTCAAGATGAGGCATTCTTTCTCCTTCTCGACTTTCTTCACAATCGCAACTAAACACACAGCTTTCTTCGTCGATGGCTTCAATTGATCCCATTTCCTCAACAGAGCTTGACAAGATTCGTCTTCAACGTTCGCCTCCAAGAACACACGCCCGATTATAGTTTCATCTGATGCCAAAATCGAATCGAGCAGAGAATCTTCTTCTAAATACATGAATTTGTTGTCAGATTCCATTTTCCTCACTTGTTCCTCCAATTCACGAACCCTAGACTCTGCTTCTCGAGCCCTCTCGTCCGATTCGTTCCCGAAATCCATCAACGCTTCGCGATCTTGGTGATAGAGTAAGCATTCCTTTTCCCACTTCCTACACTGATTCACCAAACCTTCGCACTCGCCGGCCAATTTCTGATTCTCTTCGACGAATTTCTTCAGCGCCTGCGCATTCATGCTCGCTTCGGATCTTACGAGGTCGATTACTTGCTCTTTCTCTCTCAATCTGGAGACCAGTGACAGATACTGTTCCCGGAGACGTCGCTGAGATTCTTCGGCCGCGTAGAGTTTCTTCCGGAGAGCGTCCGTCGATAGCGGAATCCCGAGAGAGTGATCGATTGTCTCTTTGATGTAATCGTCGACTTCCCGAGAGAGATCCATCCTCAGAATCAACAAGAGAGCGCAGAGAGAGAGAGTTCGCTGAAGAATTTCTAGGGTTCCTTCCTAATTTCAAACGAGAGAGGATCTGTGAATTCAAAAATTGAATTGTTTCTGTTTGCTCGATGAAACCTTTTATTGTTGGGCCCGAAATTTTAGCCCGTAAAATTTAAATTTTGATTTTCCAATATTTATTTCGTTACGTTTTAAAATTATTCATATTTATTGCGCAGCAGAGTGATGATGAGATACAGGTGATAATGGAAAGATAAGAGTTTTAACATTTATTAGATACAAAGAAACTCGAATAAAAACAGACCAAAAGGTATTTTCCCGTCTCTTACAATACGTAAAATATATAGAAAAAGGTTACAAGTAAATTTTAATTTCTGTATCCAAAATTAAAGAGAAGAAGAAGAGAGACTCACCTAAAGTAAATCCTCTAATGAGAAGAAAATAATCAGACCCTTTGTTTGTCTTGTGTCTCTCTCTCTTCTTTCTAAACAAACCTATCTCTCTTTAGCTTCTTTGTTCTAAGCAAAATTCGTAAGCAGGCAGGCAGAAGAAGAAGATTTGGTGTAAAGACTTCTTACTCGCATTTGATCGACCGGTAAATGTGACGAACGAAGAGGAGAGCTGCACGGAAGCCGACTGTCCCCAGCATCAAGAAGAATCCGTAGCAAATGCAAGCCATGTATCCGAAGAAGAACGAGGTTTGCATGAAACCGGACATGTCTGATCGCGCGTAGTAATAGTATAAGCAGTAGGCGTAGATAAACAAACCAGTCGATCCACCGCAAAGGAATGATCTGAAAATAAAGAATCAGTGTCAGTTTCTACTGATCAGAGAGAAAGAGTAGAGACGATGAATTGAGTTTTAACGAACCTCCACCACCATTGGTGATCTTCAGCAGCGAGCTGGAAGTAAGTCAATGCGACGGTTATGAAAGCAGTGACGATGATGAGAATGATGAAGACGATGAAGAGGATGCTGTAGATGGTGTAGATCCTGTGACCCCAGACACTAGCGAAAATGTAGTAGAGCTCGATGTAGATGGCACTGAAAGGAAGGAAACCAGCCATGGCCATCTGAGGCACAGCGCTTCTGTACCAAGGGAGTGGAGGAATCTCGCGGGGGTATTTGGTTGTGCGGCACGGTGCTTGGAACTCGGCTTTGCTGTTTTTACCGGCGATGCCACCTAGGACGAGTAGAGGCGATGTGACTAGAGTCCATATAAGGACGATTACCACAATGGTTCCAAAGGGTAATGCGGCGGTTGCGGTGTAGGTGATGGCTACGGTGTTGAGGAAGCAAAAGGTTAGGAATAAAGGGCCACAGAAGAGGCATCCTGTGAGTAACAAGTTTCTCACCTGCAATAATGTGAACGAACAATGAGAAGTTTGTTTAGTTTCCGTTGAAGATGATTTGAGAAAGGGTTTTATGTGTAAATACTTACCCAGCTTTTGCCTTCAAGTTGGCAGTAGAAAGAGGCAGATGTGTATCCGGCGATTCCAGAAGTTAGAGCGTAAATCACCACCAAAGCGGTGAAGAGTGCTCCTCGGTTGTATGGATAGAACACTCCAACAAGAGCAAGCATGAAAATGAATATGGTGCTGATGGGCGTGGAGGAAAAAGGGAAAAGGTTAGTCAAAGTAAGAAGAGAGCGTATCCGAAAGGAACAATAGTCGAGTTATGAGAGACTTACAGCGTAAACAACTGTGTACCACTACCAAGACAAGCAGCGAATAAAGAGTTGTGCGTTGGGAACCGAAACACATCGCCATGAATGTATTTCCATCCGGTTTCCTCTTGATCATCAGCAGCTTCCTCGTCTTGAGCATACCTTTCAAGTGTGGGAAAAATGTTCAGAATAGATAAGGAAGATTAAAATAGTCTGACGGTGAGGTGTAGCGAGTAAATTGAAACTTACTTCATGAAATCATTCTTGAGGACTCGCATCAAGATAGTTGCAAGGAATCCAGTCAGAAGAAGGACAGTGACGCAGGAGTTAATAATGGAGAACCAGTGAATTTCCAAGTGATGTGGAAGAGAAGAAGACATAGAGTATTTCTCCATTCTTTTCTCAAAAGGAGTCTCAGTTTCCTTCCACTTCACAGTGTACATAAACTCTGCATCCACTTCCTTGTCCTCAGTGAGATCCACAAGCGAATGAGGATCCATTCTGGCACTGATTTCAATCACACGGTCCTTGTTGTACAGAATCTCAAACTGGATGTGCTTGTACAAGAAGTATTTGTACTCACTCGGATCAGATTTGATCTCCTTGTCAACCTTTCCAATGAATCCCCAGATTGGTAGATCGTCATAGTACATCTGGAAGTAGTAGTCTTTCTCCACAGCTTTTCGAAACTGTTTGACCTCTTCTTTACTTAGCTTCTTTTTGCAGTATACTTCAGACTCTTTCTCATCTTTGAAGTTGAGCTTGTATGGAGCACTCACAAGCCGATCACCATTGAGAACCTCTCCTAGAGCTTCCTTCTTCTCTTTCACACCCTCTGGAAACCAAAATCAATGGGATCAGATCAAAAAAATTAAAATCAAAGCACACAGACATTGTCCTGAGGATGAAAATGAACACCAATTTGGGAAATTTTAAATATGAAAGGTAAAAACTTTGTGCTAATTCAGTTGCAGCCAAGTCCAATTTATCATTAAACATATGAAATGTTGAGTTAAACAAATCAAAACATTACGGGACAAAATGCATAGAATGTATTACCCAGAAACACAATTCGTTTTCATCAATCTAGTAAGATATAGGTATACCTGGGATGCAGAAGGGAAGATCAAAATACCGATACGTCTCACTGCGATCATCGTCGGAAAAAAGAAAACGAGATCAGTCATATAGTATTCAAATCTAAAGACAGATCCATCATACGAACGAAAACATTTCAAACGTAGCTCTTTTTTCACTCCCTGGATTTACATTACTCATTTTGGAGTGTACTCGAATTTGATAGGTCTCAAATGGTCAAAATTCAAAAGCAACAGATTCATTTACCATCGCAGCTATACATCAATCGCTTGCGTGATTAACGATCAAATTCGAGTAAAAAATCTCAGATCTGAAGCCCAGATCTACCGACACTCCAGTAGATTAAGATGTTATTTTACCTTGGGTTGTGGAATGGGCCGACCTTGTTGGCGTAGAGAGGAACGATCTCGCCTTCCTTGTAACGGTGGTCGGAGGCGTCGGATCTGACATAGCCGGCGCCGGAGAAGATGAGAGCTCCGATAAAAAGGAGCAGCATCGTCGGTGTCCTCATTGTGTTTTCTCACCCAAAATCGTGAGATCTGAGTTTGTTTTTTATTTCGGAGAAGGAGAAATGGAGGAATATAACGACAATATTTATATTACCAGACTTCAATCAAAACTCACTCGAGTCAGCTTCAGAAAAAAATTAACTTTTTTACAGAAGGTTGAAATAGTAAAATAGTAAAATACGTAAAACGACCATTTTGTACTGTTCATAACTTGACAAAGCTTTTCTAATCTTATATTGTAATAAAGTTTGTAACTTGTAAGAATGCTAATTTCCTACAAATACACTTACAATAACTTGTAAGAATGCTAATTCCCACAAATACATAAATGATAAATCATTCGACGAGATTAATATTCGGATATGATATCGATGGAACAACGCATTTTTAACATGTTTAACCACCAATGCTAAGTCAATTACACTCTAGTCACTGTGTATGTACACTATATAGTATAGGCAGGGGGGCGAGTTTAGTATTCTGCCAAACCTGTTTTAGATTAGTAAGTTAATCAGACGTTAAAAACCAAAACAGAATTAGTAAGTTAATAAATCTTGTTGTGACATTGTGTCAACATGCATTTATCTATGTATTAGACGTCGACGTAACTATTTCTATACTTTGTAGAGGATGAAGAATGAGGGTTGATGTACTTACAAGATATAAACTTTTCTTGCAATCACAGTAATCAGTTTCAATCCAATAATAAATTCCTTATAAATTATACGTGCATCATACTTAACTAATTACTCTGCATGATCCCACGTCATGATAGAATCATAGAACTTTATCAAATGATAAACCATTAAACAATTTGAAACATTCAGTCACAAATACACGACGTGCATCGTTTTATGCTGCATGAACAATTCAAGGTTTCGATTTTATAAGAACCAGTGGGCAATCAGAAGAAGTTACAATGTATCTACTTCTCTAATGGATCAATTTAATGAAACCTTGAAAGTGATTTCGATTTTTTTGTTTTATAAATATGCATGTAGTGCCAATAAATCCCTGTCAAACCAATCCAGATTCGATTAAACATATTAAACCGGTAGCGAAATGAATGAACCAAATTCGGTTCGGTCTCGATTGCATTTATTTTTGTTTTGTTTTTAGTGCAGTAAATTAACTTCGGTTAGATTGTTTATTTTGTTACCATAGAGCCATAGACACAAAATGCCGGTAAATATATTAATTTCACGGCTCTTTTTGTCCATCCCGGAAAAAAAAGACCGATCACATTCCGCCTCTTGTACCGGAGATGACGAGTTTAATTAACCCGGCGTATATGTTACCGGAGAAAGCAACTTCGTCTTCTTCGTTTTCAGTCGAGAGCGATTCGAGTCCAGTGGACGCTGTCATCTTCGCCGGAATTTCGCTGGTTCTCGGCACAGCTTGCAGGCAACTCTTTAACGGCACTAGAGTTCCGTACACCGTCGTTCTCCTCGTCATCGGCATTGCTCTCGGATCCATTGGTTTGATTTCTATGCTCTTTAAGTTTTCTATCTGTTGATTTGGCTTCGAATTTCCCGAAATAGCAAGCCAACATGAGAAATCAAGCGTGGGTTTTGATTCAACTTTTTGAAATGACAAGTCTTTTCAATTCGTTGCTATCAATAGCTCAGTTTCAAATTTCTGGAGGAATATGAGTAGTTACTGTTTTTGAATTTGGATTAGTTTGTTCCAATTAAAAAAGCCAGTGGTTTGCTTTTGGCAGAATATGGAAGTCATCATAACCTTGGGAAGATCGGCCATGGAATTCGTATCTGTAAGCTACTGTATTCTTTCTCTCTATACACTGTTAGATTACGAGCTGTTCATAAAATGATCCCGGCGTTATTTTACAGGGAATGGTATTAACCCTGACCTTCTTTTGGCCGTGTTTCTGCCTGCTCTTCTTTTCGAGAGCTCATTCTCCATGGATGTGCACCAAATCAAGGTCTCTCTATCTTCTATGTGGCCTTTTAGTTGCCTGAAGTCTGTGTTTTGAGCTACATTTTTGTGTTATTGGTTCTCGTTGTTGATTATCTTCATTATTTATAGAGGTGTCTTGGACAAATGGTTCTGCTTGCTGGCCCTGGAGTTTTGATTTCTACATTTAGCATCGGATCTCTTTTGAAGGTATGAGCTATGCAGAACGTTAACATTGACTATTCATTAAATAGTAATTTGACTAATTGTGTTGTGCTCTTGTAGCTCACTTTTCCATATAACTGGGATTGGAAAACATCATTGTTGCTTGGAGGGCTTTTAGGAGCTACCGACCCTGTTGCTGTTGTTGCTTTGCTAAAGGAGGTTGGTGCTAGTAAGAAGCTGACCACTATGATTGACGGGGAATCCCTGATGAATGACGGGTACTCATGTTTTTAAACTTCTCCAATCATTTAGTCTCTCATGTCATGACAATTATGCTCAAGCTCGTTTGTTTTTATAAATTCAGGGTATCAGTTGTAGTCTTTCAGTTGTTCTTCAAGATGGTGATGGGGAATGATTCTGATTGGGGTTACATAATCAAGTTCCTTGCTCAAAACTCGTTTGGAGCGTATGAATTCTTTTTCCCTTTGTTATTGCCATTGGGTGTTAGTATCTTTTGTTTTTTTCTCAGATTATGTTTTGTGGTTCTGTTTTTGTTTAGTGTAGGCATTGGTATAGCATTTGGCATTGTATCAGTTCTTTGGCTTAGATTCGTATTCAATGACACAGTGGTTCAGATCACTGTAACGCTTTCAGTGAGCTATTTCGCATATTACACTGTATGCTCTTCTCCAGACATTAATCCTCAATACGAGAATCCTAAATCTCTAGAAAATCTGAGAGTTTTTTTACCATTTACAGGCTCAAGAGTGGGCTGGGGTTTCTGGAATTTTGACTGTGATGACTTTGGGAATGTAAGTCGTGGTGAATTATCCCTTCTTTCTTTTGCTATCGTATATAAAAAGTCATTTTTGGTATAATAATTGTAATAGGTTTTTCGCTGCGTTTGCAAGGACAGCATTTAAGGGTGACAGTCACCAGAGTTTGCATCACTTCTGGTATTTTACAACTCAGAGCTCTTTTGTTTGTCATGAGTAAGGGAGATGTTTAAAATGTCCCTAAATTTTGTAGGGAAATGGTCGCGTATATTGCAAATACATTAGTTTTTATACTCAGGTACGAAGTATCTGAAAAGATTCAAAGACAGAGAGTTCTCCTGTTATTTTGCAAAATTTCTTTTTTCCGATTGATACAAATGCATTTCTTTTGTTTCTCTTGTGAATTGCAGTGGTGTTATTATCGCTGAAGGGATTCTTACCGGTCAAAAAGTATCTTACCAAGGTGCATCTTCACATTTGATGTTCGAAATTTTGTTCTTGTTCTGATTCCGGAGATATAAACATCGGTTTCCCTAGATTTTGATATAGTATATATCTTAATGTCATGATTATTTTGACTTTAGAGAAGATGAGATGATCAGCATTTAGTTTCCTGATACCATTCCCACATTAGCTTTCTTCTTTACATATATTGGGTTTAAGGAACGTTCATGACTGATTAGTTTCTTCTCAGGAAACTCGTGGGGATTTCTTTTTCTCTTATACTTATATGTCCAACTTTCCCGATGTGTTGTGGTTGGAATTCTGTACCCACTGCTACGTCGTTTTGGCTATGGCTTGGATTGGAAGGAAGCAATCATACTCACGTGGTCTGGATTAAGGGGTGCTGTGTCCCTATCACTCGCTCTATCTGTAAAAGTGAGTTCTGGAAAAAATGGTTTAATGTACTAATCAACTGGTTACCTCTTTTCCTTTCTTTTATAGTCATGTCCCCAATTCGTGAGATCTGACATACTTTATCTGTCTGTCATATAATTTAGCAATCAAGTGGGAATTTCTATCTCAGTTCGGAGACGGGAACAAGGGTGAGTTTTGAAGTACATTATAAACTACCTTTGAGTTTCTTTTTGGAGTGTATTTTTGTTATCTTGATGTGTTCAGCTGTTTTGCAGTTTCTGTTCTTCACGGGTGGGATTGTTTTCCTAACTTTGGTGGTTAATGGATCCACTACCCAATTACTCTTGCACCTTCTTGGCATGGACTCTTTAACGGCCACCAAGGTCAAGATTTTACTTCTACTTTTGAAATTTAAGTTGCAAATACACGATATCTTTGTTAAAGAGCAGAATCTTTGATCGACTGTGTTTGTGCTCTTCCATGCACAAGTGATAGCATCGTTCCACTGATTTGTGTGTTTTTCTATTGGCAGAAACGAATATTGGAGTATACAAAGTGTGAAATGATGAACACCGCCTTAAAAGCTTTTGAAAATCTAGGAGATGACGAGGAGCTTGGATCTGCTGACTGGCAAACAGTTATAACACATATTTCAAGCTTGACAGATTTAGAAAGGGGACAAGTTAATCCCCAAAATGGGTATGAAGCTGGCAATCTTGATCTTACAAATATAGTGGACATACGTATACGCTTCTTAAATGGTACTTAACACTGCTTCTGATTGACAAATTATTGACGCTCCAAATCTTGCTATTAAGTAGAGACTCTTGCGTATATCAGGTGTCCAGGCAGCTTACTGGGATATGCTTGATGATGGGAGAATTACGCAAAGCACTGCCAGTGTTTTGATGCAATCAGTAGATGAGGCACTAGACCTTGTCTCTACAGAGTCTCTATGCGATTGGAGAGGCTTAAAACCGTGTGTTCGTTTCCCGAATTACTACAAGTTTCTTCAATCAAGAATCATCCCTCGCAAGCTGGTCACCTATTTAATCGTTGCAAGACTGGAATCTGCTTGTTACATTTCCTCTGCTTTTCTCCGTGGCCATAGGATTGCACGACAACAATTGCATGACTTTCTAGGTATACATCAATATGTTACTATTTGTTAAGAAGTGAAAATGTTTGTTCCAACATTTACTATTGGTTATATCTTTTTAATCTACACAGGTAACAGTAACATTGCTTCTACTGTAATCGATGAAAGCGAGGTGGAAGGAGAAGAAGCAAAACAGTTCTTGGAAGACGTCCGTGATTCATTTCCTCAGGTTTGAAAACCATTTACTTTTCTTGAAATCCATAAAGATATTGTTAGGATTAGTTTGTAAATGCTCATATTACATCTTTAACATGTGGTCGTTCAGGTTTTGAGTGTTTTGAAAACAAGACAAGTTACACATTATGTGTTGAATCATCTAAATGGTTATATCAAAAACCTTGAGAAGGTTGGGCTCTTAGAAGGAAAAGAAGTTTCTCATCTTCATGATGTTGTTCAGGTACCACCAATATCAGATTCTTTGTCCTCATCAATGGTTTCGCCAGGTGCTCTCGCTTATATATCTCTCTCTCTTTCACTCTGCAGTCTGACTTGAAGAAGCTCCTGAGAAATCCTCCTTTACTGAAACTTCCAAATGTAAACGATTTGATCGCCACCAATCCTTTACTGAGAGCTCTATGAGCAATAATGTGGCTCCAAGCTTCAGGAGTTTGGCCGTGGATGAGACATATTCATGAACCGAGTCAGCTCGAGGAGTAGACTCGTTCCTGTACCTTTTACTCTCTTTTTCGTTATCGAACGGCCAAAGCGACTCTATTCGTGTACTTTTGCTAGTTTTGTAATTTCAGGATCGAATTCATGAACTCGTCGGTATAGTTTTACAGTGTACATGAATTCAGTAATTTCTATGAGGTCATTTCAGAATTTTTCTTCCGAGTATACAAACTCAAATCTCAAAAATCTGCTTAATTATATTATTTAGGCTTCTATATAAGTGAATGTGTCTTATAATTTCATTTTCAAGAATCTAATCTCATCAATTTATCAAAATATAGTTCTTCTGGAAAACAAGAATCCGCCTCAATTCCAACAGTAGTTCCGAAAGAGTAAACAAAACAAATTCAAAGTACAATTCTTTTGTCCACAAATCTACACCCTTTGGTAAACGTTCATAATCCATACTGACAAAAAAAATCCCTCAAAACTCAACAATATTTTTAATATTAATGGTTTCGTTCATAGGTTCTCTGTCGAATTTTTGTTGTCTGTTAATCATAGAAACTATGGTTTAATATGGAAAAGGGAGAAGAATAATATTAGTGTACTAGCAAAACTAAAAACCGGTCGCTCTCTTAAGCAAAAAACGCGTTAACTTGGAACCAAAGAAAGAAAGTCAAGGACCACTTCAAACTCAGAACAGTAGCACATTTTAAAGAAAACATCTATTAATCACTTATATGCAACAAATATAGATCCCGAAGATATTATATTTTCCAAATTATAAATGGAGAGTAAAATTGGAATGAGCCAACGCGTATTGGGGAAATTATTAACGCGGTCTCTTTTCTCTCCAACTCTTCACTATATGTAGTCTCACGTCGGCAGTTCCAGCTTGCAGACACATCATCAATCTCTTATACTTCACCATACTAAACCGAACTAAACCGGGCAGAGAGAGAGAGAGAGAGAGAGAGAAATGGCCGACAAAGAAGCTTGTCTAGTCCCAAAGAGAGGAGAAGTTCTTAAAAGAGTTATGAGAGTTGTCTTCTTTTCTTGTCTTTGTTTCTCTTCCCGTAAAATTAGCCGGTAAAGATTCCGATCTTATTATGTCACACTTCTTGAAGTCATCAAGCATTAGAGAAATATGTTTTATATACTAGGATCAAACCAAACCCCAAATAAGGATCAGACCCACTTCCCTTCTATTTTTTTCAACTTGTTTCTTAACAAAAGAGTAATAACTATACGATACAAGATAATTTCAGAGAGTATTTTCGAATAGTTGTAATAATAGTTCATGAATAAGTCATTTTGATCTTGTGACTTACTCTTTCTGTAGTGTTTTGTAGATTCCACAATCTATTGTAATGTTGTTTGACTATTAGTAGCTAAAAAGCAAGCGTCGATTAAGAGAGCTTATGCTCTGGTCATTCATTAGCATGAAAAGTTTTCCGGCTGCTCTGCTAGCCGAAGAGTGTTATTCCAAAAGTATTGGGCATTTAACGTGTCAAACGCTAATTCTGGTATGCATTAAGCCTTTTACGTAGAAAATGTTATTAACAAAAAAATTGAAGTATAAAAAATTCAATGTTCAATATGAGCAAAATGGGAAGGAACAGAGCAGATCGATGGGGATTTGACTTTACGGTTTGGCATTTTAAAATTGATTATAGTCATAGGAGGTACAAGTCAAGTTTAAGAAAATGTTTCAGTTTTGCCTAAGCCAATATTATTTGCAGACCCAAAATAACTCATAGTTTAAGCATGTGATGGAATTGATTGTATAGCCAGAACTAGGCCAGCAACCAAAATTCGATTTGGCGAAGGAGTTGTAGACTGTAACATTCTAATTTTGACAAAAAGAATTTTTGCTGACAAATCAGAATAATGCATTAAAAAAACTTTATAGACACCAATTTAATTCCTCTCCTCTACAAAGTAGTATTACCTACAACGTACAAAGACAAAGACGAATAGATTCAAATGAATTAAACCCCCATTGGGGGACTGCAGAGCGATGACGTGACGACGTATTTTTCCACAGCAAAACAAAGAAAGCACAAGTGTGTCAAACAAAAGCCTAAAAAAGGTTTTTTAAATATTGTCTCATCTAAATCCCTAATTGTGTACCTGTGCGACGATGAGACAATGGACATAAAAACGGAAAAGGCAAAGCAGCATCCTCTTATCGTTCGTACTTACGGAGAAGAGAAACCAAACTGCACTAAAAAAAGAAAGCTTCACCACATTATAAAAAAAAAACAAGAGTTTTCTTAGAAAAGATTATACATAGCCAAAACGTTGCTTCAGAACTAGCTGCAAATTCAAAACAAACTTAAGTCAGTAGTAATCTGTTTCATCTAAAACTCCATAGATCATAGATGTGTGAAACGAAAGAGAGAGAGAGCACTACAAATAGTTTTGGACACAATCTATTGAAGAAGAATTAAGAGATTAAAAAAGCCTTTCCCTGCATCATCCACCAGCTATAGCTGTGTCTCTATTTCTTTCTCCCACCACGTTCTCTCACAGACAGTGTCAAGATGTCTCCTGCGCCCACATTGTAATGAGCAAGCGACATGTTGTCCTTCAAGAACCCTGCTTTGCCACTTAACTTCTGCTTGTTTGCTGCAATCTGTATCTCCCCAGCTATTTTCTCCTTCAAACTTCCCACGTTCTCGGATAATGTCTGCACTGAGATCTCAATGACTTGCCCGTCGTCAGAGTTTGGAAGAGAGACCCTGATCGTAGCCGGACCCTGAAAAAATGTATGTAAAACCGGTAAGATTAGATACAACTCATATGAAGGAAGGATAAAGAAAATAACTGAAAGAGTCTGCAAAAAGAAAAGAAAAACATTACCGGATGCTGAGCAAGAAACTGGTCTTCTGGAACAAGGACTGACTCGTCGAACCTTTGTCTCTTTGGCTCTGGCTCCTCAGGAAGAGGCGGTGGTACCTCCTCCGGTGGTGGAGGAGGCATCCCAGGCATAGGTGGTGGTTGCATCATCCCCATTGGAAGCTGACCATAAGGTCTGGGGACTTGAAGATGCGCAAACTGAGACCCCGGTGGAGGAGGAACCAGCATACCAGGCTGCATTTGTGGTGGCCTGTTCATCATCATCGACGGGTGTCCAGGTGGCCCGGGCATTTGGAGCTGGTGTTGTTGATGCATGGGTGGTTGCATCATAGGAACACCTAATGGCCTTGGTGCACCAGGGTACTGAAGAGAAGGAGGAGGACGAGGGAGGTTCAAAGCGAGATTAGCAGGTGGAGGCAATGGCCGGACTATTGGGACACCTGGACGTGGAGGAGGAAGAGCAGCAGGGCCAGGGAAGCTATTGGGATCTCCATAAACGCCATCGCCTTGCTCCTCTCCGTTAGCGTTCTGAGTCAATGCTTGGTTTGCTGTGCGACCAATACTCCCTGTGTGACCGTCCCATATTACTTGCTTTGGCTGCTCCTTCTCAATCTCTGCTTTAACAGCATTTGACACTTCTTCTTCGGTTGTTCCAAAGATATCAGGACGCAGACGAGCGAGTCCCACAATGTTTTTAGCAATCTCATCGTCTTGTGCGAGAGTGGTCTCACGAATCTTTGCAAACATCCGATCCTTCTGCTCTTTGAACTTAGGATCGATAAGCGAAATCCGCATGTGCTCAGACATCTCGTTGATGGGAATCAGCTCGCCGGTGATTGGTGATACAACAACTCTAGTCGGATCTCTCTCTGCCGGGATCCTATCTTCTGGCCTCCTCCAGTTCCTAACAATTCTCATAGGTGCTTCTTCGTCCATTACATGCTCTATCGTCACAGAGCCACCATTCTCTTCCAGGTTCGCTGCTCTCATTCCTTCAGCAACAAGCTTAACTTCTTCCTCATCCATTTCCATCTCGACTTCCTTTCCAGGCTCGACAATCTCATCCACTTCCATCGCTGATGTTTTGCTCCTCTTTATATATTCTTCTTTTGTCATTGGCAGATGCAAAGCCTCATCCTCATCATCAGCGAAATCTATCGACTCAACAACCGCAAAATCATGCCAATCAATCAAAGCCATCTGCACTCTCTCCAGCTCTTGCTCGTCCTCTTCTTTCTTCCTCTTCTGCTCCTCGAAACGATCCCATTCGAGACGGTGCAAACAACGCTCAAGAACAGTCGTCAAATCAGCAGCGCTCGTCCTCAGCTTCTCTTTCAACTCTGGTGGAGGCTTCAACACATCAAAATACACATCAACCAGTTTCTTGAAAAACTCGAACATGCTATGATTTGGCTTCATAAACTGAAAGTGATGATTGTTACTCTCCCTATTCTGCAGATCAGTCAAGAACGCTTTCCCATTACGTGCCACAAACTGCGCCGTGAGCTTAATAATATCAAGATCCTCGCCATTGGTCCCTTCAGGAACTCTAATAGTATACTTCTCAGGTTCCGGTTCTTCTAGAGGCTTCGCAGGAATCCTAAATTGAGCCTGAATGTCGGCTTGTGCCTCACCTCCTTCACCCTCATCAGCAACAGCCGCAGCATCAGGCTGGAGATCTGTGCCATCGGAATCAGTAACCGGAGCTCCGTCTTGATTCTGAGTACGATATTCTGTGAGCTTGTGCTGGTAGTAGGCATGGTAAGGATCTGAGCTGGTCAAAAAGTTGAACTTGGCATTCTTGGCGTTTTCAGCCATGATCCTCTTTTCAAACTCCAACCCGTTTTTGCCAACGAAGTGAGCTGTTTTCTCGACGATGCTTCTGATATCCGGAGGTGGGTGAATGATTCCGATAGTCTTCGTGTGAGTCGCTACAGCCACCCGAGCTTGGTTTGAGCTGTTTTGCTGAGCTTGCAACTCCCTCTCTTCGATTTCCTGATCCGTCAATTGCGATGGAGGAAGAGGACCCAGATTCCCATCGGTAGGAGGTGCCTCTAGTGGCAGTATCGGCCCCGAACTAAACATTATCTGCCATCGGAAAATTAAAACAACATTAGCATCAGATTTCAGAAATTCTTTATAACCTAATTCAATGGTTTAGCTCGGCTCTAGAAATTATCAGATCTTCTGAAATAGGTTGATATTCGCCGGGGAAAAAATCGAAAAAAACGATTAGAGATGGTAGAAAATCCTTAAAACTAAGATGTGAGAGAAACAAATCGATAGGGGAAGAAGAGGGATCGGCGACGGGAAGGACTATGTTTAGGGTTTAGGAGAGAGATTAAGAAAAACAGTACCTCAGACGGTGAGGAGTAGCTCCGCCGCGAGAAATTCCGTGACGTCGAAGAGAAGCGGAGGACGAAAAACAGTTGGAGATTTATCGCTACCAAGACGATTTCGAGGGAAATCGATAGAACCAACCTACAAAGTATAAGGAAATAGAGAAGATACTCCCGGAAAAAAAGAATTAAATAGAGCCCTAGGATTTATCTAACGGAGGTCGGTATTCAGGTTTGCTAATGGGCCTTTTAAATTGGGCTTATAAGCGTTGAGACCGACTTAACCTTTATAGTTGTCTCTGGTTTGGTTATTTTACCGCCATATTTTATTTTTGGGCCTAACCTCTTGGCTCTTGTTTTACCGCGCGATAAATGTTTGGTCGTTATCTTTGTAACGCGATAGCTTTTACCGCCATACTGATGTTTTTTAATTACATGACTTATCCTTGGAAAACATCATAACGGTGTTCCATTTATTTCAGGTGTTTGTTCATTTGTTTTTCCAATGTTGATTCGCTTTTAAAGACGTCAAAGAAACTTCACGAGTCCCATTTAATTACGACGATCAACTGAAAATCTATAAGAACAAAAGTACATAAGGAAGTAGGAACATTATTAATTAACTTGTTGCTTAATTACCGTAGCCATCTTACAAATTTAATTTCAGGATAAGGTACCAAGTACTTTTTTTTGGTTTTACACCTTTATTTTCTTTTGCTTTGCTTCTTTTATTATTCCACGCTTGCGAGCATCTACTGAATACACTTCCTTATTAAAGAAACAAAAGGGTTATGCTAGGAGGAAAAAGGGTTAAGAACAAAAAGCACGATCACATGCAACAAACCATAATAAATCAAAAGGGAAAAGAACAGAGAGAACTTAAAGTTTGTGCATATGAGTCAGTAGCGGTAATAGCATGATAAGGATAAAGGATCTGAGCTTCGTAGAAAGTTGAATGTAGCACTATTACTGACGTTACTATCTATAGTTTGTCTATAGATATCATAACAATTAACGTTATTGTGAAACGAATCACAGGCCCGATTTAAAAGACCTTTTGGCAAACCTGAAATCGAACCTTAGTGTAGTTGTCTTCAGTTATTCAGTGTTAAGCGTACCATAATATGTTTTAGGGATGGTATATGTATTCAAACTCAATTGTAATCATACTAGATCACTAGTGTTCAGAATTAGTCTATAATGATTTTCAAATTACTCTAGTGATCAACAAAATTAATTATTAAGTAGATTTGAGGAAAGATAATTAATGTTTTCCCTTCTTTGTCAACTTTTAACCAGGGGTGAACCGAAATGGACCCAACCCACCAAGGTCAAAAGCTTCGTTGGTCCTTAGGAGAAGGAAAACAATGGCAACGACTAATAACTAATGTACCATTTAACTTAGACAATTCTAGCAAAGAGAGCATTAACTATTGTTAATTAGTGTTCAACCAATCCACGTCAGTAACCACCTGGAAATGTGTTGGTTTTCGCACATGCTAAACACTAACGCATCACAGACTTCACAGTACGAGTGCTCGGGGGAAAGACAACAAAATAAAAGCAGTGCAAATTTTTGTCTTGCCGTACAGCTCATGCCGACAAACGTCACATTACATTAACATGACGTCATGTATCGGGCCCATTGATGATGATATTGTATCACAAAACGTATTGGATTTGGTATCATTTTAACAAATTATACTTATGGATTATAATTTCAAATTAAATTTGAAATAAAGAGTTATTCGAATTCAAATTTTCTCAAACAGCCTCACTCACTCACTGTACATATCTTACCTGGTTTACCTATGTTTTTTTTTAATATGTAACTAATTAACTATGTTCAGTTTGATATATAGTCTATAGTTTTGGTTCAACTTTTAACAACGTATGTTAAATTTCTAGAATTACTTTTCACGGTGTATTTTATACATGCGAAACGATTTGTTTGTTTGATCAACCAGTCCCATTGCCGAAACTTACAATAAGGTAAGATGCATATTATTGAAAACCTTTTCTCTTGTTTTGTACTTACTATACGATCGAATTGTCAAAATCATCAAGTAATTTGAACATACAGGTAAGAAAGTAATGATTTGTTGCCTTACATCTTACAACCATCTTGGAACAATTCATGATAAGCTTCAAAACACTCTCCTTTTTTTTACCTTGCTTTTCAACATATTCTTTTCTTTTGCTTTAATTTCTTTACTATTTATTCTTCTTCACGCTTCTTTTATTTTAAATGTGTACCAAATATTTTCGTATTAAAGAACATAAGATTTTGCTTAGGGGAAAAAGAGTGGAGAACAAAAAGCACGAACATGCAAAAACATAATAAATCAAAAGGAGAAAAGAAAAATAACAAAATTTGTTTTTGGTCAATCGAAATTTTTTGGTTGATAAGTTTCCAAAATAGTTCTTGATTCTTTTTTTCTTTGTTGTGCTCAATTTTGAATAGTCTATCTTGATCACTCTTAAGAAAAAAAAAACATAACCATATTTTTCATTTTATACAACAGGTGTAAAACATGTCAACCAGTGATTAATATTGTCTTAACATTTCGCGTACATAATATGTCGACCCCTTGTATGATTACAAATACTAAACATATTAACCCTTAGTTCTTATTATAGTAATTGTACCCTTCCCTAATGTTTGTATCTTCGTGAAAGCAACCACGGCTTTGCCTGATAGACCCGGACCATGTGCAGTGAGACACGGACGGCAGGCAAAGGCTCCAACCGGATGCCGAACCGGCCGAGCCGATGGCATGAGAATCCTCTTATTGATGTCATTTAGGGTTACATCTTCTTCTCTACCACCAGGTTTCACCACTCCAAATGGATACACCACTCTCTTTTTCTTTTCATTTTCATTCTTCTCTGTTTAATGCACATGTATTAAATTAGTATAAATTAAGATCAACACAGTAATTTAGTACGCAAACGACTAAACATAAACATAATCTCAAACGGAAAAACCAATCCGTTCCCATATAATACATTTTCTGTAAGGAAATATATAATACATACTTGAAGCGGACGAGGATGTTACGAAAGAGCTTTTCGAATGATTTGAAGCGTCTGAACAAATATTGATGGACGAATTTGGAGATTCATCTGCTCAATATGTAAGAAATTAAGTTAAAAACAATGTTTATTCATGCAGATAATGAAATTATCTGGATATTTTTATTATTTATACATTCGAGCAAAACTAATTTTAAAAGAATTGTATATTTACTAGTGATCACCCTGACCATAATAAAGAAGTAGGTCTCACCTGCAAACTGACTACTCGTGCAACTATAATTCTCAGACAGGCCCCAATTGTTCTGCATTATTGTATTGCACGATCAACCAAATTAGTATCACAATAATTTTCTTTAAAAATAAAAAAAAGTATGGGAAACTTATGTAAATGACAAACGAAACAATAGAGTACTAATGTAAAACCTGAGAATTGTCAAAGTGGTTATTTGGTATGTCCTCGGCGTTGAACGAGAGACGTCTCCGTTTACTTCTCCCACTGAATTCAATGAGCGCGTCTTCGAGGTAGCCGGTGGAAACGTCGCCCATATCAACCTCCGGTGAACAGAATATATCGTCCGGCGATTCATTATCAAAACGCCCACATGCATCTACAAGTATATTGATGGCCAAATTCCTCGCATTACTATGATTATATTATATAGTTAATAAGTATATAGTTTTTAAAAGAAAACCTTTTTGAACTACTGGTACAAATACATTCATCTTTAAAAAAAGAAACATTATTTTGTTTGCATGAAGTCACCCTCGTATACATATCAACAATCCCAACGCAAATCATCTCTATAAACATTCACTTATAAACATATATATATATATATACGTGTTTGTTTGCTGAATATACCTAGATTGAAGTTTTGGTTGAAGAGTGATCCGAGGTTATGGAGATCCCAAGTTGGAAGAGAGTAGAGAAGCTCACTCATTTTTTAAAGAAAAAAATATGTGTTGATTGAGTGTGAGTGTGTTGAATTAAGGGGATACCATGTGGCTGCCTATTTATCTTGGTGGGTTGTGAGTAAAAAGCTTTCAATATTTTTTTTAAAAAAAAGAAAAAAAAGAAAGGAAGTAAAAGCATTGAAGAAATTAAGAAGGAGCAAATTCAGTACTCAACACAGTCAACTGTAAAAGGAAATAAATAACAATATGGCTGGATAGTGTGTGCCCATCAGGATTAATCTTAAAAAAATCTAAGTATACATTGGTTATTCGTAAGCTTGTGAAAAGATCATTTTGATTACACTACTTATTGACCGAGTGTTTATAGAAAACTGATATACTGTGGCTCTAACTGGTGACGGATATGATTTTGATTACACTACTAAATATGATTTCGGTACTCCATATGATTTCGGTACTCCGCCATTACAGAGTTACACTCATTTTTATAGCAAGAAACCAAATGAGTTAAAAAATGAAGTCTAAATTTACAATTTGAGTTATAGAGTAATATTAATATTTATATAGATGCATATTATTCAGACAAATATATTTTGGTCCAAAAGTATATAGTTACGTAGAGTAGTGAATGCCTTCTTACAAATTCTATACCACACTTTAGTCGGATTAGACTGATGTAATGATATAGTAGTGACAACACTTTTAGAAATTACAATGTTGAGCTTTAGTCAATGCATCAAATTACTTTAAATAATTAATAACACAATATACATATATATATGACATGTAGAAAGACAAACTATATATGTCAATGAAAAATATATTGATATTGACCAATGTATAAAACAAAAATGGAAAAAATGTTCATTAACGTTTTGAAATTTGAGTGGGGTTAGGTAAATGGGGGACTGAATAATGGCTAAAGGCGATGATACTACCCATCATGATGTCTATGTTCTATTGCTGCTCATGCATGTTACTCCGGGAAGAGAGAGAGAAAACGGTAGATACATGATATATAACTTTGATTTGCTCCTGTTATGTATTATTAGTACAATATCTATGATTAGCTATATTCTTTTGGATTTGTACATTTCTATGAATGTTGAATCACCAATAGTAATTATGATGTATTTAGATTTTCGAATGCGAAAGCTAATAATGAAATATAGGGTTTATAAAACCGAACAAATTAAAAGTGTAGAAGTACAAAATATATAATTCCGAAACATGGTTAAATATAAAGTTTGTTTAACTATCATCAAAACTATAGGAAAAAAACTCGATCAAGATTCTAATCAGGGCTATATATACGTAGATACTTTAGTTGCAAATAACATAAGTGAAACGTGAGCCTTCGTTGTACTAATCCTGATGATAATGTTTGATTCAACCATATTCTGCACAATAAAAAGGACAACACTTGGCGTTTTCTACTCTAGATAAAACTTCACTTGTATTGATGTGAACTGTTCACATTATAAGGAAACAATGTAATAAATACAAAGACGAGCCATACTATGTAAGTAAAGTAAGATGGTTCATAAAGATTGTGGACTCATGCATGTTGACCAAAATGAAAATTAAAATCTAAATTACACATAAGAGAATTTCAAATTTGCAGCTTTATCTGTATGCTGTATGCATATTCCTCAAAATAATTCTTGCTTTCAGATTTGGTGAACAACCTGTTCTTCTATTATTAGGTACTTTTTTTCGTAATGTTTTAATTTCATTTCTTCCCCATCGTGGGGTCATGTCATACCTATCACGTTTACTTCATCATTACTTACCTTTATTTCAATATATTGTTGTTCATAACTTGCAAAGTTTTTTTGTTTTTTTGTAGTTTTGTACCATCATGTATATTTCTACATGATGAGATTGAGAATATAACACAACGCAAGCACATTAATTACTAACTTGATCGACTTATCGAAGTTACAACTATCTAATACTTCAACATATAAAACGTAGCGTGCATATGATATGACAAGTTGACAACTAATCAGACATGACTCATGATCTTACACTAATTACATGGAATTTTACCAGAGTCATCTTGTATGAGTCACTTCACATTTGCTGAAAAGAAAAACAAAAAGAATTACTTCATATTTTATATTTTTACTTTACCTCTATTTTTATTAATGCGACAAAACAAAAGGAAAATATAGTGTTATTATATTTGTCTGCTATTTTGCTTTTTCTCGAATGTAATGCATATAGCCGGCATAGGAATTTTCAGTGGGGCCGATTGTGGGCATGCCGGCGGGGCCCATATCAAAATTTAGAAAGATTGTAGCCGTATCATTAGTAGGGCCAACTTCTTTAAATTCTGACTTTGAATGGTCCAATAACTCGAACGCATTGAGATTTCAGATTTGAGACCACCTCCTCCGATTACAATTACTCTCTCAAGTCACAAGTCACAACATATGTGTATTGGTCAAATTTGATGATTGCAATTTACTTGGTTTCTGGATGGGTAATCCGTAGAATTGAGAAATAAGTTACGATACTTTGGGAAAAAAAAATAATACTAATCACACAATTGCATACTTAATTGCTCTCTTTTCAATTTCATACGTACCATTAAAATATTACCACAACACGAGATTCAATATCTACTATATATAATTTCAAACGTTATGATTGATCCATGATATAAACCCATTATATTTTCCATGATATAAACCCATTATATTTTTCATGGGTCCGAGTAGATTTTTCAAAATCTTATGTTGCACTATCTTGATCATATACCAATATACTGTTTCAACAGAAACCTTTTAGTGGGGGGTAGATTTCAACCAATGTTTTCTTGTTTTGTATTGTTTTGCATTGTGATGTAAGCATACAATATATGACACGTAGAACAAAAAAAAAAAGGTACGAAGACTATAGTTCTGGTAAACCATACATTAATCATAATCATAAACCATACATTCATAACCACAAACCATACATTTAGAATCTTCTTTGTAAACCATACATTCATGATCATAAACAAATACAAATTATTTGAACTTGTTGTGTTTTACCAAGGCTGTGCTGTATTTGTCTTTGCATGTGTCTTTTGTACGGTTGTTCATCGGACGGTTCGAGATCGGTAATCATGGTGAATCAAACGGTGATGATTGAAGCTGATGTTCGAATTCAGACGAAGATTTTGTCTGTTGCTGTTACTTGATTGGACCCATTGCTTTTAATAATTGAGCGCATGTAGCGAAGTTAAGTCCACACTTTAAACAATCTTTATGGAAAGTAATTTAAATGGTTATACAAACCATATGAAATCTTTTGGGGCCCAAACACATAAGTTTGAAATGTACAAAGACTGTTGCATTTCACAGCCCAATGAAATTTCCGACTCGTTTATACATACCCCAAACCGGATTCTGGTTCAGTATGGTTATATAAACCAAATGGATTTACGCAAACCGGATTTTGGTTCAATAGACCTGAAGGGATTAATGGTTTACTATCATCTCAGAGAAAGAAAAAAAGACGACGAAAAACCCTCAAGCGCCGGCGTTCACTCTCTCCTAGCCAAAGTCGAATCGAATCCATTTTTCATTCTTGTGGTTTCTGGGTTGAGATTGAGAAATGCGATCATCATTGCGGCTTCTAGCTGGGTCTCTATTGGAGAGCAGGCGTGGGTTCTCCACGAGCTCCGAGAAGATCGTAGCTTCGGTGCTGTTTGAGAGATTGCGAGTTGTGTTACCCAAACCGGATCCCGCTGTTTACGCTTTTCAGGAGTTCACGTAAGCCCTCCTCCTTCTCTCTCTCTGTTTCTCGAGTGTTGCTTGCTATGTTCTGTATTACTCTGATTTCAAAATGATGAGAAACCCAGAGAAAATGTGGGAAATGGTACAATTTTGTGATTCAAATAATGCTTCTATGTAGCTCAATGTCGGTTTTTATGTGGCAGAATCAGTAGGATTTGAGAGTAATTGTTGAGCAGTGAACTTTTGATCTCATTAATTGAAATAAGGATTCGTTATTTTTCAGAGAAATGAGAGTGTGTAAGCTGATTTTGATCTTATGGAATGAGAAAGCGTTAACTTATTCTTATTTTGTCTTGAAATTGTTGCTCTATTGCAGATTCAATTGGCAACAGCAGTTTCGTCGTAGATACCCAGATGAGTTCTTGGACATAGCTAAGAACAGGTAATTCCTTCTCATTTTTGAAGTGTAAATGTAGAGATTATATCACTTAAAAAAGTTCCTGCTTTTGTCAATCTTCTTTGATAATCTCATGATGTGTCCTACCATAAATCTGCTCTTGTTACTTTGTCTCATCTTCATTATGACAACAGCAAATAACTGTTATATGCTCAAATTTTCTCCTCCAAGTGTAGTAAAGCTTCTTCCTTGAAAATTCCGTTTTGTCATTGGTTGATCTTTTAATGTGTGAATTACAGATCCAAGGGTGAATACCAAATGGACTATGTACCTGCTCCTAGAATTACAGAGGCTGACAAGACAAACGATAGGAAGTAAGTTGTTTGCATCTTCTGAAAACGATATGGACTTTGCATTCTCTTTCACTGATGATCGGATTTTTTACTCTTGGAAAATGCCGGCTATTACAGGTCATTATATAGAGCTCTTGACAAAAAACTGTATCTTCTCGTCTTGGGGAAGCCATTTGGAGCTACTAGTGACAAACCCGTCTGGCATTTCCCGGAAAAAGTCTACGATTCTGAGCCAACTCTTCGCAAGGTGATGGTTTAGTGCCTCTATCTCAATCCATAAACACTATTGATTTCGTTCCTCTGTTATGTAAAAAATTGGTTTATTTGCAGTGCGCTGAATCTGCTTTGAAGTCAGTCTTAGGAGATCTCACTCATACATACTTTGTTGGAAATGCTCCAATGGCTCACATGGCTATACAACCCACACAAGAAACTCCTGATTTGCCATCTTTCAAGGTAACAAACAAAGCTCAGGAGAAAATTCATCGAATTTGAAGTTGACTGGTTAACCTTTTAAAATTCTTCTTCTCTTTTTATTGTTGTTGTTGTAGAGGTTCTTCTTCAAATGCAGTGTAGTGGCAGCATCGAAATACGACATAAGTAACTGCGAGGACTTTTTGTGGGTAACCAAAGATGAGCTTTTGGAAATCTTCCCTGAGCAAGCTGATTTCTTCAACAACATGATCATTAGCTGAGAGATTCACTTTGTATCACTTCTTCTTCTTCATATCACTGTGATCTTGCTGGTTTCTTAGACAGTTGTTCCAAACATGGTGTGTGCAGGTCTCCACTGTAATAACCCACACAGACCAAACCATGTCTCTCTTCTTTTTTGTCAGATGTGACGTGAAAGTTTTTTTTTTTTAATGTAGTTGCCTTTTTTCTCAACCTGTTTATACATCATCTCTCAGATACACAGACACCACAGTTCTTCAATGGACGTTTCAATCTCATTTTGATATAGATCAAACTCTAATGAAAAAGACAACTGCAATTCGTAGCCCACTGGGCCCGAAACTCAAAATCTGTATTTGTTTTTCGGGATTCATTTCTCTTTGACGTCAATCGATAATTCGATATTAAAAAAAAGCATTTTCAATAAGCCCTAGCAAGTTTCGTTTCTGTCTATGTCACTGCTCTTCCTGAGAAGAGCCAAGCCGTTATTTGTATCTTGTTCAGCTTCTCCTCCTACTCGTGCCAGCTTCTTATCTCCGACCTTCTCGAATCTACTACTTCGATCGTTTCACGGTTCCCGGATAATGGTACGGTAGCAATTCCGAATGATTGTAAACTGATGGGAATTTCACTCGGATTTCGAAATTGTTCTGATGTTTGAATGTTTGTTTCTCTGAATACGCAGTCTGAAGCAGAGAAGAAGATCCTTACTGAAGAAGAGCTTGAGCGGAAGAAGAAGAAGGATGAGAAGGTTTGACTTACTGATTTTTGCTTCCATTTCTCATAATCATCCTCCTAGTTAGAATTTGCGTGGTAATGTTGCTCTCGTAGTGCCTAATTGTAAGAATTCCAACGTTTAGAATCTCGTAGACGAATTTGTTGAGTTTAATTTTGGATCAAGGGAATGCTTAGAGAGATAGGATAGTGATGCAATTGGCTGTGGTTTTATATTCATGGTCAATGTTTATTTTCCGTATTGTTCTGGATTTGTATACTTTTGAATACCTTCATTTCACTTTTGCTGTGGTGAGTGTTAGTTACAAAAAAATGAATTCGGTTTTTGGTTATGTTAATCTCATCAGTTTCTACTTGTTTGGACTTGAGTTAGTATTTACTCCAGTACAGTGTCAACTCTGAGATTGATTTGTGAAAAACATTTTTTATAGGCTAGAGAAAAGGAGTTAAAGAAGCAGAAAGCTTTGGAGAAAGCGAAGCTAGCAGAACTGAAGGTAATCTTTGAGGAACTCCAGTTATGTATTTTGGGTCCCTGTTGCAAATGTATGCAAGTCACATCCTTTATCTTCTGCATCTCATGTAGGCAAAACAAGCAAAAGATGGAACCAGCGCACCTAAAAAGAGCACAAAGAAGAGTTCCAAACGGGATGCGTCAGATGAGAATCCGGAGGATTTTGTGGACCCTCAAACTCCTCTTGGTGAGAGGAAAAAGCTCTCCTCGCAGATGGCTAAACAGTACAGTCCTGCTGCCGTAGAGAAATCGTAAGTGTGCTGAGCTTTGAGCGTTTTGTTTATTCATCTCACAGAAATTTCTTTAGATAATCTCTGAGTTATTCTTTAATTGGGTCAGATGGTATGCTTGGTGGGAGAAATCTGACATGTTTAAGGCGGATGCTAAGAGTTCCAAGCCACCTTTTGTTATTGTAAGGCCTTATTCGATTCTTGAATTCATGTTCATTTCGCATTAGACCTTGTTCATTTCCTTCTTCCTGTAATTGATTCTGCAGGTTCTTCCTCCTCCAAATGTGACTGGAGCCTTGCATATTGGCCATGCCTTAACATCTGCAATTGAGGTTTGATTGGCACATTATTTGGTTCTACTTCTCTGTCTACTGTTCCTACTGATGATTAGCGGCTTGAAATTTGCTGATGTAGGATATGATTATTCGGTGGAAGAGAATGTCTGGGTATAATGCTCTGTGGGTGCCTGGGATGGACCATGCTGGTATAGCTACACAGGTTCGCCATTACCATTGATCTGTCCCTATCTTATGTCCTGTATTACTATAAAATCAGGCTATAGAGTGAATCTTCTGTTGGCCTGCTTGTAGATTGTTTATTTTTTTGCAGAATGTTTCATATTCTTTGATTGGATATACATTCTAGGTTGTGGTTGAGAAAAAGCTCATGCGGGAAAGAGGAATAACTAGGCATGACATCGGCCGTGAAGAATTCATAAATGAAGTGAGTTGAAATTAATATACGCTCATGAAATTGTTTCCATTTTGCACTGGTTAAAAATTTTCTTTGTCGTTCCGTATGATCATGGAAAAGGTGTGGAAGTGGAAGGACCAACATGGTAGCACAATTCTAACTCAACAACGGCGTCTAGGAGCTTCTCTTGATTGGTCGCGTGAGGTAGTGATCCGGCCTTTCTTGGAAAAATATAATGGAAAATTGCCATTGTTTAATTTATTTTGCCACTAGGTGAACTTATATGTAAATAGATCTTTTAACGTCACTTGTGTCCCTGGGATATTTATCTGACATATGTGTTTCTGCCTGTATTTTGTAGTGTTTTACAATGGACGAGCAAAGATCAAAAGCTGTCACTGAAGCCTTTGTACGGTTATACAAGGAAGGGCTTATCTACAGGTATGTTTAATTCTTACTTTGTTCTCTGGCGCAATCTATAAAATTCCCATTGTAAAAATCCATGGAAAGAGTAATGTACAAAAAATAGGAATAGTTCTCTTTTACCTTTTTTCAGTTACCATGATGAAAGAAAATACATTTAACTGAAAGGCATACTATGGCCTCTGCAGGGATATTCGGCTTGTGAATTGGGATTGTGTTTTGAAAACAGCCGTATCTGATGTTGAGGTAAGTCTGTAACTATTAGACTATTGTTATTGGACGGCATCCTTTTAACGTGGATTGTGTCTATATATGTAGGTTGATCATATCGATATAAAAGAAAGAACGCTACTAAAAGTTCCTGGCTATGAGAAGCCAGTAGAATTTGGTCTTCTTACTTCATTTGCTTACCCTCTGGAGGGAGGCCTGGGCGAGGTTGTGGTTGCCACTACAAGGGTGGAAACAATGCTCGGGGACACTGCCATTGCTATTCATCCTGATGATGCAAGATACAAGCATCTTCATGGGAAATTTGCTGTCCATCCATTTAATGGACGGAAGTTACCAATTGTCTGTGATGGAATACTTGTTGATCCAAAGTTTGGTACTGGCTGTGTTAAGGTGCATGCTCGCTCTTGTATATGCTATGTTTCTGCCCCTATTAGTTGATTTTCTTGCGTCATAGTTGCTTTATTTTTCTTTTGTAGATTACTCCAGCCCATGACCCCAATGATTGTGAGGTCGGAAAGCGTCACAATCTTGAATTTATAAACATTTTCACTGATGACGGAAAAATCAACACAAATGGTGGGTCTGAGTTCACAGGGATGCCACGCTTTGCAGCACGTGAGGCAGTTGTTGAAGCTCTGAAGAAGAAGGTAATTCTGTAATTCCTCACGTCACATATCATAGCAACTTTTTTTATTGTTGGTCTGAGAAGATATTGTTACACCGTGGGTGGTTGCTTGTAAGTGTATTCTACATCTAACATTAACTGTTTTGTCAAATTATATATTCCAGGATCTGTACAGAGGTGCCGTAAACAATGAAATGAGGCTTGGACTTTGCCAAAGAACCAGTGATGTTATTGAACCGATGATTAAGCCTCAATGGTACGTCAACTGCAGCATGATTGGAAAGGAGGCTCTAGATGTTGCTATCACTGACGAGAACAAGAAGCTTGAGTTTGTACCAAAGCAGTACACAGCAGAATGGAGAAGGTTTCTTTCATTTATCACTTACTCCACGGTTATATCTTTAACCATCTATTAACAATCACAATGGACCTTACAGATGGCTAGAGAACATACGTGACTGGTGTGTTTCAAGACAGCTTTGGTGGGGCCACCGAATCCCAGCATGGTATGCCACTCTAGAGGAAGATGAGAGGAAGGAGCTCGGTGCATACAATGACCATTGGGTTGTTGCTAGAACCGAGGAGGAAGCTCAAAAAGAGGCTGCTCAAAAGTTTTCTGGGAAGAAGTTTGAACTCAAACAAGATAATGATGTACTTGATACGTGGTTTTCTTCTGGGCTCTTTCCATTATCTGTTCTGGGATGGCCCGATGAGACTGAGGACTTCAAAGCCTTCTATCCTACATCTGTGTTAGAAACTGGACATGACATTCTGTTTTTCTGGGTTGCTCGTATGGTTATGATGGGAATGAAACTAGGTGGTGACGTTCCGTTCAGCAAGGTACGTGTAAATTTGAAGTTAAACAGGGATCATACACTCCTGAGCCATCTTATAGACCAAAGAAAAATATTTCTTGTCTTTGCTATAGGTTTATTTGCATCCTATGGTACGTGATGCACATGGGCGTAAGATGTCAAAATCTCTTGGAAATGTCATTGATCCGCTTGAAGTAATAAACGGAGTAACTCTTGAGGATCTTCAAAAGAGATTAGAAGAGGGTAACTTGGATCCAAAAGAGGTGGCTGTTGCCAAAGAAGGACAAGTGAAGGACTTTCCAAATGGTATCCCTGAATGTGGCGCTGACGCTCTTCGGTTTGCGCTCATCTCGTACACATCTCAGGTACTTTGCATCGATCTCAGCCCTTACACACTCTTATTTACTCCTTCACCGTATGATCTTTAAACTAAGAATTGCTCCACTCTTGTTTCTTTTCCAGTCTGATAAGATAAACTTGGACATCCTCCGTGTTGTTGGATACCGTCAGTGGTGTAATAAACTATGGAACGCCGTCAGATTTGCGATGATGAGGCTCGGCGATGACTATACCCCTCCGTCGACTCTAAGCCCTGAAACCATGCCATTCAGCTGCCAATGGATTCTCGCTGTACTAAACAAGGCAGTATCAAAGACAGTAGAGTCACTGAACGCATTCGAGTTCTCGGATGCAGCTAACACAGTATACGCATGGTGGCAGTATCAATTCTGTGACGTGTACATTGAAGCAATCAAGCCTTATTTTGCTGGTGACAACCCAGCGTTTGCTTCAGAGAGGGCTCATGCACAACATGCTCTCTGGATATCTCTGGAGACTGGTCTGAGACTGCTTCACCCGCTTATGCCTTATGTTACTGAAGAGCTATGGCAACGTCTGCCTTCACCCAAAGACTGTGAAAGAAAGGCGTCCATCATGATATGTGACTACCCTTCTGCTATAGAGGTCAGTAAGATTTCCACAGTAACTTGTCATAATAGTTGTTCGGGTTTCTAACTCTTTTCTTCTGATGTGGTGAACTCAGAATTGGGCAAATGAGAAAGTGGAGACCGAAATGGAAACCGTTCTATCGACCGTGAAGTGCCTGAGAGCACTCAGGGCAGAGTTGATGGAGAAACAGAAAAATGAAAGGTCTGTGTATATTTTAATTGAAGCCACATTCGAATAACAGTTTCAAACATGTTCTTATAAGTTATAACCATCCTGCATTTTTCTCAGGTTACCTGCTTTCGCTGTGTGTGAAAACAACGCAACAGCTGAGATGGTGAAATCTCACGAGTTGGAGATTAGGACGCTTGCTAATCTATCATCCTTGGAGGTAAAAGTCCATCTATTCGGTTTCTTTCGTACGGTTTCTCTGTTGTTCTCTCTTTTCTTTTCTGAAATTTCTTGGAGCTTTTGCAAATAGGTTTTCTTAAAGGGAGAACACTCAGCTCCACCTGGGTCTGCAGTTGAGACAGTGAACGAGAACGTAAAGGTGTATCTTAAAGTGGACGGAGCCATTGATACAGAAACTGAACAAGAAAAGATCAGAAACAAGATTGACGAACTGCAAAAGTAATTCCCTATATAAATTCCATGTAGTTGAATGAAAACAAATTGTTCCTCTTTCTGACATTTGTCTTCTTGTTTGATCAGGCAAAAGGAGAAGTTGGAGAAGAAGATGAGTTCGACTGGGTACGAAGAGAAGGTACCTGCGAACATAAAAGAAGACAACGCGACAAAGCTTGCTAAGATTCTCCAAGAATTCGATTTCTTTGAGAAGGAAAGAGCTCGTCTCGTGGAGCAGAAGAAGTGAAACACTCAAGTCACAGCTTCTGTCTGAAAAAGGACAAGCATATGAAACATTTTTATGTTTTGAGAAACTTTCTTTGTTGTTATTATGAACACCTTCTGAAAAAGAACAAAAAATTGTTGACTTAGTTTTGGACAGATTAATACAAGATTACAAGGACCACTTGTTTTGTCAAACGTCAAGGTCACTTTAATTTTCCTTTATTATGGCTTTAAGGCGTAGGATCGGTGTTTACCGGGTCAACCCGGTCTGAATTCGAATTGCTCCGAAGAATTTTAATTTTATTATCTATTGCTAATTCGTACGTGGCAAGTGAAGGGCCATATATAACTTTAAATAGTGAAATTTTCAGTTATCATCATCACCACGTTTCCTTATTTGGGTTTTGACCATCTGAGATTTGATAGTCTCATTAGAATCTAAATTTTTGAACATGTGGAGGAGTGAGTGAATGATCATCAAATCAAAGTTTGTTTGTAGAAAGAAACTATGGGTTCCATGGAAGAAGAGCAACCCCTCATCGAAGAAGGTCCAATACAGGTTCGAGCTGTGTTCTTACGTATGCCTTCTCTTTTGTAGTTTGAATCCAATTGCCAATTGGGGGCTATCACCAAATTTTGAACTTGTTTCTTCGGATTTCATTGATGAGTTTTGTTTCCTTTTTGCTGTTTATGTCTTGTTCTCCGTTGATTTTCCAGGAGTATGCTGAAGATGGTTCAACCGACATCAATGGGAACCCACCATTAAAACACAAAACCGGAAACTGGAAAGCTTGTCCATTCATCCTAGGTGTGAACACACGATTCTCATTTCCTTGCATATGTTTTGATGATGATCCTATCAGAGCTGAGTAAGACTTGATTATCTAAAACTCTGCAGGCAATGAATGTTGCGAGCGGTTGGCTTACTACGGTATTGCTATGAATCTCATCACATATCTCACCGCTGAACTACACCAAGGAAACGTTTCCGCCGCAAGAAATGTGACAACGTGGCAAGGAACTTGTTGCATCACTTCTCTGCTCGGAGCCCTCTTAGCCGATGCTTACTGGGGTAGATACTGGACCATTGCTTGTTTCTCCCTCATTTATTTCATCGTAAGTCTTAAAACACAATCCGGTTTTTTACAACAAATGTATATGCTTTTTTTATTGTCAAAAAATCAGTTTGGTTGAATGTTTTAGGGAATGTCTGCTCTGACTCTCTCTGCTTCGGTTCCATACCTGAAACCCTCTGATTGCGTCGGAGGCTTTTGTCCAGCACCAACCACGTCACAGTACTTAACCTTCTTCCTCGGGCTTTACCTTATAGCACTTGGCACCGGTGGAATCAAACCGTGTGTCTCCTCCTTTGGTGCGGATCAGTTCGACGAAAACGACTCGAAGGAACGAGTTAGGAAGTCTTCTTTCTTCAACTGGTTCTACTTCTCCATCAACATCGGAGCATTTGGATCATTGGGTCTAGTGTTGGTTCAGGAGAATATCGGTTGGGGATTAGGTTTCGGAATACCAACCGTGTTCATGGGATTAGCCATCATCAGTTTCTTCTTCGGCACGCCACTCTATAGGTTTCAGAAACCTAGAGGTAGTCCGGTGACACGTGTCTGCCAAGTTCTTGTCGCTGCGTTTCGTAAGATGAATCTCACAGTCCCTCAAGATCCAACACTCTTGTTTCAAAACGAAACAAAACACATCAAGCATTCAGATGATTACAAGTAAAATCCTTTTTGATTTTTTCATGGAAATTCTTGTTTAAGTTTGGTTCTGTTTTTTTTAACCTAAAAACACAACTTCATCTTGATGCAGTTGTCTCGACAAAGCAGCGGTTTTATCAGCTCAAGAAGACGTTTCTGATCAGTGGAGACTATGTTGTGTTACGCAGGTGGAAGAAGTGAAGATTCTGATTCGAATGTTCCCGATTTGGGCTTCGGGGATAGTCTTCTCGTCACTCTACTCTCAAATATCGACGTTGTTTGTGCAGCAAGGAAGAGCCATGAACTGCGAGATCGGATCTTTCAAGATTCCTCCAGCCACACTCGCTGTTTTCGACTGCATCAGCGTCCTCATTTGGGTCCCTCTCTACGACAAACTCATCGTCCCGCTCGCGAGACGCTTCACGGAAACCGACAAAGGATTCACCGTGCTTCAACGAATGGGAATCGGTCTTTTCGTTTCGGTCCTCGGTATAGCATCAGCAGCCGTGGTGGAGATCGTGCGTCTCGGGAACGCGGGATCCGGAAACGCGGTTTCTTTGACCGTGTTTTGGCAGGTTCCGCAGTATTTCATACTCGGTGCGGCGGAGGTGTTCTACTTCGTGGGACAGCTCGAGTTTTTCTATGATCAGTCGCCGGATTCGATGAGGAGTCTGTGTAGTGCGTTGGGACAGTTGAACTTTGCGGTTGGGAGCTACCTGAGCTCGGTGATCGTCACGGTGGTGACGTATTTCACGACGGTGGACGGTGGGGGTGGGTGGATTGCGGATGATCTCGACGAGGGACATCTTGATTACTTCTTCTGGTTATTGGCCGGTTTAAGTTGTTTGAATGCGGCGGTTTATGTCTTCTCTGCCGTTAATTACAAACAGAAGAACGCTTTGTAAGTTGTACAAAACCGAACTGAACCAAACCTGAAGGAAAACGAATGAAATGTAACCCAAACTCGAATTAATTGCAAATGTACCAAACCAAAATCAATAAAACTTTTAAAAACTTTTTATTTTTTCTTAAATATATACGAAAAATATTTGATACAATAGAGAACCAAAACTGAAATTACAGAAAATCAGACAAAAATACAATTTTGCTTTCAGTTTGATGATCCTTAGTATAACCAAACCGAATCAAATGAATTTCGGTTCTATTCGGTTTACTTTTTCACAAAAATCGAATAATCTAAACATACGGTCTACAAGACAATCGGATCAATGAAATTGCTAAGTATCCAATTGCCTTACTCCATCTCCAGGAGAGAATATCTTCCTTTTGCTTTTCTTATCTTCCTTTGCTCAAATATTTTAGCTGATTTCAATAATTTGAATAGGTATATTATCGGACCCACGATTACTTTGCCGCAGCCTTTTCATTTCCTCAAAGTGTTATCTACATTTGGTCTCGATCTCATTCATTGATGTCATGATTCTCATTCTGATAACTCTTTACATATTTCTTAATGCCCATTATGTCTCATTACTGCTTTTCCCTGAAACATTAGGTACCTGTCTGATTTTCTCTTCGGTGAAATCATTTGTTAGGTAAAAGTTTATTATTATTAGGCTGGTCAGAACTCAAATTTAGTTATGTATATTAAGTTTGGTACGTACTCTCATACACTTTATTTAACTTCTAGATTTGTTTTGTCTTCGACTTCTACAAATCAAAATTCCCATGCACATGTAAAATTCTGCTATCTATAATAGTGTGCATTCATTGTATAGAAGATTTTGCAAAAATTGCAATTATGGATTGGTGCATAAGAGAACATATGCAAAAGCCTGTAAAGGGAGAAAGAATTATTCTCTTTATGTCTCTCTCCTTCTTCTTCTCACCTGCCAGATTACAATTTACACAATTAAACTTGTGTTATTCTTCCAACGTTTCTAGTAGCCCCATCTAGAATTTGTCTCTCTTGCTATGATTACAACCATGTGTGTGTTGCCTCTGTAAACCTAAAGTTTCACTTGAATTTTCAACATGTTATGATTTTCCCAATATAACTCATACTTTTATGTATTTGGACAGGAAGCTCTCAACTTATGCTCCAGTGTGCTATGTTATCGAATTCAAATGTCTGCTCAAATTTCCAATTGTAATATTTTCTTATGTTGATTCTATTGTTTACATAAACAAAAAAACACATCTCATCGACAATTTAGTATAACAATTCGCATATTCTCTACAGTTTTCTATTTAGTACTTGCACTAGCAGGTGGATATTGAGATTTTTTTGGGGAGGATATGGAGATGCAGTAAAAGAAAAGTTATATATTGATAATCGTTTAAAGAAGAAAAATTATGTATTAAATATGTTATTTTGGTGGCCCATCTATTCTCAAATCACACTTTTAAACAAACACTCTCTAGGTGTTTTTCTCTCTCGGTTGATTACACCTTTTATTATATTTTAGAGTTTTGATCGGTCGTGCATGTGCTATGATTGAAATCAGTATAAAGTGTAAGGGGAGAAAATAATAGTAATTATATTAATGGTCAATTCTAATAAAATGGTTCGGTGAGAATTTTTGTGGATCGAAATAGAATTTAGCCGTTATGATAATCCGAAATCCATTTTTTTCAAGAATCCTATATTTTCAAGCTGTGTGTATATTATCTACAACACACACAAATATATATATCCTCAGGAAATGTTTGATTGTAGTAAAAGCCATGAATCATGGTCCTGTAGTCAATTTCACATTAAATTTCTTTTGGATCTATTTGGGAATTCATTGAATGTTGTGATTGTTAATTTTTCGTTTTCATAATATTATTTCAGAAAGCAAAACTTATGTCGCGACATGTAGCCACGAATCATTTTTTTCATGCCAACTTTCGTATGTGATAAATTTCTTTAGGTAAGTTCGATCAGAACACATAATCAAATTTTAATTTAAAAAATGGTTAAAAATTGAACTGTTTCGACATTTGTTTGGGATATAAGATAAATAATACGACATCGTTCCAGAATCCAGACACAATGTGATCACGTATCTTTTTTACAACAGATAGTTGCTATCTTTTTTGTTCGTAAAGCCGACAGTTGATATAATAGTTAGGGTATAAACACCTTAATTCAGACCGTTTTCTTAGATTTTCTAAACCATTCAAGTAGTTTTGGCTTATACGTAGAAACATGTTGCACATTTGTATGTATGTAATATGTATAAGACACTTTGGATAACTTTTAGGTGCAAAGTGAGCAAAATTTTCAAACCGTATGTCATGTGATCTAGTCTTTTTCTTGAAAGTCAATAACACCACCTTGACATATTCTAACATTAGGCTTCGTGATTCATATGGGGTTAAAAGGTCCACTTTGTACGTAACCTCCGATTGATTTCAGTATTACGGCTTGGTTTGATTCTTTTAGTGTTATACATGTGCAACTTTCTAATTTTGGTCCTTATCAACAAAAACAAAAGAAACAAAATTCTCCATGTTGGTCGGTTTTGTTGAATACATCTTCTAAATGGTACACAGTTGAAAGCAAAGTATGAGTGGTACATTTTTTGATAAACGTTGAAAAATAAATGAAGGATAACAATTAAGTACGGCTGCAAAACAAACGGAATGATCATGATCTTACTTTGATCTATATCTTGTACAAAACAACTTATATATTTGAAGTAACTAGATAAAAAAAAATAAAAAAATTAAGAGATCAAAACAAAACCTTGGTTACGGTCAAGAAGATGACGGGCTATGTGTACTACTACTTACATACCCATTTGGCCTTTTCGTCATCGACGACATTTACGTCCCACCTTCCTACTTTAAGCAACCTCCTACGTTTTTTTTCTTCATCATTTAAGAAAATACAATAATTTGTCTATAGCAATGTGGGATCCGAATTATACTGGGACTGTAAATATCATATTTAAAAATGGGAAACGTGACGGGATCACTTATCCTAAAATAATTTGTCTACAGAAATGGTCTCTTTTATTTTAATTCATATAGAAATGGTCTTTGTATGGGGGTTTGACAATTTTTATAGGAAATGTAGCCTCAAAAATACCGTAATTTTGTGGAAGCATTACAATGGTTTAATCCAATTCACTTGAACTGGATTAATGTATACTGAATTGGATTACTCATGAGTGGGCTACCACGTAGGGAAATGATTTTGATTTGTTTTCAGTATGCAGCAAGAAATCAGAAGAAAGTAAGAGGACAAACTGAAAAGAACCAGAAGCATAGGGGCATGTGTAGTGAATATCATTACTTTATTTTGTTTTTCATATTGAATTAAACAGCAACAAGAAAAAGAATAAATTGAAATTAGACGAAAATGTGAAAAGCAAATTAGGAGAATGAAGTCGATTTAAAAGAAAAATAATCAGGAGAATGAAGTCAAAAAGGTTGGTTCAAATACGTACGATGGACCATTAATATAACTTTTGTAATTATCAGAAAGTGAATAGTAACACGAAACCCCAGAAGAAAAAAAATAGAGAGGAGAAAAAAGGAATGATGATCCTAAGGTCAAAGCTTAGCAGTTGGGCTATTTTCATTTTTTCATTTTTATTTATTTTACTTTGGTCTAAAAACCCTATCACGAGAGAAAAGTTTGACACCTAGAGGAAACTTCTTCATTTGGGTAAATCCCAAATCCCAATAAGGTAATTCTTGTAAGCTAGGATTGGATAAAGTCATAAAACAAAAGCAAATATTCTGTTCTACAAAATACTTCTTGGTAACATGGTGCTGGTCGAAATTTGTCGAGATTTTTTAAAAGAAGAAAGAAAAATACGACATAGCCGTGTACAAAATTATTTTTATCAGTGGACAGATATATATTAACAAAGTAAACCGTCAATATTAGTCAAAGTAGAATTCAGTATCGTATATTAACCCAATTTAATGAGTTTGGTGCTTTATAATAACTCAATTGGAATGTACTGTATCGACTAAAAAAACATATTATCCTAAAATTTGACATATTGGAGTGTAGACTAATTTTCAAACTATACAACTTTTTTAGAAATTGACGGTAATCGATGAATACTTAATAGCCTTGCAAAACACCATTTCTCCAACGCTGAGTGGTCCATGAATTATGGATACCAACCAAAGCTCAGCTCAAAAAGATTCTCGTAAAGCTATTTTCTAAAAATGCATGCAAAGTCAAATGGATGATAAATTTGTGTTGAATGTATTGTATTCGGTTAGGTCAAAAACACATGTCACCTCAGACTATATAAAAGTATAACAACATTCCAGCTGGTTACTAATTATAAAAATATATATCCCATCTTTATTCTTTCTATTTGGTCGACCAAGAAGTTACTCATCATATCACAATTTCTATTAAATTTGTGATTTTTCTTTAGCTTCTCATCATATCACAAGTTACTCACACATACATTCACATACAAACACAAATACACACATATAAGCAGCACGAGTTCTTCCAAAACGAGACAAAAGGGAATAGAAGGAAAAAGAAACCTTTATCTTTTATAAAAACAGAAAACCTTCGTCCTTTTTAATCTCTAACCTTCACTCACAATATCACAATCCCTCTTAGGGTTCTTCTTTCTCACTATATCTCTTCTTCGAGCTTCTTCTTCTTCTTTCAGTAACTTCAGAGAAATCCAATCGAAAGGATTAGGCTTTTCTTGAACTCATCTTTAAATGGGTAGGTGTGGAAGGAGCAGCGACGGAGGGATTGGTGGAGTTAGACCGTACGTACGGTCTCCGGTGCCTCGCCTGCGATGGACTCCGGAGCTTCACCGGAGCTTCGTTCACGCCGTTGAGATACTCGGTGGTCAATACAGTCAGTCTTTTCAACCAACTTTTTGTTTTTGCTAGTTTAAAGTTTAAATTTCTTACTCTCTTTTTTGGGTTTTAGATTTTTGTTTACGTTTTGTTTATGATTTGTTTTTTTTTCCCGCAATATATATATCCATCTTCATTATCGTCTTATTTTAGATTTGAATTGTTGGGTTGAATGATACAGAAGCGACTCCAAAACTTGTTCTTAAGATAATGGATGTGAAGGGATTAACCATTTCTCACGTCAAGAGCCATCTCCAGGTCAAACAAAATGATAAAACATTTCCTATCATTTTTTTTTGTAATATTAATCGCCTGCTACTGTTTATTCCTATATTGTATCACACTGCTTTATTCACCTTAATTTGTAGTAATTTGAATAGTTGTATCGTTTTTTGTTGTTTTGATCATACTGCAGATGTATAGGGGATCCAGACTGACTCTTCTTGGGAAACCGGGTAATGAATTTTGCCTATTGTTTAAAGAAGAAGACATTTAATTGAATTACACTCTATAACATCATAATTCCAGGATGTAGACAGTACTTTTCAAGTTTCCACCATTCACATCAAAACTGTAATGCATAAATTTAAGTCTCACTAGACCCATTGTCATAAATATTCTCTTATGCTAGTGAAAGTATTTATCAAAACAATCCCTTTAATTTTCTTTTTATAAGAACATGGAAAAAAAAAGAATTTGGATATAGCCTTATAGGTAAATAGGTGCTTCTTTAATTTACTGACGGAAAAAAGAACAAAAGGGTAAAGAGAATATTCATCATGGTCATTAATTAATTAATGTTTTTTATCATATATTTTTGGGGGACAGAAGAGAGTTCTTCATCATCTTCGAGAAGAAGAAGAAGACAAGACAATGAAGAAGATCATCTTCATGACAAGTTGTCTGTACACGCAAGGAATGATTGTCTTTTGGGTTTTCACTCTTTTAACTTTAGGTAATTTATTTTAATTTTTTAATTTTACTTTTGGGAAGAAATGGAAAGGGAATATTAATTTGTTTCTGACAAGTCTTTAAATTTTATTCCAGAAAATAGGTATGCTATCATACAGTTTTGTTTGAATATGAATTGTCGATTTTTATATTTCCTCTTTTATTTTTTTTTGTTTGGGAAGCAGAGATCAGACTTCAGCAACCGATAATGATGACGAGGACTTTCTTAACATCATGAACATGGAGAGAACGAAGACATTTGCAGGCTATGGCGAGTCCATCAAATTTCAGTCTCATCACTTTCTCGAGGTATTAAAGCATACTTTGAACTTTTTAATATATTGGATGGTTTCATAAATAGCCGTTACGAAATGTTACATCAGTCGTAAAAAATATTTAAGACTTAGATAAACACTCACTAAACCGTTGAACATTGTATGGGGTCAGGTCAACACTAGGGTAGGCTTGGGGCTGTGTACTGAAAATTTTCAGATATAGATTTGGTAATCGATAAATTATTTAGTAGCACACACTAATTCACTGTGGGTTAAAAGTAAAAACTGTCTTATAGAATCAAATCACTGCATATTGGATGGCGTGAAATTATCGGAATGGATTAGGCTACTTTATTTATTGTAGATGGTATCTGAATGCAAATTAAATAAAAAAAACACTAACTGCTACTGACATCCGTTTATTTGTTAGTACAGGTTAGTTCACTTGTATTTTTTCTCAAATTTATTGACGAATAAATGCAAATCAATCAACTCCCTAAAATCCTCAAATAATGTGGCCTATTTATTACTGATAAAAACTAGCCTCATTTTCTGATGTTTTCATAGACACATTTATTATGTTCCATCAATATTAAATTCTTAAAAATGCGTGAATCAATCTGGATTTTCGAACTTAATCGTGAGATTTTTGGATTTGATAACCTAGAGTCTCTAATAAGTAGGCCATAGGATTTAAAGAAGTTGATTGGTTTGCATTACACTAGCATGTGTATCTTATGAATATCTATCATCACCAAGTAAACTTTTATAAACAACTAAAACTAAGATTTATCAGAAACTAAATTATAGCTTTATTATGTCTTTGTTTAACGTAGGCTCGGAACACGACGAACAATTGGAAAAACACATGGCGAGAACACGAAGAAGAAGAGTTATCACTGTCTCTTTCTTTGAATCATCAGAACCATCAACAACGTTGGAGAAGCAATGCATCATCGTCACTTACTGAAAACAGCGAAGCAGTCTCATCTTCTACGGCTCCATTCATCTTCAGAGATTGTTTTGCTTCTTCTTCCAAGATTGATCTTAATCTTAATCTCTCCTTTTCTCTACTCCGTAGCTGAAACTTGGTTTGTTTGTATTTTAGTTGTAGTGCAGTGAACATTCATATTATTAGTTTGAAAACCTCCGCAAAAGCCGTAATCTTTTAGCTAAGGGTTTCTAGATTTTTACTTTTATGGGTCTACTATGTCACGGCCGAATCAGATTTTTTATAAAAGTTTTATCGGTTATGATTGTTTTTTTTATGTTTTAACGTAATCTGCAAGGAGATGCTAAACGCCCCGTTTTCGTGAAGAAAGTAAGCTAAATGCTGCTAAACGCAGCGTTTCATTTCGCATTTTCGCCACAAAACGCGACGTTTCCATTTCGTATTCCCGCGTCCCAAAGAATCCCCAAAACGCAAGGCTTCGTCCTCCGTTAAATATTCGTTCTTGAAATGGGATACGATTTTGTATTCACGTTATCTTTTAGTTAGCTAATAGCATTCGACATTAGGAAATGATGAAAGACTTTTGTTCATTAGTTTAGTTTACGTTGTTGCGATCATGACCTCGGTCCTCGGAAGATCAAACCACCTACAAAATAGACCGAATGTCTCAGTATAGTGCTCTGTTTGGTGACGTTCAAGAAGGAAAAACCGCAACTCAAACTGATAATCATCAGCATAAAACAATAAACCGATATCTACATGACTACATAGAATGGGGCATGATTTAAACATGTCGGAGATGCTGATTCTTATGGTCTTATATATGACAATTATTCGCTAGTACAGCCGTGCCATGTGATTACAGTCTATTAACTCATATAAGTAGTTTGGCCTGCATAAAAAAAAACCATACATAGAGAGGTTTAGCTTGAGAAAGAAACACGTATTCTCCTTGAATCGATGAGAGATTTTTCCTCTTGTCTTATTACAAATATTAAAATAAAAAATGCAAGTGGAATTTCGCCATTTCGGCCCTATGTAGTCAATAGATCGTTTCTTGTTACTTGAATATTTTTGCTACTGTTCAGATTTTGAAACCCATTGATTTATTGATTTTTTCATAGATAAAAATGTACATGTGCGCGGGATTGAAGTGGTTTCTTATTGAATGTGGTTTAACTAGTACAGTCTCGCTTGCTTTTTTTGAACTAGTTCAAAGTAGTTCTGGTGCAAGTTCTGGTCACTGTCTTCAATGGGTCTCCCTCACCATCATCTCCTAGCAAGATTAGATTTGTCTTCAATGGATCTCCCTCTTCATTATCTTCTACTCAACAAGATTGGATCTGAGGAACATCAATCCAAGTTAGCCGTAAAAATCAACATACCGAAAGTTCACACAAGAAAGCCACCAGTTATGACAAGATCGAGAACGAGATCAGAGAAAAGGACAAGGAGGGATATTAGAAAAACTTTTTTTTTTGTTTTCACCACATTTAACCTGTGTAAGAAAACCTTTTTTTTTGTTTTGCTTCCTTTTTGTAGTCAAAAGTTCCCTCGGTCTTTTGGTAGACCGGTGGGAATAATGGCATTTTCTTTCTGTGGGCTTAGGAACCTCCAAACTCAAGCTCTCTCTAGCTCCTGGGTTGGTTCTCATTCTGGAACACTTGTCAAGATATTGTGAACTACTCTGTTCACATCCAACAGCAACATCAAGTTCTGGTAACTGTCTTCAATGGATCACCCTCACCATCATCTCGATTTGTCTTCAATAGATCTCCCTCTTCATCATCTCCTACCCTCAAGATTGGATCAGGGCAGCAGAAAACCATGTCAAAGTCAGCCGTTAAAATCATCAACTCCTCCAAGCCACCGGTTATGCTTTTCAGGGACCCTGAGCTCGACAGGATGGAGAACGAGATGAGAGAAAAGGATGAGGGATATTAGAAAAGCTGATTCATTCAGGTTTTGGACAACTTTGACATGACTGATCCATGCTCTTTCGTAGAGATTAACATGGAAGCTCTCCTTTAGGAACACTAGAATTCTGTATCTGTGCTCAAGTCAACTATTGCAATCATGATTTTTGTTTTGTTTCACTGCAATACTTGGATCTAAAATGGTGTTTTCTTTTTCTGTCAAGTGTGAACCATAATTTTGAATCTTTGAGAGTGGCTGGTTAATCTTTTAGAATGAAGAAACAGATTACACTTCTTCGATACATAGATACCACTTTGCAACTATATATATCCACATCGATTTATGCCTAGGCAAAAATTAAAGAGTTCATGAGACTAATAAATTGATTTTGTTATATCCTTCTTGGAAAAAAATTGTAACGATTCAGATAAAATGAAAAATCCATGTTGTTTCAGATGAAATTCGAGTACAAAAAGTTAAAGCACGAACCCGTTTGGTTTGACCTGACCTGAGCGGACTCTAAAAATTGTAAAACCTGTTTTTTTTTTTTTCATTTCTCTCCGTCTCTTGCTCTCGCCTAGAAGCTTCAAACGCAGCCGAAATGATCCTAACGCATCTATCAGAATAGCTTCAACTTCTCATAAAGTCTCTCTTAAACCTATAGCTCATGTCTCGCTATCAACGAAGCTCAAACACTCTTCTCAGAGAAATATGGAATATGACAGCAAGCACCACTGCAGTTGGCAAGCTGCAAAATATTTAGACAAAGTTATCCAGCATTAGATGAATGCATCTTATTACCAGGAACCAAGGTACAGTCTCATGGCTTAGCACAATCTCTCCCGGGTCCACTTTCAAGTAAACAAAACATGTTAAAGAGTCGATCGGTCTTTTTTGACATTGGACTGATCATAGGAATGAGCTCTGTACCTGAAGAAATGTGAGCTCTTCTCATCGGTGTAATGATATTGCGGGTTTGCGCATACGATAGTACCAAAACCGATCCTAAACTAGATGAAAAAAAGACAAAGACATATTTGCAGTCAAGAGATGTGTATATATAACCATCAGAAGATGCTAATGAGTAATGACAATGTTTTGAGTCAGAGTTTTACCAGGTGTGAGGTGGGGCAAGAGCAGACGCAGCTGAGCTGATCATGATCGCTATTGGGGTCGAGACCCTGAAATGTGAAATGAAAAACTTAATGTGGTTAGCTTTTGTTCATAGCCAAATTTAGAAGACCGACAAAAGCTTTAACCATTTGGTAAGAGAGACCATGAAGAATCCAACTGATGGGAGAAGCTTCATCAAAGAGTCTACCTGATAACATCAAACAAGCCTCGTTACTATTATCCATCAGACACTTTAGAGAGATGATCGTAAATTCTCCTACCCTCCCTTTCAGGTGTCTCTGTCCTGAACAAGGATAAAGCAGCACCTGTTAACGCCATGGCACCAACCAGACCAGTTCCACCCCACACGAGCCATCCTTTTTTCAGGTTGAAAGGTTGTTTCCAGTCTGAAGAATTGAACCAAACAAAATGTCAAAGGCCAATAACAGAGCAAACAATGCAAGACAGTGACGATGAATAGAAGCAAGCAAAGTACCATAGCGCAAAATGTCTTGAGGAAGTGGCTCAACACAAGCCCATGTCAATAACTTGAGAACTCAAGAAAATGTGGCAATGTAAAATAGACAAGGAAAAGTAATATTTCTATGCCTTAAATCCTGCCAAAGAAAAACTGCCTGGGAGCACAATTAATCTCACTCCACACATTTTAAATAGTTAAGAGTTTGAGATGATCATATGTTCATACACAAAGGAGGATCGATAGTCACTTAAAAATCACATGTATCTTTCAGATCAACCACACACATTCATTCTAACGCAGTTCTATGTTTCCATCAAACTCCAACCCTAATTCATCCAAAGGAAAGCTTCTAATGGCGTCAGAAAATGGGGAGTACCTTAATCCACAAGCAAGCGAGGTTAACGAAACTGTCTGCCATCCCCATGGAACTTCCCATCTCTCAGGCATCGCCCTGTAATAAAAAAATTCATAAAACCCTGACATTTTCCGAAATCTAATACTAATTGGATTCAATTGAAGAAATTACATAGCTGCCTACTGAAAATGTTCTCGGAAACCAAGGAGTAATGTAATCAATCTAGAGCCAGAGCAATAGTTACCTTCTCCTCTCCTCCAGTTTCCTTCCCAGAGTTGAAAATGAATGCGGATCTCCATTTCCTCCGATTAACCGTAGATAAGCGGCGGCTAACAAATCCCCGAGAAAACCGGCTCAAACCGTCGCGGTTACTTATAAGTCTTCGGCAAAATTTAACTCCAGCGATCCGAGATGCAGAAAAGCGACGAATGTCTCACCGTGATTATCTGCGAAACCATTTTAAATTATTTTGACTGAATACTTGCATAAAACGATGTCGTCCAATTTTGGGCCTGTTTCTGTCAATAGAAGCCCAAAGCCTTCAACGACCAACTCGAAAGGCTTTCATTCAATACGTTGACTAAAAGGTTGTTCATTCAGTACATATCTTCGAGTTGCATTTAATGAAAGTCAAGGATCTTTGAAGTTAAGACTTAAGACATTCAATTACTTCCTCCGTTTCTTATTACTTATCGTTTTAGGAGATTTCATGCAGATTAAGAAAACAGATTAAAAACTCTATTGTACTCTTAAAAAACAAATTGACTATTAGTATTCTTTATTAGATCAAGGTTAAACTAGATATTTAATATTAAATTTTGCATTGAAAAGTGAGGACGACAACTATTTTGAATAAAAAAATAAGGCTAGAATGACAAGTATTTTGAAATGGAAGGAATATTCATTAGACTATTATTTTTTCTCTCCTATTGTCAAACTTTTTCCGCATACCTTGGATTTAGTCCACCATAATAGTTGAACCAATCAACTGATTTTGATTTCGAACAATTTTTATTTATTTATTTGACCTCTGTAGTTCATAACGCTTTTGATTTTGTAGTCATAATAATAGTCGATATCTCGAAGATGAGAAACCAAGCATGATTAGTGTCTACACCGACTTTTCTACTACGTTCGCAATTTTGAAAGTCATATTCGGAGTTTAAGCTTATGTTCTTCCCAATTCGGTTTTGAAGGACTTGAGAATGAGAAGTCAACTTTTATTTTTCCAATTACTGTACTTCAACTTAACTCGACAGTTGACACTAAAATTGATTGTTTTTGTGGACTTAATTTCACACGGTCAACACGTAAAATTATCTATTTATTTTGTTCACTTAAAGAGTTTGTTTTTTTTCTTTCTATTCAGTTTTTTTTTTCTTGTATGAAATTACTAATCGTGGTGGGAAAATAAAATAGGCATTGGTATTGATACAAAAAAACAAAAACCAAAATGATTGATTAAACAAAATGTCATTTATCTTTCGTTGATAACGAACTAGTATAATTTTGTTATAAAAAAAAAACTAGTATAATTTTATTCGACAAAAAAGCCTGTGACATTTATCGTCATATCATTGCATAGGACAGTGAATGACTTGAGATAGTAAAAGCGATCACTTTCTTTTAGTGTGCGCGTGTGTGTGTGTGTGTGTGTGTTTATTTACCTTTTTGTTGTTCGCTCATTTGTCATATTTACGGAGGATAGCTGGCTATGTCACGAGTGTTTGTTTTGTGATGCCTTTTCTAAAATATATTCACACTTTATATAACTAATCAATACATATATTTGCCATATTGGTATTCTGTGTATCTATATATGTAATACCGTTCCTTGCATATCCACAAGGGTTGTGTTGTCCCCATCAAACTTACGTTTAACGGCCTAGAATCAATTAATCAACAGTAATCTCTTGTTTCAACATTCATCTCGTTTCGTACATAAACGTATATAGTTGGCTTGTTCCTTTCATGGTTTTAGTTTATAGCTTGCATTAGGAAATTTGCTTGTGTGTGTGAAATGGTAAAAACCATTAAACAAAGGTATGTTATCATTGTGCAATATAATGATAACAAAACATCCGTTTGTGACTCCAAGTTTAGGAAAGCCCACAAGAAAATAGACTGTGTGCTGTTGTAATCTATAACAAAAGCTCAATGATCAAATGCAAATTAAAAAAAAAAAAGAAAAAGGGAAAACTAGAAAACCAGTATAAATACAAGAAAGAGTACCAAACATGGTTTTGCTGTTTTATTTGTACATGAAAAATTTACAAGATAGAACGATCATTTTCTCAAAGAAAATATGCAAACCGGTCCATATTTATCTCTCTAATTTGCGTTGTTTTTATATTAATTTAAGACTGACTCTATTTGTATATGCAGGTTATGCATAGGGCCCAATTCGAGATTTCCCATAAATGAAGTGGACCAACGACCAAAGGAGAAGAGCAAAACATTTGTAGTATTCGTCGATTTTTCTCGAGAATATTTTTCTTCACGGGCATATCTGGTCCTTCATATGTAGTATACCATTCACATGCTTTTTTCCTTGTTTTTTCGTCCTCCCTCTTAAGTAAAATTATAAAATATCTTCTCATTCATCACTATACGTACTGTACATATATTCAATGCTAATCAGGAATTCAGGATCCTTCTAAAAACTTGGTCAGTACCCTCCAATGATCCAATCCATCCCTGATATATAGGCAATGCTAATAGAGGTCATAACGGATACTGATATCAAAATTTGTACAGAGCTTCCAAATAACAAATTTGAGAAATTTCTGCCAAAGACACCGAAATAACAAATTTCTTTGATTTTTCTTAGACTTTCAACTAGCTTTCAACCAAAAATCAATTCTACAAAGTTGAAACTGAAAAAAAAAATATATCTACACCGACACGACTAAAATGATTGTCAATCGATTCGTAAACGACTCTGAATATCGATATCACGGTGAAGAAAAAAATTGGACCACTTACGTTTTGCAGGATCAAAATAATTCCGTTATTACGTTTTGCAGCCTATAATTTATAATCCTTTAAAACGAAGCATGGATGCATTTATCTATCGTGCGCAAAAGTCGGAGCGAAACGTAGGAAATGGAGTAGGTGGAGTCAACGTCGGAAAAGTAACAATGAAGACCGAATGTAACAGATCTAATTAAGTGATGTCTTCAGAATGTCAACACCTCTTTGCCTTTTAGCTTCAAGAGTGTTTGACGGCTTGTGGATAACTAAATTCCGTCACAACTTAAATTGTCATCGTCAACCAGTTAAAGAATAATGACGTACGTACGTTTCGGTAAGTTATTTTTTTTTTTCTTTCGGTAAGGTACGTTTGGGTAAGTTTATTTATGTAAACATTTATGCTCAAATAATTAGCTACGATTTATATGCAAGTAATATTTGCTCACGGCAGTTATTTGTATTAGGTGGCCGAACATCTTTCTATTGTTTATTGTAATACATACTACAACAAATCTGACAATAATAACTATACGTTTTATATTATAAATATTGGCTTACGACACGAACTTGAATAATGTTGGAATGTTGGATGCTTCTGTTTGTATTATGCTTTTGTTAGAATATTATCCGATCCGTTTACGTATTATTGTAGACAGATATCTCTTGAAATCTGTTCATAACTTGCATGTGCAACGTGGGATATATATAGTTTATATGAATCAAATTTATCATCAAGAATATTTTCATTTGTTATGCCAGAGTTGATGAATATCTTATACATGTGGGAGCTTATAAATTTTATATCTGAATACTGTATATAGCTAGCTAATTTTTGTTTAAATTGATTCACATGATACATGCAAATGTAGTTGGTAACAAACTCAATAATGTTTCCTACATGGCATAATTTTAAATATTTCTATCTTATAAAAACAAATTTATATCACAGTTAAACATATACATTATTTTTGAGAAAATTGTATAATAAATAGAAATGACTCAAATGGTTAAAGATCCTAAATTTTAATAAAGGAGACTCCGGTTCGAGCCTCATTACATTATTATAATAATTTTATAAAACATAGGAAAATATAAAATGCTAAACGAAAATCCCAAACTAGATCCCACTTAAACAGTTTGGAAACAGCAAAAAGAAAGAAAGCATACAAGATAATATCTCCAAGGGGAACCCAGCCAGCAGCACAGCATATCCATGTACGATCATGATGTACGTCAAGCTTTCCCAAATGGATGATTTGGATTGGAAAACTTCATCTCGGCGTCCAACGGAGCTCCATTACGACCACCATGACCATTGACATTGCTCACAATCCCTCCTCCATTGACGCCAAGAAAGTCCAAAGTCAACCTGTCAGAGCCTCCCATGCTAAGATTGTTACCGAAATGAAGGTCGTAAATGCTACTAGACCGGCTTTGGTGATCTGTTGTTGCAGCTAGAGAGTTCATGAGACCCTGAAGGTTTCCATTATCACTATCTCCAAAATCATTAACGACCACACTTGAAGACGATGAAGAAGTTAACCCTCTTAGCAAGGCAGAAGGATCGTTGTTATCAGCACCATTGGTGAAAAGAGAAGGAACATTTGTCTGATCAGAGTTCTTAGAGTTGTCTTGAAAGTATCCGAGGCTGAACAAGTTGCTGTTGTTGTTGTTGATGTTATCACCGAGCTGGTTGATCAGACTGTGCTGGTTCATGAGACTCTGACCGTTCTGTGCCAACAGTCCTTGGTTCGAAGAGCATTGCATGAGGAAATTGGTAGGACCGGGACCAGGGTTTGTGGACTGAGGAACGAAGTCTTCAAACTTGTCGGAAGATGAATGGTTCAGATTGTAACCTCCAGCAGCTAGAGGGGTAAAACCGGAATTTGCATTATTCCCGAAATGGTTGTGAGAGAGAGCAGAAGCAGCGCCACCGTAGAAGCCATGCCTGCCGCCGCCACCAGCGGCTGCTGCCATTGCCGTGAAGCTCACGGTAGGATTTCTTGCAGACTCCTGGATTAATGCATCGCAAAATGCCCTGTGCGTGATGTAACTATCTCTTCTGCAATAACAATAAAAAGAAAAACAATTATAAAACTAAAAAACCCTAGAATTGTAAAGTGTTCATCAACTACTCCTACTATATCACGCTGGCCACAATAATATTCATTAATTTTTTTTAATTTAAACAATGAAACCAACCACTACTCTTAATTACACACAAAGCACATAAATAATCTAACTAATTTTATATTACGGAGAGAGAGAAATGGGATGGGGCCCAGTTGAAGAGGAGTTTCATGGAAAGAGGAACCTGCAAAGGTGAAGAAGAAGAAAACAAAAGTGGGAATGCATGGAAACAAATCCAACTCACATGTGACCAAATTTAGCATCTTTTATTTTTCTCCTTTCTCCTTCACTGTCTTCCTCACTTTCTTTACTCATCAGCAACCAAACAAATAGATTGGTAGATCCTATGTGTATATATGCATATATGTTCATGTCCCTATGTAGGAAATATGATGTTCCGTGACCAATATAGATGATAATGTCTATATACACAGATTTCAGTAACAAGTCAATATATATAAATACCGTACCATACTCATATGCACACTATCATTAGTTTAGAATTTACTGTTCATTGACCGACATGTTTTTTTTACTGGAACCTCAAGCAGAATTCCTCGATTGAGTACTAACCTTAAAAAACTAGAGCCGACATGTAAAATTCGCAGTAAAAAAGAGAATGATAATAACACATGTTCTTGTCACACCATAACATATAATCGACTTTTAATATCATTTAGAATATGAACAAAACTAATTATTGAATGGAACCAAGAAAGATAGTTTACCTAGAGAAGATGGTACCACAGTCACATCGATACTCTTTAGTACCACAGGTCTTAGAGTGAGCCTTCCAATCAGATTGAACAGCGTAGCGCTTAGAGCATTTCTCGCATTTGAACTTCTTCTCACCGTGCTTCCGGTAATAATGCTTCTTGATACCGGTGAGGTCTCCAAGAGCACGTGACGCGTCATGGTGAACGCACGAGGGCTCTGGACAAAGATACACTTTCCTCCTCACCTCTTTGTTAGACTTTTGTTTCAGCTTCCATGGAAGGTTGTGTCCTCTCCGGTGAAGCTGCAGATTCTGTTCTCTTTGAAACCCTTTGTTGCATACTTCACAGATGAACCTGTTCGTCGCCATTATCGTCTTTGGAGATAACGCTATCACTTCAGCATCTGGATCTGTTGAGTTAAAAGAAAAAAAAATATGAATCACCTGAACAAATTAAAACCCACTGGTCAAAAAGACAATTATATACGCTTTCCAAAAAAAAGGGACAATTATATGTAAGGAAATTAAACCCACTGGTCAATCTTTTTGTAAAAATTAATGAATTAATAGAGAACAAGAACTTCCAAACGATATATAATCTAATCAAGATCGAATAGTTATAATATAATTCTTGATTATCGAGAATGATAACAAAGAATCGATGAATCAAAACTAGGGTTGTTATATTTTCCTCCCATTAAAATAAAAATTCTCCACTGAGGTTTATGGATTCTTGTTTGGAATTTGGAACATGTACGCACATATATGTGTTTATTTATAGCAATATATGTAAATTAGAGGTAATTACTTGGGTTTCCGGGTTGGTTTCTTCGTTTCTTGGGTGGTGGTGGTGGAGCAACGGAGTTGGGCTGTTGAATCATCGTCATCGCCGTCTCTTCACGGTTAAAGTTGTTTCCTCCGGCGGCTGCGCCAGCGAGTAGGAAAGACTGAGTGGAGGATGATGAAATTGCGTTGTTAAACGGTGAAGACATCTTCTCAGGGTCTGCTTTTGCTTAATCTACAAAAATCCATTCAGAAAAATAATTTAAAAAATGAGAGAGAAGATAGAAATGAAATATGATTCAGAAGAAAACGAAAGCAAGGAATTAGAAGAACAGGAAGAAGCCATAGAGATTGACGACATGGAAAGAAAAAAAAAATCACTAGAAGACATTTACGAGAACAAAGAGAACAAATATAAATCCAAAGAGTTAGATTTAATTTGTAAGTTTTTGAAAGAAGACATAGTATAAGTTGTTTTTTTATTGTACCCTTTTAGCTTGAGATGCAGAGAAAGAAACCAAGAAGAAAAAGGTCAATAAAAAGCTAAAACTCAGAGACAAAGAAAGAAACCAAGGAGATGATGATGATAATGTTAAAGGATGATGAAGAAGTAGCCATACTTAAATAATATATATATAAATACACACCTCAAAAAACCCTATCTCTCTCTCTATCTCTCTCTCTCTCTCTTGCTTTCTTGTTCTTCTCTTTTAATAATTGGGATTGAGTCAGGTAAGAATACAGGATATATATACAGCTACAGTGTGCTTTCCCTTTTTTTTTGCAATGAAGGCAAATTTTAATTTTTAGAAAGAAATCTAAGTATCATTTAAAAATGTATTTACCTTTGTAACCGTCGTGTCGTGTAGTGATTTAATGGTTGAAAGATTCATTTTGAAATAACAAAATTATAAATAATTGTTTGACTTAATGTTGATCATGGTTAACTATTGTAAATGTATTATAAATTTCATAAATATTAAAGATTAATTTGAATTTTTCTTATTATAATCTCTCTGATGTAAAAAATAAAACATTGTTAAATATAAATTTCAGTTTACAATTATTAACTTCTTAAAACCAACATGTGAATAGATTATACCATAGTTGAGTTTGGGACTTTCAAATAATATGCATTCTTTAAGCTATTGTAGCTTAAAGTTAATTTAAAAATGGACATTGAAAAGGTGTAGATTTTGTTTTAGAAAACCCGGTTAATTAAGTTAAGAAAATAGTTTGAATTTTTTGTTCTCCAAAAAAAATAAGGGAATGGTTATGGTTTGAGTGTCGTTGTAAAACGGTGAAATGTGGGCACATGCGGGTGTGGTCAGGGGGCCACCTCAGAGTCTCTTTCTCGTGTCTCTCTCATGGCTTTAAGACAAAACCTTTCTCTTTCTTTTCATTTAACTCATGATTTTTTTGTCTACAAACAACCAATTCCTTTGAAAAAAAAAAAACAATTCCTTCACTACTTTTCTCCTATCTTACTTCGACTTAGCTAGACATTCGAGTACTTATTATAAAAAGTACTCAAAAAATTATTCATTGGTGTAGTTAAAGTTTATATTTAAATTAATAATCTATTGAAAATAGTTTAAATCTTGATAGACTAGATTTATCGTCTTTTATATGTATTGACAAAGAATATTAAAAAATGAAAAGTTATTATTGTAATTAATTATTTAAAATTATTAGTGCTTAACGGTAAAATTTCTTATACTTATATTTTTTTTACATGTGAAAATATTGTGTATATAAGAAAAGTATATATTTTGTGACTACAAATCTATATTCTGGCGTTACCATTTAATAAGAAAATAGCACACAATGCTTTCTAAAAATTTCATTTAATTATTAAGATTTATTAAATAGATATAATAATTGCATTTATAACAATTAAACTCAGCTGTACAAGTGTTCTCCAGTTTGTGCTGGTATCAAAGAGCAATTAACACAATTACTAACATTTATGAATCTTTTCATTAAATTGTGAAAATTATTACTCCTGATAATGACAGCTAATGACAGTTTTTTTTTAACAAAACAACTAATGACAGTTTGCATTAAAATAATTATTATTGTTGACTCTAGCCAATATTTTGACTTCTCTACATGGTAAAAACCAGCCAATATTGTCACTGTATTTTATTTTATTTCCATTTTTGCCTTCTTTGCCAAATAACTCATTCAGTGTGTGCTGTCACAAAAACTAATTCATTGTGTATGCATTGTATTTTTGAATTTTCCAAATTGGTTAAATATTTGTTTCTTTTTTTGTTTTTTTTTTCTTTCATTTTTCTCATAATTTGTTTATGTGCCACTTGTAGCTGCAAAGACAATTGGATTTGGGTCAACGTGGAGTAAAAACGTGAAACGGACATATGGAAAGTTCGTGAATATTTATCCTTCAACTATGTAAAGCCTGTAACATTACGGGTTGCTAGTTGGCGCTCGACCTGAATTAGCTTTAGAACTCAGCATCTTGTTGTTTGTTGTCTAAACTAACCATAGTGATAATTTTAGAGATTTAAAAGATTAATAAATCTATTACAAGCATATAGTGACCGTTATTCTAAATATCATTAGAAAAAAAAAACAATTCTAAATATCATTAAACCAACTGAACTGTATAGAAATTTCAACGATTATTAAATCTAACAAAAGTATCACAAGTGAATATTAGTCTAAAAGTCATAAGCCCAACTAAAATTATACAGATTTACAAGGTCATTGATATTTATTTAAGTTTAGTCTAAAACATCATTAGATAATTTAATGATTACTGAATCTAACAAAAGCAGTGTAGTGACCATTTTGGTCTAAAAGCCATTAATTAACCCAACTAAATTAATAGAGATTTAGCAGTATTAAATCTAATTTAAGCATCATAGTGATCATTTAGTCTTAAACTCATTAGTCTAATTAATTTAATAGAGATTCGAAAGTTATTGAGTTTGATAGTGTTGAATTTCCAGTGTCATATGGAACCAAAATAATCCAATAATACATGATTTTTTTTCCATTCATTGCAAATTAAATTACATAGTTTTCTTTTGAAAAAAAAAGCCAAAGTTTAAAATACACTAATCTTATAAAACCTTAAGAAACAGCATAATATATAGTTTTATAGATACGATCTTTTTTATTCCCATGTAGCAGAGATCATGGAATTGGCACACCAGATTGCTCCAAGGTTAAGTTAGAGTCATACTCCAACGTCTTCGATTCACCTGGAATCGCCTGTGTTAGCTTCAATGGCTTTTTTTTTCCAACAAATTCGAAAAAACTAAGTTTGGGTTTGGAATGAGGAGTCGAAATGAGAAGCTATCTCGAGGAGCTGATTAGCTACGAGCCCACAACACAACACAACAATAACAAAAAGTTAACATAATAGTCAGTCAAGAAAATATGGTTGTCACTCAAAAGGGAAGCAAGGAAGAAAAGAAACGAAACATTAATATAACAAAGAAGCAATATCTTGAAGAGAAGGCAAAGGTTACATTATGCATTGACGACAGTAGTCAGATTAATTTAACAGAGATTAAACTTGGGAAATAACAAACAGTTCAGCAAATTTGACTTTTCACAAAATCATAAATCAGCAAATTCTTCTTCTTTCTTATTCTTATGATATATCTTTCACATCCAAAACTGCCAGTGGATGGAACGCGCATAGTGTTGGGATACCAAACAAGATAGAAAGTTTTATCCACATTCTTGCCTTGTCTCCGTAGCCGTTGATGAGACACATAGGCTTATTTTATACACAAGTAATCTGACAAACAAATAGAAAAATCGCCAGGAATAAGGAAATCTCAACACTTTTCTTTCCTTAAATCTAAAAGTTCAGTAAGAATTATCATCCGATTAAGGAGAAGGATATTCTTTCTCACCACGACACCACATGACACAGTCAACGTATTTTTACACGGTCAACGTAAAGTTATCTATTTATTTTGTTCACTTAAGGAATTGATAAAAAAAAATTCTACAAAACTATGAAAGTAGTGAATTTTAACGTCATTTTCCAATATTCTTGTATTAAGTTACTAATCGTCGTAGGAAATAAGATAGTCCATCTCCATCCCTAAAACCCAATTTTTGGTTCTAAACATTTTTTTATTACTAATTTTCACACAAATCAATACTAAAAACTTTTGTGTGGTTTTTTAATTGTTTCCTTCTCCATCCCTGAAACATTTTATTTGGTTCTAAATGCAAAATTGTGTTTTGAATCTTTAACGGCTTGTCTACGAATGGAGTACGAGTCTGATGAGCCATTTATCAACACAAACCAGGTGAAACGTGTGATCACATCTCAGTAAAGCTTCGTGTGATTTCCCCTACTTCAATGTCCAGTAAATTCCAAATGTGTGAGAGGAGCAAAGGGTCATGAAAAGAAGTTTAATCAGTTGGTGTCAGACGAATGAAAACCTGCAGACAAATTGTGCAGTGAATGATCTGTCGCTTGGTCATCTCACTTGACATGATAAAGCATGGTAGTTTCTTCAAAGATTCACCCGACAAGCCTCTAGGTTCAAATTCACCATAGATATCATCCCGCTCTTCATAGCTTATATCAGAAATCCTTAACTGCAAAAAGTAGAAAAACCACTCATGAACCAAATGTATTCTCCATCGATAATGTGAAAACAGTCTCATACTAGAAGAGATATCACTGAGTGAATATGCAGGAACTAAAGCGTCAGTGGTACTTTTTAGTGTTCTCTCAGTAGTGGAATCTCGTAGATTAGATTCTAACTAGACTAGTTGATGAACAACTTACATCTACAATGATAAATTCACACCACTGGCAGGTTCTACCTATATGTACATGAAGATGAGATCAAAGAAAGAAGAAGATAGAGATAGAACCTGCCAGTGGTGTGAATTTATCATTGTAGACGTAAGTTGTTCATCAACTAGTCTCCCACGAAACAGTAGAAGAGAGCTTCAGTGAAAAAACAATATGAGGAAGGGAAGCCTGCAAACAAGAAGTTGAAAGAGTCAATGTCATTGTCTTTGCAGTTTTGAGAAGTAAATGAAAATGGGAGAAGCAAGAAGAAACCTGTGAGCAAAGAGTCTTCAAAAACTGCTGAGGCTATTCTTCATAAGTAAATTGGAGGTAGAATGAAAGAGGAAACTAAGACAGCAGGACCAATGAGCCAGAGGAGGCGTCCCAATGTACAATTCGGAGCCAATTTGGGGGCTTACTGTTTCTGGATCATTTGGTGTATCTTCAGTGTATTGGGACTGTTCTTCTGAAGTAGTAGCAAGAGGCAAACAAGGTCTCTTTCGAGAGACTTCTCTTTGTTTATGGTCTCTGAAGGTAATGTCAAGAGAATCAACTGTTCATATAATGAATGAAAAAGCAATCAGAAAACTTACTCACAAGTCATACATAATTCATACCCTAAAGCGAAACAACTAAAAGTAAGGAAAAAGAGCTTTCCTTTATCAGTTTTAAGTTGTAGAGAATGGTGACAATGGAGATGAGCAGGCTGCTGCCTCAATGGACGAGACTGGAGTTTGTAAAAGGTGAATTTCAGTAAATAACACAAAATTTCGTTTCATCAGAATCTAATCAGCATATTGATCAGATAAAGTTTTGATTTTTTCTCAGCATGATGTCGAGAACAAAGAACTGTAAACACTCTCTCTTAACTCTACTAAAAATTATTGAATATTAGTAGTCTCATGAATCAAATTGGTTGAAGGTCTCAAATCAGATTATCAAAAACAAACAAAAAACGATACAGGAAATCAATACACAAAATTAGGAGCAAGAAACATAGATGCAGCATTGACATTAAATTCAAAAGGCTGAGCAGAGAATTAAGGGAAGACAGATCAAACAAAAGGCACCTGAAAGGAGCTCCGAAGTTGAAAAGGTGAGAAAAAGGATGGAACTAAAGAAAAAGCCGAGGTGGATACTGGGAATTGGGAGGATAAATTTGAAGACTTTCCGAGGAATTGAGGAGAGATGCTATTTTGGGGTATGTGGTGAGAGTAATGGCTGCTTAGCTGAGTTTAAGGTGTAGTTGGTGGTTGTATCAATGTGAACAAATCTCCATCTTACACAGACCTGTCTAGGTTTCACGACACTACTAATCTTCTCGAATCATAGGTCGGACGGAGCCTGATCACGGAAGGAAGCCGATTCCATTCGCCGGAAACAACGAGAGAGAGAAGAGAGAGAAAATGATTTTTCTCATATATTTATTTTCAAAAGTCGAATTGATGCTGTGGCGACGCGTGGCGGGTTTTAAGCTACGATAAAGTTTCTTGCTTAAAACCTGATTCCACAAAATTCTTTTCTTTTTCCATTTAATTGCTAAAACCCAGGTTAAAACCATGCTAAAAACCTGCGATGGAGATGCTCTATTGCTAAATACAAAAGCAAAAACACAATTAACTGATTAAGGAAAATGTCACATATCTTTCTTGGATATCGAACTATTATTGTATTTGACAAAAAACATGAGACATTTATCGTCATATCATTGCGTAGGAGTAGGACAGTGAATGACTTGAGAGTGTAAAAGCGACTTTCTTTTAGTGTGCGTGTTTGTGTATTTTATTTTTCAATTTTTTTTATTTATTTACCTTTTTGTTATTCGCTCATTCGTCATATTTACGGAGGATAGCTGGCTATGTCACGAGTATTTGTTCTGTGATGCATTTTCTAAATTATAGTCACAATTTAGTAATCAGTACATATATTTGCAATATTGATATTATATGTATCTATATATGTAATCATGTTCCTTCCATATTCACAAGAGTTGTGTTGTCCCCATCAAATTTAAATTTAACGGCCTATAATCGATCAACGGCAATCTCTTGTTTCAACATACATCTCGCTGCGTACACAAACGTATATAGTTGTGGCTTTCTCTTCATGGTTTTTTTTATAGCTTAAGTTACGAGTTTTGCTTGTGCATGTGTTATCGCAAGTATGTTATCAACTTATCATTTTGCAATATGATTATTAACAACCGTTTGTGTTTCCAAGTTTTAGAAATCCCGCTAGAAAATAGAGTGTGTGTTGTATCTATAACAGAAGCTAATAAGCTTAATAGTCAAATGCAAACAACAAGGAGAAGTGAGCAAGACTAGAAAACCCAAAATAAAAGAAAGCGTATATAACATAAGATTATAGTGCGTTCAAAAAATTCGTTAGATGGCTACTAATTTAACAAAATATAATATTAAAATTGTATAAAGTAAAGATAAAGCAGGCCAAACATAGGTTTGCGCAGTCTTTATTTTTCTATACAAAAAAAAATATAAGATAAATGGTCCTTTTTCAAAAGAAAATATGCAAAACAGCCCATTTTCCCTCTCTTATCTGCGGATTTTTAAAAAATTCAAGATCGGTTCTATATGTATTTGCCGGTAATGTCAAGGGCCCAATTCGAGATTTTCCGTAATTAATGAAGTGGATCAAACGACCAAAGGAGAAGAGAGATATCCCAAAGCATTTATCCATCGAATTTTCTTGGTATATATGTTTCTTCACGGGCATATTTGGTCCTTCACATCAACGACAAGTATATACCATTCACATGCCTTTTCTTTTTTCCCTTTTCACATTCCAGTTTTTTATTTTATAGTGAAAAGTGATTATATGTGTAAATCTCAATGTCTCTTCTTTGCTGATGTCTTTCTGTAACAAATATACATTGATATAAAACTTGTGCAGAACTTCCAAATAAGCTCTAACCCATTAGAGAAAAATCTGCCAAAGCCACCGAAATAACAAATTCTTAGATTTATCTTTGGACTTTCAACCAAAAATCAATTCTAAAAATTAATCTAAAAACAATTCAGAATATATCGCGTATAATATAAACATATATAAATATACACCGATATGACTCCAATAATTCTCAGTCGTTTCAGTAACGTCTCTCAATTCGTATCGATACCATGACACTGAAAAAAATTGGACCACTTCAAATAGGATCAAAATAATTTTCCGTTATTACGTTTTGTAACCTAAATTTATAATCCTTTAGTAGAATAAGAAGCATGGGTACATTTATCTATAAATATCACGTGCGCAAAAGTCGGACCGAAACATAGGACTAATGGAGTAGGTGGAGTCAACGTTGGAAACGTAAGTAACAGTGAAGACCGAAAAAAACAGAGCTAATTAAGTGACATCTTCAGAATGTCAACACCGCTTTGCCGAAGCTTTGCCTTTTAACTTGAAGAATGTTTCGACAATTGTGGATAACTAAATTCCGACACAACTTATTGTCATCGTCAGGTACCAGTTATGCTATAATGACGTACAGTTTATTCTGTTAATTTATTTGCTCAAATAATCAGCTACAATTTATATGTAATATTCGCTTATGGGGTTATTTGTATTAGGTAGCCGAACGTCTTTCTATTGTTTATTGTAATACATACTACACCAAATCTGACAGTAATAACTATACATTTTAATTATAAATATCGAATTACGAGTTTACGACACGAATTTGAATAATGTTGGAATGTTGGATGCTTCTGTTTGTATTAAGCTTTTGTTAGAATATTATCGGTTCCGTTTACTTATTATTGTAGACAGATATCTCTTGAAATCTGCTCATAACTTGCATGTGCAACGTGGGATATATAATTTTTATGAATCAAATTTTATCATCAATAGTTCAATACTGTATATAGCTCAATCTGCTCATACTGTTTTTTCATTTGTTATGCCAGAGTTGATGTGGAAGGTTATAATATATAAATATATATATATATATATTTTAATCTGAATACTGTATATAGCTAAGCTAATATTTTTTTTTGTAATTGATTCACATACATGCAAAATTGCAAATGTACTTGGTAACAAACTATATATGATGTTTCCTTCATGTCATTATTTTTACCTTATAAAACGAATTTATACAGTTAACATATATATTATTTTTGAGGCAATTGTATAATAAAAAGAAATGACTCAAATGGTTTAAGTTCCTAAATTTTTATTAAAGAGACTCCAGTTCGAGCCTCCAACCATATATTACATTATTCTTATAATAATATTATACAAAACATAAGATAATATGAAAATACCAAATGAAAACCCCAAACTAAATCTCCCACTTAAATAGTTTGAAAACACCAAAAGGAAAAAAACATAAAAAGATAAAACTTCCAAGGAACCCAGCACAGCAGCACAGCACAGCACGATCATGATGTCAAGCTTTCCCAAATGGATGATTTGGATGAGATGCAAAATTCATCTCAGCATCCAAAGGCGGAGCTCCACCACCATCATTGCCATTGTTCACAATGCCTCCTCCATTAACGCCAAGAAAGTCCAAAGTCAACCTGTCAGAGCCTCCCATGCTAAGATCGTCACCGAAATAAGGGTCGTAAAGGCTGCTAGACCGGGCTTGATGATCTGGTGTCGCAGCTAGAGAGTTCATCAGATCTTGAAGGTTTCCATTGTCACTATCTCCATAGTCATTAATGACCATACTTGAAGAAGATGAAGGAGTTAACCCTCTAAGCAAGGCAGAAGGATTGTTGTTATCAGCAGCAGCACCATTGGTGAACAGAGAAGGAACACTTGTGTGACCAGAGTTCTTAGAGTTGTCTTGAAAGTACCCGAGGTTGAACAAGTTGTTGCTGTTGATGTTATCACCGAGATGGTTGATCAGACTGTGCTGGTTCATGAGACTCTGACCGTTCTGAGCCAAAATTCCTTGGTCCGGAGAGAATTGCATGAATAAATTGGTAAGACCGGGACCAGGGTTTCTGGACTGAGGAACGAAGTCTTCAAACTTGTCGGAAGACGAATTGTTCAGATTGTAACCAGCCGCAGCTAGAGGGGTAAAACCGGAATTCGCATTGCTACTACCGAAATAGTTGTGAGAGAGAGCAGAAGCAGCGCCACCGTAAAAGCCATGCCTGCCGCCATCGCCAGCAGCTGCTGCCGTTGCCGTGAAGCTCACGGTAGGACTTCTTGCTGACTCCTGGGTTAATGCATCACAAAAGGGCTTGTGCGACGTGTAACTGTCTCTTCTGCAATAACACCCCAAAAAAAATATTGTAAATCAACAAAAAAGAAGAAGAAGAAGAATGTAGAACCCTAGAATGGTAAACGATATCGCGCTGACCACAATATTCATTAATTTAAACGATGAAACCAACCACACTACTCGTAATTACACACAAAGCACTTAATATTCTAACTAATTTTATATTACGGAGAGAGAGAAATGGAATGGGGCCCACTAGAAGAGGAGTTTCATGGAAAGAGGAACCTGCAAAGGTGAAGAAGAAGAACACAAAAAGGGGAATGCATGGAAACAAATCCAACTCACACATGTGACCAAATTTAACATCTCTAATTTTTCTCCTTTCTGATTCACTGTCTTCCTCACTTTCTCTACTCATCAGCAACCAAACAAATAGATTGATAGATCCTATGTGTATATATGCATAATTGTTCACGTCCCTATGTAGGAAATATGATGTTCCGTGACCAATATAGATGATAATATCTATATACACAGATTTCAGTAACAAGTCAATATTTATAAATACCGTACCACACTCATATGCATTATAGTCGATACAGCTTACATAATCATTAGTTTAAATTTTACTGTTCATTGACCGACATGTTTTTTTATTTTTTATATCAATACATGTCCATGTCATACTATAACTTCTAACCGGATTTCAGTTTATATGATCATTTATAATATGAACTAAATTAATAATCGAATGGAACCAAGAAAGATAGTTTACCTAGAGAAGATGGTACCACAGTCACATGGATACTCTTTAGTACCACAGATCTTAGTGTGCGCCTTCTGATCAGATTCAACAGCGTAGAACTTAGGGCATTTCTCGCATTTGAACGTCTTCTCACAGTGCTTCCGGTAATAATGCTTCTTGATTCCGGTGAGGTCTCCAAGAGCACGTTTCGGATCATGGTGGACGCACGAGGGCTCTGGACAAGTATACACTTTCCTCCTCACTTCGTTGTTAGACTTTTGTTTAAGCTTCCATGGAAGGTTGTGTCCTCTACGGTGAAGCTGCAGATTCTGTTCTCTTTGAAAACCTTTGTGGCATACTTCACATAGGAACCTGTTCGTCGCCATTATCGTCCTTGGAGATAACGCTATCACTTCAGCATCTGGACCTGTTGAATTAAAAAAAAAAAATCAATTATATGTAACTAAATTAAATACACTAATCATTATGTAAAAATTGATGTATTAACACGACCAAAAAAAAATTGATGTATTAATAGAGAACAAGAACTTCCAAATGATGTATAATTATCAAGATGTAATGATGATAATATGATTCTTAATTATCGAGAATGGTAACAAAGAATAGATGATTCAAAACTAGGGTTGTTATATTTTGTCTCGCCTTAAAATGAAAATTCTTCTTATTGATTATTTTGGAATTTGGAACATGACACACATATATGTATTTATGTATAAATATATATGTAAATTAGAGGTAATTACTTGGGTATCCGGGTTGGTTTCTTCGTTTCTTGGGTGGTGGTGGTGGTGGAGCAACGTAGTTGTGCTGTTGAATCCTCGTCATCGGCGCCGTTGCTGCACGGTTAAAGTTGTTTGCTCCGGCGGCTGCGCGAGCGAGTAGGTAAGACTGACCGGAGGATGATGAAATTGCGTTGTTAAACGATGGAGACATCTTCTGCTTTTGCTTAATCTACAAAGATCCATTCAGAAAAATAATATAAAAAATGAGAGAGAAGATATAAATGAAATATGACTCAGAAGAAAACGAAAGCAAGGAATTAGAAGAACAGGAAGAAGCCATAGAGTTTGACGACATGAAAAGAAAAAAAAATCACTAGAAGACATTTACGGGAACAAATATAAATCCAAAGAGTTAGATTTAATTTATAAGTTTTTGAAAGAGGACATAGTATAAGTTGTTTTTTTATTGTAACCTTTTAGCTTGAGATACAGAGTAAGAAACCAAGAAGAAAAAGGTCAATAGAAAGCTAAAACTCGGAGGCAAAGAAAGAAACCAAGATGATGATGATGATAATAATGTTAAAGGATGACGAAGAAGTAGCCATACTTAAATATATATAATAATATATAAATACACACCTCAAAAAAACACTCTCTCTTGCTTTGTTGCTCTTCTCTTTTAGTATGCGATGGGATTGAGTCAATTCAGAATGAGCATATATATAGCCATAGTTCATTTCTACCTTTACTCAATAAAGGGAAAGAAATTTATTTCCAGCTAAAGGAAATCTAGTCAAATTTTAAAAACGGTATCTACATTGTAACCGTCCGTGTCGTGTAGCGTCCTGTCGTTTTGTGATTTAATGGTTGAAAGATTTAGTTTAAGTTACTAGAGCTATAATTAATTCTTGCTCATGTAATTTTAATCATGGTTAACATACATTGATTAGTGGTTAAAAGATTTATTTTAAAATATGAAAAATAAAAGTTACTTTTTTTTACCGTAATTTTAATCATGGTTAACCATTGTATATATAATATCAAATTAAATATAAATAACAATGTTTTACTTTACATATCCAAGAGATTAATTTGAAATTTTCTTATTAGAATATCTCATACATAAAAAATTCAAACATTGTGAAATATATAATTCAAATTTTTTATTTTTTTTAACAAATACAACTTTCTATTATTATTATTATTACAGCTTCTTAACCAACTTGTGAATAGATTATAACATAACATGATTTTTTTTGCTATTGTAGCATAAAGTTGATTGAAAAACAGATATTGAAATGGTATAGATTTTATTAGAAAATGCTGTTAAGTTAAGAAAAAAGTTTGAATTTTTTGTTCTCCAAAAATGGAGGGAAGGGTTACGGACCTTACGGTTTGAGTGTCGTTGTAAAACTGTGAAATGTGGGCACACGCAGTATTTTCATAAAAATGTTGTTAGAGATTATTCATTAGGTGTAGTTATAATTGTTATTCCATTATTCATTAGGTGTAATACTTACAAAAATTTCAAATCTTCATAGACTAGATTTTTGTCGTCTTTTGTATGTATTGATAAAGAATTAAAAAATTCGAAAAATTATTATTGTAATTTATTTTAAAAATTAGGACTGGTTAATGGTAAATTTTCTTATAGTTACATTTTTCCTTTACATGTTAAAATATTGTGTACATACGAAAACACTATATTTTGTGAACACAAATATATTTTGGCACTACCAACTACTAATTTAATAAGAAAAAAAAGCACACTATATTTCCAAAACTTTATTTTAATTATTAACATTTATTAAAATGGAAATACACACAATTGCATTTCAAACATTTAACATCCAGCAGGATAGGCTCTGGTTTTGCTGGAGGATAGGCTCTGGTTTTGCTGGAATTAAAGAGCAATTAATACAATTGGTAAAATCTTTCCATTAAATTGGCAGTTTTTTTTAACAAAACAACAAATGACAGTTTACACTAAACTAATTAAGCTCTTAACCATACACGTGTGCTCAAATGTATGGGGCACATTATTATTATGATTGACTCAAGTCAATGGTTTGACTTTGACTCCTCTACTTAAAAGGTAAAATCCAAAATAACTAATTTCCTTTCTTTCCTTTTTCTTTCCAAATAACTAATTCAGTGTATGCTGTTAAGAAAAAACTAATTTTTGAATTTTCCAAATTGGATAAATATCCTTTTTTTCTCTCATAATAATCTGTGAAGACTTACTTAAAAAAAAACTTTACAAGTCTGAACAGTCCTAACACCAGTCGGGCTTTAGATTTGGGCTCCGTGGAACAAAACGTGAAACTCATACATTTGGGAGCTCGTTAATATTTCCACACGCGCGCCTTACTTCAAAGCGTGAATTAGCTTTACTTCTTGTTGTTTGTTGGTCTAAAGTCTAAACTAACCATAGTAACAAATTTAGTCTTAAAATTAACTACAAGAGATTTACAAGATTAATGAATCTATTATGAGCATATAGTGACCGTTTAGTCTAGAAATCATTAAACCAACTAGATTACATAAATTTAAATGATCATTAAATCCAACAAAAGCATCTTAATTGACTATATTAGTCTTAAAATCATTAGGCCAACTAAATTTATACAGATTTACAAGGTCATTGAGTCTTATTTAAATTTAGTCTAAAACTCATTAGAGATGATCATTAAATTCAACAAAAGCATCATAAGTGACCATATTAGTCTTAAAATCATTAGCCCAACTAAATTTATACAGATCTACAAGGTCATTGAATCTTATTTAAGTTTAATAATGATCAGTGAATCTAACAAAAACATCGTAGTGACCATTTTGGTCTAAAAGCCTTTAACCCAAACTAAATTAACAGAGATTTAACAGTATTGAATCTAATTTAAGCATCATATCATTAATCTAATTAAATTAATAGAGATTTGAAAGCTATTGAGTTTGATAGTGCCGAATTTCCAGTGTAAATATGGAACCAAAATAATCCAATAATAGATGATTTTTTTTTTCATTCATTGCAAATTAAATAACATAGTTTTCTTTTGAAAGAAAAACAAGTCAAAGTTTAAAATAAACTAATCTTGTAAAACCTTAAGAAACAGCATAATATATAGTTTTATAGATACGATTTTTTTTCTATTCCCATGTAGCAGAGATCATGGAATTGGCAACACCAGATTGCTCCAAGGTTAAGTTAGAGTCATACTCCAACGTCTTCGATTCACCTGGAATCGCCTGTGTTAGCTTCAACGGCTTCTTCCTCTCTTCTTCCTCAAGCTGAGAATAGCAGAAAGACCAGAGAAGCTACAATGGAGACAGCAACAAGATCTCAGAAAATCATAGACAAATACTAAAACCATAGTTTTGTTGTTTTCTTAGGATTTGCGTACCTGAATCGTGTCGGTTTTGAGGAAGTTCCTCTGGAGTCTTCGTCCGTTGGGTAAACGGATCCCGACTCTGCATTGAACGCTGCGATCGCCTCCCTTTGGTTCTTCCGGCAGAGGTGGGAATGTTGGCAGGACCGGGGCTGTAACTGCTTCAACCGCTACTTCTTCAGGCATCATTGTTGGTGACTTATCATCAGACGACTCTTTCATGTCGTTGTCTTCCAAGGAAGCAGCCAATGCTCTCTGCAGTTCTTCTTCCTCTTCATCTTTTGCAACATCTTCTGAAGGAAAAAGTCAGATACAAAGATCGATCAGGCTTTTCTATTCCAACAGACTAGACACTGAACTTGCAAAGCAAGTTTTAAAAACTAACCTTTAGGTTTGGAATGAGGAGCCAGTGAGAAGCTGCCTCTTGGCCGTTTCTTTGAGAGGGAAGCAAAGTGTTCACGAGGACCACCGTCCATGAACGGCACTAAATCTTCTAGCAAAGTCTCGGGTTCGACCATTCCACACCACATTCTCATCTTTTGACCAGTGGTAGGATCAATTACAAGCACCACGGGAATGGATTCCAGCTTGTAGTATGTGCAAACCTTTCTTCCTTCCGTGGTATCATCATAGACCTAGTAAAGGAAAAAGCGGCAATGTTAAACCAACTCTGTAATGAAAGTTTCATTTTATGCAGGCGGAAGTTTAAAGGGGAAATTCTAACTACCTGCCAGAAGATGAAGTTGGCTTTGATAGTCTGAGAGACAGCCTCATTTGCCCAAGTATCTCGATTTAGCTTTGAGAAAGAAACACAAAAGAGTTTCGATGTTAGTGAGTGAGTGTATAGTATCTAATAATTGAAGGTATAGTATCTGAAAACCCAAGTCTCAACCAAAACTGAAACCATTACGAAAAATTGAAGGTAGACTAACCATATGAGAGCTGAATTCCGTGGTAGACTGGAGGTTGACTAGAAGCCATTTGTCCTGAGAAGAAGAAGTGATTTTTGCCTGAAAAAAAAAACACACAGAGAGAGGTTATGGTTAAGGGCAGTGGTAAGAAAGCGAACAAGCAATTAGCGAAGCAAGAAATTTTGTAGAGAACCTGTTCAAAGGAGCCCTGCAACATTAGATGAAAAGGAGGACGGTACAATGAGGCCAAGCTATCCCGAGGAGCTGATGCAGTCTCCGGTGCAGAAGCTGAGGCAGAGGCAGAGGAAGCACCCTCATCTGGTTCCCAAATTCCGGGGCTTTTTGGCTCTTCACTGAAGTTACGGAAAGCAATCAAAGCATTTGGTTCACGCTGAGAGTTTCCCACCCTCATAGCCCTAATCACAAATGCAAGTAAATAATGAGAGCTCCATCCCACATGTATTGTTAGAAGAGTATATCATCAGCATAAAACAATAAACTGATATCTGCATATAAATCTTCAAGCTAGAGACAAGTTCAGGATTTAAGAAAAAACAAACAAACAAGAGGACGAAAAAAGAGACTAACCCATGGCCATAATACATGGAGTCACCATAAAGAGTCTCCCTCACAACAGGCAAAGGAGCACGGACTTCATCTACATCGTTCTGCAGCATCCTTGCATATTCAGTGTCTGTAGCCGCCCTATGGAATATAACATCAAACATTCAAACCACAGGAGGAACAAACCAAAACCGATTACTACTTCAAGATATCCCAATTATAACATTATCATACCCAAGAGATTGTGCAGCCGAGTGATCGTTGGACGCTGGCTGAGTGTGTGTACCAGATGGTAGTATACCACCTTCGCCTCCAACGTAGAACAGCTGTATAGCTTCCTCAAGATTCCAGCTTGTTGCCTGTTGATACAAAAATCTCTACTATATTAGTAGTTTTCATATGCCAAGTCAATCTCATCACATAAACCCAAACCCTCAATAACAATGCAGATCGTAACACCACAGCAATGAACTCAAGCTACTCTCCACCACAGAGATTTTGCCACACAAAAAGCCAGATCAACCAAAAATACAAAAAACTCTCTGCGCCTAAATCTCAATATAGCTTTTTCAAAATCGTATACCCAAACTGTCAGAGTGATAATAAAATTGCTCCATGAGCTGCAAAGAAGGAGGACCCAATCTAGGGATTCAAAGCCCAAATTTTTCCATATCAACTAGAACCCTAAGCTGAAACAAAGCCGAAGCAAGCACTTTCAGACTCGGAACCAGTAAACCCAAAGCTCAATCAAGGTAAAGCTCACTCAGACGAATCACATCAGCTGACTACAGCAGCTAGAAACCAACAAATCTACCACTTTCGAGCAAACGAGCAATCGGCGAACCTTTAAGAACTGCCGAGCAGTTTCTGCAGTCTGATCGACGGCGATCTCAAGGAAAGAAGTGACTAATCTCTGCTGGTCACCGGAAGACGACATTTCCTCCATTGCTAAAGTCGACAAACCCTGAAAACAAAAAACCCCTAATTTCTGAGAACACACACAAAAGCCGATTTTTTTTTCCTCGACCGATCTAGGAAAGAAAAACCCAGAATTTCTAACCTAGGAATCGCACTTGCCCAGAAGAGGAGGAGGAGGAGGAGATCGGATTAAATAAGAAACTGTAGAGTCGAATCCTGCGGGAGGAGAAGAAGGAACGACACACGATGAAATTGATCTTACTGCCAAAAATATTTACACTCGTATATATCTCTATCTCTCGGATTTTTTTCCATATTAAAAGACGGTTATAACCATAGGTCTAGTCAGGTGACTCGTCCCAGTGAGTGGGGTTGTTTTTGACATTTCAAAAAACGCATACGCATGTGAAATTGGCCCATCATTAAATGTATCTATCGAGTTCATCTTAAGATATTGTCCCAGATTATTAAGCTTTTAATCATATGAATCATTATATTAAAAAATTTAGGCAAAAAATTTACATATTTTAGCTGTCGGTTGATATTTTGAAATTCTTGTTGCAACACATGAATAAACTTTTCTTTCTTGAGTTTTGAATCTTTTGATCACAAATATATAATCTTTTTTTGCTTAATTTATCAAAAGAATATTGTCACTATCAAGGAATAATTAGGCGCAAATTTGCGAGAAAGTTAAAAAAAAAAAAAAAAAAAAAAAAAAAAAAAAAAAAACTGTCTAATGATTTTGTTTTCTTCCGTGTATGCTCCTAAGAGAATCAATGAACAAAGATCCTTAGGCTGGTTTTGATCTCTCTCGCGGTGGAATCCGTAACCACGTCTTCATTGACTCATAAACCGTGAATCCAATCGCAACCGATGGAACAATCTAATGAAACAAAAGACGATCAATATGTCATGGATTTGAAAGAAAAAAAACTGGATTTATCGTCTTAAAACACTTGAAAGTTGAAAACTTTGTATCGGTATTACCTTAATGTAGTTGATGCTTAAACCAGCAAACAACTGTCTCCAACCCTGAGTTCGAATAATCGTGTTAAACCCGTCAAATGTGTTCTTGTAACGTTTGTTGTTGCCATCACTCGTCATAGGCTGCAGATTCTCTACCTGTTTGTCACACAAAGACCAAAACGATTCTGAGTTTTGAAATGTTGCAAAGTTTCAATAATGTTTCTGGTTTGTTTATTTATTTTTTACCTGCATTTGTCTCCTGACAACATCCAACGGGTAAGTTAAGGTCTGACCAAATAAACCAGCTAAAGCTCCACAAGGTAAATGCATTCGAACAGAGTTTTGATGCTCTTCAGGAACATGTCTTTTCAATTCCTCATATATGTAGAACTTGAGACCGGCGTATGGAAGGATGCCAATCAACGTTGGCCCTGAAAAAATACACAGGAAAGCAACAATCTTTTATAAATCATCTACAAATCCAAATTAAGAAAAAGTATTAGAGGGCACACACACATAAGTATATGCTTTGATTTAAGAGTCAACAAAGACTAGACTTGGTACTACTTTGATGAAGTGACTTTATCAGTCAATTTGAAATACACTTTTGAACATTAATGCAAGGAAGTTTGATGAGCTTTACCTATGCCTCGGTATAGCCCACGTGGTCCCCCTTCTTTATAAGCCATTGTAAGCACCTCTTTTATCCCTGAATATGTATGTTGTTGACGGTAAAACCCATTGCCACCACCAACTCGGAGACTCTGTGACGTGTCAGAAACCTTAAATGCAATACAAAAACAGCATGAGAGAAGAAACTTAAAGATATTCTCCATTCCCAGTTAAGTAACAAGAAAAATAACACACCTGGTAAGCTAGCTTGGTACGAGCTAAATCAAGGGGGTATGTGCACAAAACTGCAGTTCCTCCTGCAGCTGAACCAGCCACAAGATCAACAATGGGACCAGAACCTAAAGGAAGGTTATTTTCCAGAATCCAGTCACGATACACTTCATACGTCATGTAATGAAGTGCGGCGTAAGGTATAATCCGAATAACACTCGCTCCATTTCCTCTGCAAGAGTTATGCACAACACAATGATTAAGTAAACTGATTTGAGCTGAGCTGAGAAAAAGTAAGAGTTAAAACCACTAGAGGTACTTACTTATAGAATCCGAGAGGACCATCACATTGTAACACCTTCTTTAGTGACTGTGACACACCAAGGGTCCTAAAGTCGTTTGTTCTAGTCTGGTAAATACAGTTTAGATTCAGTCAGAGCCATTGAAACATAATTAAGATCAGCAAAAAGCCAGAATTCAATTTCACCTGCAACAGAATTTTGATCCTTTCCAGAGGTGCAACAGCAGTCTTAGCAAATGCTCCAGCAGCACCTCCAGCGATAAGAGTTTTGGCAAGCACAGGCATTGTATACACAAGGCTCATCACATCAGCTGAGAGTGTGGAGCCTTGTGACGAACCCATCTCAAACTCTCAAACCCAGTTTTTTTTTAATGGAAAATAGATAACAGGAAGAAAGTTATGTCAAATTTGGGATAATCTTCTCTCCCTTCAGCCGGAGAAACGCCTTATCCCATCTAAATCTAGGGTTTATGGTCGAGGTAGATTTCTTTCTGAAACTCAAGCTCGTGAATCTGAGAAATTCCAGAAAAGAGCACGGAAAGCTCAGAAGCAGATTCTCTCCTCCTCTTACAGCTATATTCATTAACAGCCTCAATGAGACACTCAACGATGATCAACCCCCACCAGAAGATCAAATCATTCCCATAGTCGAATCGCAAAAGACTCGTCTTCAATTTGACAGATCCGGATACTATTCCACCGTTCTCGTAAACCGAACCCACGAGCAAATTCAATCGATTGATCAACCGAACTTATACCCTTTTGAGAGCTATGCAGATCGAAATGAATCAATCTGTGGGGAAACCGAAAAACCGTCGAGGAGAAACAAACCGAAGCTAATTCACAAACAGAAAAGCGCGTTATAACACGGAGTTATCGGAGAAGATTCAGGGAAATTATTTGGTGATGAAGAGAGACTGAAGGCTCGCCGTAAATTTCTGAGAGAAGAAATAACGAAGACGGAAAAGTTTTCGATTCAAAGTTCGTCTCGTGCTCTGTTTAGTGTTTACTCATTGGTCGCCCATTTTCAGAGGCTTGAAGAAAACAGAGATACTTTTCTGAGGTAGAAATCGCATGTGACATTGTTCACCGAAAATGTGGTGGACCTAACCATTGTCCACCAACGTGTCACGTGACCCATCTATGCGACCGACCATACAGATACATACACATGAGTCCCCCCAATGGCCAAAAACACTAGTTTGAACTTATACTAACTTTTATCGACTGTCGAATATTTCAATATTTATATCCCAAAAAGAATCAAAACCTCAATCCACTAGTTTTTTCGGTGTCTTAACAATTCATAAAGTAACATACACAATTACGACAAATAATCAAACGAATATGTCATTTTGTAAAGAATGCATTGCATCCAAGTTAAACAAACTATCAAGCATTGTGTAACTAACAAAGTTGCATATCCTTCTGATTTCTCCTTTAGAGCCGGTGAAAGGTTCAATGTCACCCATCTTGATCATGCCTGTGGCAAAATCTGCCGTATTCCGAAGTTTTGTTTAAAAACACGTTTTGAGTTTTAATAGTTGTCAGCAAGAAAAATAAAATTTATACGAGCAAGAAGAAAATGGAATTAAGCTACAATTGTGGAAAAAAATTATTGGTGGTTAAAAAATCAGTTGCAATGATCGAAGCTGTCAATTCTTAGTGCTTTGAACGGAAACTATATATATAGACACGGTCAATGGTGATTGAAATGATCGTGTTACTATCGTCACTATTATTCCCCTTTTCTCTTTAAAATCAGAAAGTCGAGTCTTTGTGGGCTTGTATTCATTTGTCCACCCATATATGTAGATGCATGTGTACGTAGCACATATGAAGGAATCTAATACGTTTCCTTTTTCTTTGATTAAAAGGAAAAATGTCAATTCAACTATGTTCGACTGTTACTAGACGATTGCATGGATCCGAACTGCCTTACACATGATCTAATTAGACTAAAGGCTGTCCTCGGATACAAATTTAACCTTAGCGACGTCTAATTATATTTTAATATAACATGTCAACGTTTGGAAAATTTTGTATATAATTACTGAGTATATTATTATATATGCTTTTTTTAAATATGAAGAAAACTCACTACAACGCATTTTGAAAATGGAAAAATCCCTGAAAAATACACGAACTTAATTATTTTTGGAAGGAAAATACACCAACTTTTTTCGATCTCAGAAAAATACACGAACTAATTTTCATATCTAATTTAATACTCAAACTTTCAAAATTTGGAGGTTTTAAATCGGAATTAACTGTTCAGTTAACTTGTTTAACAGATGTTAGCACACTCCGTTTAAAATTAATAGGATATGGGTTTAACACTAACGAAATGACCATTGTTGTCCTTTTAGAAAAACCCAAAATCAATTTCTATCAAATCTCAGAACCCTAAATTCAATTTCCCCAAATCAATTCAATGTTCAGCAATATAACTAATCCCATGAATCCAGAAATTTACTCCATGAAACTCTAAAGAAACCAATCAATATTTAATCTTGTCACAGAGAAAAGAGAGCAGTGACCCGTGAATTTGGTGTTGCATGATTCACATGTTTGATGAAACATGTGGAGACAAACGAAGAAACAATTAGGGATAATGAATAATACTTCTTTTTTACGGCATAGTTTGAAACAAAACAAAAGAGAAAGAAATCAGAATTCTAATTCCTATGGAAGCCCTGGTGAAGAAGATGATTCATAGGAGCTCTTATGGATTTTGACGAAATTATGTTCTTTGTGGATTTAAAAGCAGAATGAAGAAGTGATGCTCTTTGTGGATTTAAAAGCAGAAGTCGTTGCATGTCCCTTGGAAGTACATTGAACACCACTTGTTTGTGATTCACAATTTGATTTGGGAAACTGAATTTAGGGTTTTGATTTGAGGAAAATTGATTTGGGGTTTTTTGAGAGGGACAACAATGGTCATTTTGTTAGTTTTAAGCCCACGTGATATAATTTTAAACTACGTTTACTAACATCCGTTTAATAAGTTAACGGAGCAGTTAATTACCGTTTACAACTTCCAAATTTTCAAAGTTGTGTATTAAATTAGACTAGGAATAAGCCCGCGCAATGCGCGGGTTGTGACTATTACAAAATTTAGTCAATTATATCTGAATTTTTACATTAATTTCCAAACATTTTTACATATTTTTTTCTATTATTTTTTATTTTATCTAAAATCAAATATTCAAAAATTGTTGCGTTTGTTTTGAGAGCAAATAGTATAATATTTTAATTTAACAATTTGAACATTATATTTAAAATGTAATATCATATAGATGAAATCAAAATCAAGTATGTTGTTTTAAGAAAGTATGTAACTATATAACTTCTTGAAGGATAGTATAAGAAGACTCCATGCCACTTCTTTATACTCTAAAGATTCATCTATGTGAAAAGTTAAAGGAGTTTTCTGATGGACTGAGATCCATCACCTCCTTAAAGAATCTGAGTGTTTCCTTGCAAAATTATAGCCATTTTCCGTATAGAGAGAAGATTATCACAAAATCCAACAAAACTCTTATATTACTTACCATGGGCAGGGCTGACCATGAGATTCGTAATAATTGAGGCTCTCAGCAATTACAGCCTGCGTACTACCAGGTAAAAATAACATTTCCTTTTTTCAAAGTATGATTGACTCTTCTTTCATTCTTATGTTTTGTGTAGATGAATCTACTGTGAAGCATCTCTTATCAACTTTGGCAGCAACATATCAAACAAAAAATAAAACTCAGTGTTTTTAAAACCGGATCGGACCGGCCGGGACCCGGAAGGCTTCCCAGTTTGGTTTGTTACTGAAAACCATTATTAACTAAAACAATAAAATCGGATAAAAGACCGGCCAAAACTGGTGAACCACCAAAACCCAGTTCTTGAGATTTTGATTCATTCACCTTGTTTTTTGGAGTTTTTATCGAAGTAAGACTATTTGTTGTATATTGTGTCGATTTCCAACAAAATCCATAGATACAAAAAAAACATTTTGAAAAACTTAGATTTGAGTTAAAGAGAAGATGGAAAAATATGAAGAGTAATTGGGAAGCTGATGATTGTGGAGAAGAAAACAAGATATGTTGACTATTCTAGGGTTTTAACTTTATTAGGAGAAATTCTTTTTAATATGATACTCTCTCTGTTCCATATTATAAGCAGTTTGGGAAAATGTATCTGCAAAAAAGTGGATGTATCTGGATTCAATTGCATCGAGATACATCTACCTTTTTGTAGATACATTTTCCCAAACAGCTTATAATAAGGGACACAGGAAATAGAAAGTAAAATGGCAATGGGCATTAATTACAAAATATATAACATACAACCAAATTTGCTAATTTCCTAATATGATATATATGATTTATGTGTAATAATAAATATTAAATATTGTAAATTCGGTCAGACCGGTTGAACCGGGTTAACCCATGATTCAAGAGATTTTCCGGTTCATGATCAGACTTATGATTTTTTGTTGGAGGTAAAAATACTTATGTGGTTGGTATTAAAACTGATTTTATATATTGTTTGCTGGTTTAAGTGATAGTAATCCTTTCTCTTATTCAATGATAACTCATACTCTCTTCGTTTCAAATTAGTTGTCGTTTTAGCAAAATATAACTGTAAATATTTGGATGTATCTAGACATATTTTGTATTGTAGATACATTCAAATAATTGTAGATATATTTTTCTAAAACGATTTGAAACGGAGGGAGTAAAGTTTTTCTTTTATTTCTCATTAGACAATTGGCACATTTGATGGCTCGTTTAAGAAACACATAAAAATTCACCCCATAATATCCATCATATTACCGAATTGACCTATAAGAAATAAATTGTATCGATCAGTCCTCACCCGGAAAAAATAATTTGAATCTCCTTCATTTTCGGTGTTCCTAAAATCCAGCGAAACTTTCCCTTTGTGTCAACTCAGACCCATTCCCATGGACTTCTCCGTCAACCTCCCGGCGGCTCACCTTCTCCGTCGTCTTCCACGTCTTCCTCTACTCCTCACCGTTTGAAATCCGCCCGTACACCTACCGCTACTGCTGCCGCTGTCTAAGGAATCTCCTCCGACTGAGATCCAATGCATTTTGGTGGGAATCAGTCTCGAAGCAGCGCTCTCGCATCCTCTCTCTGTCTTCTCTACTTTCCGGCGATTCTCATTCGGAAGACGTCGACGAAAGTCTGATCTCTTCTTTAGCAATTCTGATCCGGCTCCGGTTTCGGATCTGACCCGCTCTGTCAGTGACTATACGAAACCTACCTCTCCTCCGATCCACCCCTTCGACTCGTCGTCCTCTCGTTCCTCCCATTACTCGTCGAAAGGCAAACTGACGATCATAGCAAAACCTCCGGTACATTCCAAATCTTTCATCTTATGCTCAATCGACAATCAAACACATCCGTTTACTTCCCCTGACACATTACACAATCTTGTAACAGTTTCATATGAGACAGTGGCTGAAAGAAGAATCAAAAGTGACAAAATAGGTGTTTTTATTGCAATGATTTGGGCAACAAACAATAAAAGAAAGGTGTTTCCTGATAAGAGAGAGGAGCCGAATCAATATGGGATTTAGAGAGATCGGAGTTACAGAGATTGAGAGAGGGAGAGGAAGCGGTAGAACGGAGGGAGCGTAGCTTTTCATTGGTTTTACGGATGACACGTGTCGTTTTCAAAATAAACGAAATTGATGACGTGTCGAGAGGATGGAGAGAGTTATCCTCTCTTTATAATATAGATATAGAAATTAGTCTGTGTATTTTTATGAGATCCAAAAAAGTTGGTGTATTTTCTTCTAAAAAAAAATTAAGTTGGTGTATTTTTCAGGATTTTTCCCTTTGAAAATATACCAGCAGTGTGACGTAGTTCGTTATATTTTCTCTTGCCGTTAGAGGTTTAAGTTGGCGAGAATACTGTCGTGATAAATTTTGGAGGACGTATATTTTGATGATAATGATAGATCTTAATACAAAGCTTGTAGTACAAATTGTATTTGCAAATGGTTATCATTCTATTACACATTTCGTTGTTACATATTGTGTAAACTAATTATTATAGCTATCATCCAGGGCTAACTAATTAACAAGAAACACCGAAAACTTACCTAATTAAAGACAAAATCAAAGCATAACAAGGTAAGAAGCAACCACTTGTGGTTACGGGTATGGACAATTCGCATGACATTATTCTAGTAAAGATTCGCTCACTACTTTTCAAAGTCAAAATGTCAATTGTCAAAATTTCGCGTAAGCCTAATTAACCGTTTTAATATTGTACTAAGTTATGGTTTGGTCAACGCTGACCAACCTTCCAAAAATCTAAACCTCTTTCTTCATTTTTCTCTTTGGCGACATTTTTGAGCAATGCGTGAGTAATAGAAAAAAAAGGTAGGAGAAATAATCAAATACCTTGAATTACAGCCTTTAAAAAACAAAACGAACATATTATTAAAATAATAAAAATGAAATTGAAATTTAAATTATGATTGTTAAATTCAATATAAGATATTATAACTTTTTATCAAAGTAAAATTTGTTAAGAGTTTTATATTCATCGTAGAAAAAATTGTTATTTCAGATCGTTGAATGATAAGAATGTTATTACTTTTGCTAATCGGTTCGCCGTTAACCACAAAACTTTGATAGTATAAACAAATACTGGAAAGGCCAGTCTCTTGGAAGAGGTCAGAAGGCTACTTGTCACGCGCTCCCGCAGCTAAAAGATGACTCACAGTTGATAATTTCGATCCTATTTATATAAGACTTATTTCGTCTCGTTTCTAAAATTCACATCAAATATCTCCAATTCATCAATCACTTTAGCTCTCTACGAAATTGTTTACTAGTTCGAAAAATTAAGAAAAACTTCTTCGTTATATATAAGTTAATTATAACACTACGTGTATGGCGATCTTCAAGATTCTTGTGTTGTTATTAAGCTTGTCCTGTTTCTGTCATGCACAACTCTCTCCTACGTTCTACGACCAAAGTTGTCCAAACGCTCTCTCAACCATCCGATCCTCAATCCGAACTGCCATCAGCCGCGAACGTAGAATGGCTGCTTCTCTCATCCGTCTCCAATTCCACGACTGTTTCGTTAACGTATGTAATTGGCATTTTGATCTAATTAACACGTGTATAGATATGTGTTCAATGTACGTACCGGTCTAAAATTTGTGATTGATTTTGAAATTGTTGTAGGGTTGTGATGCATCGGTCATGCTTGTGGCAACTCCTACCATGGAGAGTGAGAGAGATGCAGTGGCAAACTTTCAATCAGCAAGAGGATTCGAAGTTATCGATCAAGCTAAATCCGCCGTGGAAAGAGTCTGTCCCGGTGTAGTTTCTTGTGCTGATATCATTGCCGTTGCCGCTAGAGACGCTTCCGAATACGTAAGTACTTATCAATATCATCTATAAAGACACATTTTAAACATAATTTCATGGTAAAATTTTAAGATAAATAGAAATTTTGAATCAACTTTTCATTTCCTTTGTGTTTAAATGTTTGCATATACAAGTTTTCATTAAAACACTAATCGAAGGTTGTTTGTTTAATTTGAGGGAAATCTTACTATTTTCAACAACCTAACGTTGAGTCGACTTAAGAAACAATTGCATTAGAAATACCACTTTTTAATTCGTTTCTCGTAATTCTAATTCATTCCTACGTACATGTGTAAATTTTGGAATCATTAATAGGTCGGAGGTCCAAGATACGCAGTAAAGGTTGGTCGGAGAGATTCCACCGCCGCTTTTAAAGCTATTGCAGACAGCGATCTCCCCAGCTTTAGGGCTAGCCTCAGCGAACTCTCTGATCTCTTCCTTCGAAAAAATCTCAACACTAGAGACCTTGTCGCTCTCTCAGGTCAGTCCCAAAAAAAATATTGTTAGTCGCTAATATGTTATCATTTTGTCTCTCTTTAAAACATTGCTTGTGACACACGCGAAATCTATTTACAGGAGCTCACACCTTAGGGCAAGCTCAATGCGTAACGTTCAAGGAAAGACTTTACGACAACTCGAGTGACATTGACGCCGGATTCTCCAGCACACGTAAGCGTCGTTGTCCGGTCAACGGTGGAGATACGACTCTAGCACCTCTAGATCAAGTGACACCAAATTCGTTCGACAATAATTACTACAGAAACTTGATGCAGAAGAAAGGACTTTTGCCAACCGATCAAGTTTTGTTTGGAACCGGAGCTTCTACAGACGATATTGTGTCAGAATACAGTAGAAACCCATCTCGGTTCGCGTCTGATTATGCAGCTGCAATGATTAAGATGGGAGATATTCAGGCACTCACCGGCACAGCCGGACAAATCCGGAGGATCTGCACTGCTGTTAATTAAAAGAGATATTACTATCCTTGTTCGAAAAAGTTTCGACACTTCAGATTCATGTGATTATGTTTACATTTATTCATTTGTTTCATTGTTGTAACTGTATGTAGCTAATTCGTTACCTGCAACAATTCGTTTGTTATTTGGAAATTATTGAAATGTAATAATAATTTATGATCTTTCTTATGTATAATGTATGTATATGGTACTCAAACTTTTGCTTTTGGAAAAGCTTAATTATTTCTCAGTTTGAAATTGTTATGAAATTTAGTGAGTTTTCCAATTTTTCATCATCGATATGTTCCATGCTTTATAGTTACATCTCAGATTTGAGTTACTTTCTCTAAATTTATCAAATGATGCAAAGTTTTCATAATGACTTTTTAAATGAATGGATTCTTGATTTCTTAGACATTCCGAATCGAACTGCAAACGATTTTATACGATTTCAAGTTGTATAAACTCGATAAACCGGAGAACTGAACCTTAGCAAATTCAATCAATCTTTGATTTTAAATATGATTAAAATTCAAATTATGTTAAAAAAATCCTTTTAATTCCAGCTAGCATTAGCTTTTCCACGTATGCATGCGTACACGTGGAACTATGGAAACAACGTCGCGTGTCAGCCACCACAACTCCTCCCCGCGGAAAGAATCACCTTTCACCGGCTATTTGCTTTCTCAATCTGCTCTTCTATTGCTTCCACGTCATTCTCTCTCACGTCACTTTTCTCAATCTCATTTCTGGAATGCATTGAAAAAACAAACCAAAAAGGAAAAAAAAACAAAATCCAAACAGAAGAAAGAAGGAAGGAGAGAGGAGAAGTGATTCGAATCGATTCCCTTTTCGTGAATCTAATAAGGAATCCGAACACATTGGTTTCTCCGAGATGAGGAACGGCGTCCTGGAAATGATGCAATCTTCGTCGGGAATTTTTCCGTTGTCGTCTTCTTCGGCGGCAGCGCTTAACCTGAAGGAAGCTACGAATTGGTGGTCGGACGTCAACGAATCTCCGGTCTGGCAAGATCGTATCTTCCATATCCTCGCTGTCTTATACGGAATCGTTTCCGTCATTGCTGTGGTAACCTCCTTCGTCCGCTACTTCTCGTTCTGCTCTTGAGTTTTTCGGATGATTTGAGTTTGCAATTCGGATATAGGTTGATCTGAAATCGATTATTTTAGAGAATTCGAGAATATTGGATGGAAAATGAAAACTTTAAAATAATTAAAGTTTCATTTTTTGAATAGATTCAATTGGTAAGAATACAACTGAGAGTGCCAGAATACGGCTGGACGACGCAGAAAGTCTTTCACTTTCTCAATTTCCTGGTGAACGGAGGTGAGCCACTTACTGTAAAACGTGATTTTGTTAGTATTTGATTCTTCTCTGTGTATCTTTTTTGTTGATTGTCTCGTCTTCTTTCCTTGTAGTTCGAGCTCTAGTTTTCATCTTCAGGCGGGATGCACAGAAAATGGAGCCGGAGGTTTGGTGTCTCCATTGGCATTGTGATTAAAACTCTTTGTTGGTCTATGTGAATTTTCTAAACTCTTGCAAGCCTCTCTTTTAGATTCTGCAACATATCTTGCTTGACATTCCAAGTCTTGCTTTCTTCACTACTTACGCGCTCCTGGTACTCTTCTGGGCAGAGATTTACTATCAGGTAAAATTTGATTCGGTGTATATGTTTCAAATTTTGTTTCTGGGTGCATTGTTGTTGATGTTTACTTCTTCATCCCAACAGGCACGTGCTGTGTCCACTGATGGACTGAGGCCAAGTTTCTTCACAATCAATGCGGTTGTATACGTAATACAGGTGAAGTGAAACCATGGTTCTGAGTTTGTTCTTTAGATTGCCTCACTATCCAAAATGTCTGAGTGGCGTAATCTTTCATGTGAATGCATTAATTCCAGATTGCTCTTTGGTTGGTAATGTGGTGGAAGCCTGTTCAAGTTATGGTCATCATTTCTAAGATGTTCTTTGCAGGTATTGCTTGAAGTGTAATTGATTGATCATATTCTTTTTCTGTCCTCTGTGTCTCACCCACCTCTTGTGAATGTGTGTATTGCAGCTGTGTCATTGTTCGCAGCCCTTGGCTTTCTCTTATATGGAGGAAGGTAAGTGTGTTTCCGGTCCAGTCACATCCCCTCCTCTGCTGGCTTTCTCTTACTGTTGTGAAGGAAGTTTCTCATGAATTGGTCTTGATTTGTTGTCTTTGACGACTGTTGCTTGGCAGGCTTTTCCTGATGCTACAGCGGTTTCCAGTAGAGTCCAAAGGGCGGCGCAAGAAGCTGCAAGAGGTGAATTTTTTGAATCTTCAAACCAAAGATCATAAGTTGATCAAAGTTTCTTATTTTCGTTTTCATAAAACTTAATCTTCCTTTATGTGTTGTAGGTTGGTTACGTGACATCCATATGCTTTACGTGTTTCCTCATCAGATGCATCATGGTAAATACATACACATCTCATACTATTGATATCAGTATCAATATCCGAAACTTTCAGCTAACAAGATCTTTCATTTCATCATCTGTTAATGGTGTAGATGTGCTTTGATGCGTTTGACGATGCAGCAGATCTTGATGTCTTAGATCACCCAATCCTAAACTTCATATATTACCTGGTAAGCTCTCTATTAACCTCTTGAACACATTTTCTTAGTTTGAAATAGTCTAAAGAAAACGCGTTGTTGGTCTTGTTTACTTACAGTTGGTGGAGATATTACCTTCTACTTTGGTCCTCTTCATCCTAAGAAAGCTTCCACCAAAACGCGGAATCACTCAGTACCATCAAATCCAGTGAACAACGAAGATGGGTTTAGAGAGTCGAAACACAGAGGCAATCACGGTTCAGTTCGTGGATGCATGATGATACAATAAGGGAGAAAAACATAAAGAAACAACTGAGAAAAGGATCGGAAGATAGTCCGTCTTTTTTCTTCTTGAGCTTAAACCGGGAGTTAATATGGTAAACCGGGGGAGTGTTTTTGTTCCTTTTCATAGATAAAATGTACATGTTAATGTAAGGGGTTGCAGAGAACAAATGGGTTGTGATTTCTTTTTCTTTTTTTAAGTAATCCAATGTGGATAATTAGCAAAGTTTCTCTTGTTGTTTACTAATTAAAAGTAGCTTGGTCTGAGAATATGATACTGTTGAATGGGTTGTTGAGGATTCCATGTTTTGGTTATGAGAGAGACAGAGGAACAGTTTTGTGTTATTGATGACATATGATCATATTATATACGAGTATAGCCACTTAATTCACCCTAGTTTTATAAGGAAAAAAATCATTTTTGACTGGTTGGTATTTTCCCCTGTTTACTGAGTATTAACGAAATTAATATTTCCAATTATAAACAGTTTTGCTGTAATACGGAAAACGTTGGTGACAAAAGACGCAATCAGGAAAATGCAGTCAGTCGTGGGATCACGGAAGTAAGAAATGAAAGTACAACACTTATGAATCTTATGATAGAGAGACGTCTTCCACTTTCAGATATTTTCTTTACTATTTTTGTCGTCTAAGCACCGTTGGATCAATAAAACAAAAACAACCGATCCAACGACTCATGTCACGTGGAGCCCACTGAGCTATGGATTTAAAGGTAAACTGACGTAACTCTTTCTTTCTTCCGCAATGGGTCATATACTAACGTGTAATATACTGTATTATTTATTACAAAACTAGAGAAGAAATTTGTTTCTGCTACGTAACAAGGTTTAGTTTATTGCAAGTCCTTTTTGTGGAACAGTTACATTTATTTATACTGAAAAATAAAAGTAGTTTGTGTGGACTGTTGAAAAGAGAAATGCAGATTTCAAAGTCATAAATAAACAAATCTAAAAAGTTTGTAAATGTGGATTAGGGAGAGCGATAGTGTAACACGTGCATTAAGAAATCATTAAAAAGAAAAAATAACGCGCCAAGTCTTTGTCTAAACTAATCTCCATTTCTACAGCTGTTTTTGGCCTTTGTTTTTTTTTTCTCTGCATGAAGCCCTGATCCAATAAAAAGGCAATACTTTTGAATTTTTGCCACTCAAGGACACTTTGAGAATCATAGTTATGGCGCTTCAGGACTCACTTCCTCCATTATTCACACGATCAGGACTCACTTCTCACCTATATAAACCATCTTCTTCCTTTCTCCAATTGCCGTCATCATCAACAAAACCTACCTTTGGTTTCTGGATCTGAATCTCCATGACGATTCTCATCGATCGCAACTCTGATCAGAACGGTTCGTGATTCTCTTATACTTATTTTTCTTCTTCTGTGTTTCTTAGTTTCGAGTTTTCTTTAAGTAAGATCGTCGATGTTCTGTTTTTGAAATGATCTGGTTATAGATTTACAGTTTTTGGACTATTTTGTGGATTAGTCGTATTTTTGGATTATAATTGAGAATTTTGATCGATTTATTGACTAAATTTGAGTTTATGGAGATGAAGCAGGAGACGAAATTGTAGAGAAGAATCAGGTGAATGAGAAAGAAACAGAGTTGGTGTTGGATGGAGGTTTTGTGGCACCTCAAACCAACTCTTTTGGTCAAACCTTCAGGTAAATTATCTTCTATAAAATTTCAAATTTGTTTGTTTGTTTATCTTCTCAAGATCGAAACTTTTTTAATTTTGCTTGGTTGTCGTAAAAAAGGGATTATGGTGCTGAGAGTGAGAGGAGAAGAAGCGTGGAGGAGTTCTACAAAACCAATCACATTGGCCAAACCGTTGATTTCGTGAGAAAGATGAGGGAAGAGTACGGGAAGCTAAACCGAACCGAGATGAGCATTTGGGAATGCTGTGAGCTTCTGAATGAGTTTAAAGACGAGAGTGATCCTGATTTGGACGAACCTCAGATCGAACATTTGCTTCAGACAGCTGAAGCCATCAGGAGAGATTACCCTGACCAAGACTGGCTTCATCTCACCGGTCTTATCCATGGTAGATAATTTTATATGATGATTGGCTTTTGATCCTATTAACGAAAATTGTTTAATGATTTTTGTGAATTAGATCTCGGAAAAGTTCTTCTTCACCCTTCATTTGGAGAGCTTCCTCAATGGGCTGTTGTTGGTGAGTCTTGTGTTTCTTCTTCCTCTTGTTTTTTTTTTTGTTTTTCTTGAATGATTTATATATCTCCATCGACGTAATTACAGGCGATACTTATCCAGTGGGATGTGCTTTTGATGAATCTATTGTTCACCACAAGGTATGTGAAAGATCCTTAAATTTGTTTTGGAGCTTTAAAAGATGTGAGAATTGATTCTTTTTTTGTTGATGCAGTACTTTAAGGAGAATCCAGACTACAATAAGCCGAGTTACAACACTAAGTACGGCATATACACCGAAGGTTGTGGACTTGACAATGTGTTCATGTCTTGGGGACATGATGATTACATGTACCTCGTAAGCAAACTACAATCTCAACACTTGTTTTCATGTAAGAATCTCTATTTGATGCTATTACTCTGTTTCACAGGTTGCAAAGGAGAATCAAACTACACTACCATCAGCCGGTCTTTTCATCATCAGATACCACTCGTTCTACCGTATGATTTGCTCAAATAACGGAGTCAAGATTATACAATTATGCATGGTTTCTTATTCTTGTTTTTTTTTGTTTTTGGGTTCGAAGCTCTTCACAAATCAGAAGCATACAAGCATTTGATGAACGATGAGGATAGAGAGAACATGAAGTGGCTGAAAGTGTTCAACAAGTATGATCTCTACAGCAAAAGCAAAGTCCGTGTAAACGTGGAGGAAGTGAAACCCTATTATCTCTCCCTTATCAACAAGGTATTATATAACATAAACCGTAAAATGTAAATTCAAGTTTCATATTTACAGTTTAGAAGTAGAATCCGGGTTTTCTGTCCTAACTTGCGGAATTTATCGCTTGTTCTTGTTTTGCAGTATTTTCCGGCGAAGTTGAAATGGTGAAACTTACAATCAGAAAGCCTTTTTCTATTAGAATGATTGTGACAAAATATATGTGTAAACCTAAAGACAATAACGGATATGCCTTCATGAATAAAACAGAGTGTTTGTTTCGTTTGTGCTTGGTTTCATTTCCAATGGTTGTGTATACTGAAAAGTTGAGCCAAATCGCAAATGTAATCCAGAAAGTCTGCCGGAAGATAAAATAATTCGGTAAAAATGAAAAATTGTTTCATCCAGTGAGACAAAACCTGACTTTAATAACTGAAAAGTTTGAAATAAAGGAATGAGTTACAAAGATCTAAGACTACACAGGGAACGTCCTTTATTAGGGAAGTGAAAAGTTTATTAAAAGTTTCAAACTAAACACAATCTAAACTAAAGGTTTTGTCATTCCAGATTTTTGTCTACATCAAGGTTGTCTTAATTTCCAAAAATTTTGGTTATTTTTTGTTTTTTTGTTTTTTTTGTTTTTTGTTTGTCAGCAGTTATTTTTGGTTATGGATCATCCATTAAACAAATAGGATGATGGATTGAATTATTTATTTTGACACCCTAGGCTTAGTTTCATGGTTTTACCTTTCTCAAAATGTTTCATTTGCAGGAGGAGTGCTTTGAAAAAGCGGAATGTTATACATATGTCCACAACTTCCGCAAGGTAGCTCAAGGTATAAGGTTTGATTTGTTTTTTTCTTGAATAACATATTATTTTACGATGTCCCTAACTTTTCATATGTCCAGATCTTCTGGAAAAAGGCTACAAAGAGCAAGGATTACATGTCTCTACCATGCTGAAGTGCTTGGAGAAGATATCCAAGGACCTTGAAGATGCTCCATATGCTATGGTATTAATTAATTTACTTGTTTTTTAGTCGGACGAGGGGTAACACCTTTTTTCATCTAGAATATTGATTGTTTCTGTATATTAAGGGAATGGATTCAAATGTGATGAAAGTGGGACATCCTAATTGTTATTGGGACATGTTTACACATATTCAATACAAGAACTCCCGCTTATGCCATTGACAGTGAGTGTTGAATCAGTTAACTTCTGATAGTCGATGAAAGTAAAAAAAATGAAAAAATGAAAAAAAATGTGTTATTCATATGACCAATGATTCTTCATATTGTTCTACCTTCATACATAAATTGTTGTGTTGGAGGTGGAATAACAACATATGGCTTCATGACTTCAGCTGTGTAGTAAGTATTCAATTTAGTTTTTTTTTTTGGTACAAAATTCAAATTTAGTTTTTAAGTAAAGTAATCCAGTTAAGTTACTAATCCTGTCTAATTCATTTTTGGCATTTTCAGTTGGAGGAATTCACCGACTGTATCGTGTATTAAGCAATTTAACCAACTTGATTTGGGGGTTGAGGTTTCCAAACCAATCTTCTCTGAGAAGCTGGATTGCTTAATAATTATTAATAAGATCTTACTAACTAAACCTTTGATTGACACCAAAATTCTGCTTCAACTTGTTATCTTTAAAGGGAAAGAGCTCATTTAATTCTGTGTGCAATCACAGAGCAAATGGAAATCAAATCATCAAAAAAACAAAATCCATTAAGATGCAAAAACTATAATCCATATGCTAAGTAAATCCATGACAAACAATTAGCCACAGTTAGATAAAAAGAGAGGATGCTTAACTCCAAGTGTTTAAATCTATTGCTAATGAACAAAATGAATGAGATTGTGGTAGAGTACATTCCTAATTCATAACTATAATAGAATTTTCAGTGTGTATAAGAAAAGTTGGATTTAATAACGAGACAAACACTTTTGAGATTTCTAATTTTTGTTTTAAATACTTTTTTTTGTTAATTCGCTTTTATTTGTCTTTGCAAGTCAACTGAAAGACTTAAGGTCAATAGCCAAAGTCTTTTCCTCCCACTAGGCCACTAGTATCGTCGGCCTTGCACTTTGTACACGTTTGCAAAAGTTTTTGATTGTTGGAACAAAGATTCTCTCTTCCTCCTTCTTCTGAGATGGGGTTTTACCATTATCGGTGGGTGATGATGATTCTTGTTGCCTTGGAGCTATGCTTCTTCTACGCATCATCACAATCTCAACAACAACTCACGTGCCATCCACGTGACCTGGCTGCCTTGCGTGACTTCATCCACGTCCTCAAGCCGAAGCCACATGGTTGGGTCTTTAATTCTTCTGCAGACTGCTGTCAATGGGTGGGAATCACATGTAACTCTTCTTCTTCGCTTCGCTTAAACGATCCAGACAACAACACTGCAAGAGTCACCAAGCTGGAGCTTGCGTACAGACAATTGTCCGGTACGTTGTCTGAATCTCTTGGGTTCCTGGATCAGATTAGAGTTCTTGATCTCTCCACAAATTCCATCTCAGGCTCAATCCCTCCGTCTGTTTTCAACCTGGTAAACCTAGAAACTCTAGATTTGAGCTATAACGGATTAACTGGCCAAATCCCTGAGATCTTGAATCTTCCTTCACTGATAAATCTCGATCTTTCCTCGAACTCGCTGACTGGTCCTTGCCGTCTGAATTGTGCTGTGATGACTAATTTGACCACGCTTCATCTTGGATCCAATTCGTTCAGTAGCTCTTTGCCTGAAAACCTACCGTATTGTAGAAATCTCAAGTGCGTTAACCTAGCCCGAAACCGCTTCGAGGGAAAAGTGCCAGAGAGCTACAAGGACTTCCATAGCTTGTCTGTTTTATCGCTTTCACATTGCAGCCTTGTTAACATTTCATCCACGCTTCGCATACTTGAGCACTGCAAGAACCTGACGGCTCTGTTTCTCACTTCCAGTTACCGCGGAGAAACGTTTCCTGAGGACCCAAGTCTTCATTTCGTGAAGCTCAAGGTACTCACTGTTGCAAATTGCGGGCTGACCGGTCCAATGCCAAGCTGGTTGAGCAAGAGCACCAACCTACAGGTGTTGGATCTCTCATGCAACTATTTAACCGGAGCTATCCCGGATTATACCGGTGGTTTCACCAGTCTTTATTACTTGGGTTTGTCGAGAAACTCCTTCACAGGAGTGATCCCTAAAAGCTTGAGCATGCTTCAGAGCCTCCCAAGCCGTGATGAAGATAGCTCTTTCGACGTGGCATTTGTGGTATTCCCGTTCTTGTTTAGAATGATTGACACCTCTGGTTTCATACCAACGATTGATCTTAGCTACAACAATCTCTATGGACCCATTTGGGAGGAGTTTGGGAATTTGAAGCAGCTCAATGTATTTGATCTGAGTGCCAACAGATTATCGGGAGCAATCCCTAGAACGCTTTCGAGAATGACAAGCCTAGAGGTTCTTGATCTTAGCTACAACAATCTCTATGGACCCATTTGGGAGGAGTTTGGGAATTTGAAGCAGCTCAATGTATTTGATCTGAGTGCCAACAGATTATCGGGAGCAATCCCTAGAACGCTTTCGAGAATGACAAGCCTAGAGGTTCTTGATCTGTCCAATAACAATATTTCTGGTTCAATCCCGGGATCTCTGCAGCTGCTAACATCCCTATCCAAGTTCAGTGTTGCTAACAATAGTCTCTCGGGGAGGATTCCTTCTGGTGGTCGGTTTATACACTTCTCAAGGTTGGACTTCGAGGGAAACCATTTCTGCGGTGGTGATTCCTTTCCTCAGTGTGATCTAGATACACCACAGGAACCAGAACAAGCAGAACAATCAAGAACCAGTGACAGTGACAGTGACTTAGTCTTGGATTTTTCATATGGACTGGCTCTTGGTTATGGTTTGGCTTTGGTTATTGCTGCTTACCTCACCTGCTCAGCTTTTGAGCTTCCCGCTAAATGATACACCTCTTTTTTTGGGACTTAATCTGCTTAATTAGAGTTCAGAATTACACGTAATCAGATACGCATGAGGATTCTACATTTTAAACTGGAAACTTTTGTTATGAAGATCGAAAATGTTTTGACTTTGGTTTATTGTATCATTATTTAGTCACAAAATATCCGGTGACTTGTGGTACACGTCAAGTATCTCCAACTTGTGATAACTTCTCTTTCTTTTGGTAATACAAGAAGCATCGATGCCTCATTTTATAGGTTTACTAGTGCTTTCCAGAGGAATAAGAAAAGTATCGTCCAATCTATCACATGGATTTCTCTTTTGCCTACCATATAAGTTTATTAGGTGCTTTCCAAAGTTTGATTTGAATATAATATTAACATGAAAACTAACAGAAACATTAAAGAAAGAAAGATAACATCAAGACCAACCGTTTTTATATAAAATTTCGTATAAAAAGTTTGTAAGACCGCAATCTCATCTCACTCTCTAGTTTGATCTCAAGTTTGAAACGCTCAATTAGTTTGATTGAAACTGCGTAAGAAATAAGTAATAAAACTTTATTTGTTCTAATTTTTTTCCAACCGTTTCTTATTAGTAGAATACTGATTGATGAACTTCATTGTTTCTTTACGTCTGTAAGTGATACAATATAGTCGACGATTTTCCTCAGAAATGATACTGAATGCTACGTTTTGCTTTTCTTTGTTATTTCTTAGGGATTCGCTCAAAGGTTCGGGACGATTTAATATTACTGCATGTAGTGTATTACTACTTTAATTGTTTGCGTTAATATTTTATTGGCTTCATAAACCATTTTTTCCATGTGGTTAATGCAAATCTAAGGTACCCTAAATCTAAACATCTAAACACGAAGTTATTCCCAATATCAAACGGTTCTACTTTAATTGACTTTCTTTTTCTTATAACATCGTAACTATTTGATATCTTAATACAAACTAGTAGAGTACCCGCACGTTTGTGCGGTGTGACATTGTGGTTTTGTGTAGAAAATTTAAACCCTAAATCTGAATTCGACCAGAAAACCCTAATCAAAAATATTGAAAACCCAAACTTTTTTAATATGTCTAAACCCAAAAATTCGAAATAAAAAAAAATCCGGAAAAGCCTGAACTGAACAAAAAAAATCTGGAAACTTTTTTCACTCGGAACCGACCCAAATACCCTAATCAAAATTTGAAAATACTCGAAATTTTAAACTTTTTTCACTCCAAACTTTTTCACCCGAAACCCGAACCCGACCTAAAAACCCTAATAAAAATTTTAAAATATCTAAACTTTTTTAATGTCTAAATCCAAAAACCTGAAATCTAAAAAATCTGGAAAACCCTGAACTGAACCCAAAAAAACTCAAACCCAAACTGAACATAAATTTTTTTAAAAAAAAACCGAACAGAAATCCACAATTTGATTTAAATCATATGTATTTCTATTTCACTACTGGAAATTTTGCAAATATCATTCGAATTTGGTATTATCGATAGATTATGTTAATTTTTCTTTTTTGCCAATTTTTTAAGAGCTGGAAAATGGACGTTTTCTAAACCATCGGTTTGTTTTAAGTTATTATTCTTGTATCCAAACAATTTTTTCCATTTATTCTTCTATCCAAATAGATTATTCTCTTATTCTTATATCCAAACAACTTTTTTTCCATTTATTCTTCTATCCAAATAGATGATTCTCTTATTCTTGTATCCAAACAATAAAATGTACTTTTCAATTAATAATATAATAAAAATATCTGATGGATATATATATATATATATATATATATATGAAGTGTTGTATACGTATCCTTCGTATCAGATTGTGGTATAGTATATTCCTAATTTTTTCAGTGTTTATTGTATAAGAAAAGTCGGATTTAATTATTCGGGGAAGAAAAGTCAGATCATCAACAAGCTACGAGACAAAGACTTTGAGCTTTCTAATCTTCTTTTAAATACTTTTCTATTCATTCGCTTTTACTTGTCTTAATTATAACTAAGTCAATGGAAAGACTTGAGGTCAATAGGCAAAGTTATTTTCTATTCTCCTACTAGTATCAGTCTATATATCACTCTCATACAGTCATACATGTGGATGTGTCCGTCTTGCACTCTTGCTCGGCCTTGCAAAAGTTTTCATTGTTGGAACAAAGATTCTCTCTCTCTTGTTTCTTCTGAGATGGGGTTTTACCATTATCGGTGGGTGATGATGATTCTTGTTGTCTTGGAGCTATGCTTCTTCTACGCATCATCACAATCTCAACATGACCTCACGTGCCATCCACGTGACATGGCTGCCTTGCGTGACTTCATCAACGTGGTCGAGCACAAGCCAGAGGGTTGGGCCTTAAATTCTTCTGCAGACTGCTGTAAATGGGTGGGAATCACATGTAACTCTTCTTCTTCGCTTCGCTTAAACGATCCAGACAACAACAACACTGCAAGAGTCACCAAACTGGAGCTTGCGAACAGACGCTTGTTCGGTTACGATAGGTTGTATGAATCTCTTGTGTTCCCGGATCAGATTAGAGTTCTTAATCTCTCCAATAATTCCATCTCAGGCTCAATCCCTCCGTCTGTTTTCTACCTGGTGAATCTAGAAACTCTAGATTTGAGCTCTAACGATTTAACTGGCCAAATCCCTGAGAGCTTGAATCTACCTTCACTGATAAATCTCGCTCTTTCCTCTAATATGCTGGATGGTTCGCTTCCTGCGCACGTTTGCCAAAACTCTACTGAGCTTAGGCTGATCAGACTCGACTCGAACGCATTTGACGGAGATTTTCCATCTGGGTTCGAGAAATGCGCTCTGCTCGAACAGCTCTTCCTTGGTGGGAACGAGCTCATTGGTAATATACCGGAGGATCTGTTTCAGCTTCAAAGGTTGAATCTTTTGGAGATCCAAGAGAACCGTCTCTCTGGCTCACTCAGTCCTGCACTTGGTAACCTCTCCCGCCTTGTTCATCTCGATGTCTCATTGAATAGTTTCTCCGGTGAAATCCCTGACGTGTTCAACAAATTGCTTCAGTTCAAGATTCTTCTGGCTCATGAAAACAATTTCACTGGAGGGATCACCAAGTCTTTGGCCAACTCACAGAGTTTGATCTTGCTTAACCTGCGGTACAATTTTCTGAGTGGTCCTATAAGTCTGAATTGTTCTGCAATGACTAACTTGACCTCACTTGATCTTAGATCCAATCAGTTCAATAGCTCTTTGCCTGAAAACCTACCGTCTTGCAGAAACTTGAGGAACGTTAATCTAGCCCGAAACCGCTTCCACGGGCATGTTCCAGAGAGCTTCAAGGACTTCCATAGCTTGTCTTCTTTGTCGCTTTCACATTGCAGCCTTGTTAACATTTCATCGACGCTTCACATACTTCAGAACTGCAAGAACCTGACGATTCTGATTCTCACTTCCAGTTTCCGCGGAGAAACGTTGCCTGATTACCCAAGTCTTCATTTCGAGAAGCTCAAGGTACTCATTGTTTCAAAATGCGGCCTTACTGGTCCAATGCCAAGATGGTTGAGCAAGAGCACCAGCCTACAGTTGTTGGATCTCTCATGGAACAATTTAACCGGAGCTATCCCGAATTGGACCGGTGGTTTCACCAATCTTTTCTACTTGGATTTGTCTAAAAACTCCTTCACAGGAGTGATCCCAAAAAGCTTGACCATGCTTCAGAGCCTCTCAAGCGGTGATATCTCATTCGACGAGACATTTCTGGTTTTCCCCTTCTTATTTAGATGGAACGAGTTTGCAAGACGTCTTCATTACGACCAGAGTTCCGAGTTCATACCAACGATTAATCTCAGCTACAACAATCTCTATGGACCCATTTGGGAAGAGTTTGGGAATTTGAAGAAGCTCCATGTATTTGACCTGAGTGCCAACAGATTATCGGGAGAAATCCCTAGCTCGCTATCAGAAATGGCAAGCCTAGAGGTTCTTGATCTGTCCTATAACCGCATTTCTGGCTCAATCCCGGAATCTCTGTTGAAACTAACATTCCTATGGAAGTTCGCTGTTGTTAACAATAACCTCTGGGGGAGGGTTCCTTATGGTGGTCGGTTTTTAACCTTCTCAGACGGGAACTTCGAGGGAAACCATTTATGCGGTGGTAATCACTTACCTCAATGTGAACCAGATACACCACAGGAACCAGAACAAACAGAACAATCAAGAACCAGTGACACTGACGACTTAGTCTTGGATTTTTCATATGGACTGGCTCTTGGCTATGGTTTGGCTTTGGTTATTGTTGCTTTCCTCACCTGTTGTTACACCTCTGGGAATTGATTTGCTTAATCAGAGTTTAGTTACATGTAAGCTCAATGGTGCGCATGACAAAAAAGTCAGAGCCTCTGTATTTAATATTGAGCTGAAATAAAATAAAATAAAGTAAGAGTATTGTTGCAAATTCCGAAATCAGATCCGTTGGATTCTCAACCCTATGATAAGCTTAGTCGCGGCTAATGTCTACATTACCGTCGGCAGCTTCTTCGCTGTCTGATTGAGATAGAATTGTACTTTTATCCCCACTTGGATATTATAGCTCTTGTTACAAAACTCACAATGCACATTGCACATAAAAACGTACCAGCAGTTCCAAAGACCTCAGAGATTTTACCGTTGACCCTGCAAACATGATCAAAAACCAAGAAACAAACACGACTCATCAATCACCAACAATTTAAGTAAAACATATATACATAAACAAAGATACATACACCCAATAAAAAAAAAAAAAAAAACAGAAGTAGAAGTTCTTATTTACTCTGACTCGCACATTCCTAATTAATTCATAACTAAAATAGAATCTTGAGTGTGTATAAGAAACCAAAAATAAAAGTTATTACCTTGGCAAAAAAACTCAAGGGCGTACCAATCTCAAGAACCTCCTCAGAGAAAACGTGTTCAACAATCTAAAGAGGAACAAAATAAAACACAAGATGCCGCTGTTGTTTCAGCCAAGGGAAAGAGAGGGAGAGAGCTAGAGAGAGTGGTGTTCTTGAGATTAACTATATAGAGAAAAGAAAAGATTGGTTTATTATACCTCGACTCCATTGAGACGAAACACCCTTTTGAAAAGTTGTCTCACAGGTTCATCAAACACATATCTCCTGCTTAAGAATCTATTATTATATGGATAAGATCCAGCTACTTTAACCCGACCAGTATCGTCTTCCTTGTTTATCCAAACAGATCAAGAAGATGTAAGCGAACAATTAATTAGGCAGGGTAAAATTCTCGGGCAGAGAGAGACATTAGATCATGAATGATGAATGTATCTAACCAGAAAACAAGGGACGGTCTTATGGCTTAGTTGAATCTCTTCTGACTCCTGTTTCCACTCACCAGCTACATGAAAAGAACGTTTTTGCCTTGGTCTAATATTCCCAAACTTATCTATCTTCTCGTCTTTGTCTTCTTCAATCTTTTTCTTATAAACAAGTCTTTCTTTTTTTTTTTTTTTGAACAACAAACAAGTCTTTCCTAAACACACATCTGTAATAGTATATGATTCTCTAAGGAAATATAATTTTTGTTTTTTCCAAAGATGACAGTAAAATCCAAACCTTTTCAGTGAGATAAACACTCCAAACGCCACTACGATTGCACTTGAAAGGTGCATCTGATCCAACTCTTCCAGATACCGCAACAAGGAGACTCGAAGTATTGTCACCAATCAGTTCCCCTACAATTGGGTAGTTGCTTGAGTTTCGAGTTACGAACAGAAGTATGAAATAAAAAAATATGAAAAACCCTAAACCCTACCCAACTGTTTAAGCTGCTTCACGGAGACAACACTGCTTAGGAGTTAGGATCTCAGCTTCCCTCTGACAGTCACAATTGATTCGGTAATTACAAAAATTCTTACAAAGTGATCAGACGAACGAATCAGAAAGTGACGCGAACATTTTATTGCCGTGGCTGGAAAAATCCGTTATAAGGGAAACACCAAAACAGCAAGCAGCAGCAGCAGTAGTAGTAGCAAGCATCTCCTCCATAATGAATTCAAAATCTTCGATCGCAATTGGACATACAAATAGAAGAAACAACGAGTCTTCAAAGTTTGAGGATTCGTGAAAAAGTTCCACATATCACGTTTACGAGGATACGAAATAAAATAAGAGACCTCCTTTTTGGAATGAAGAAACCGCAGATCGACGGTAGCCCTAAGTTCACACTTACGTAGACAAACGTGGAGCGAAGAAAATCTTCTGTTTAGTTTCTCTTCCGGTTAAACCCGATTGGCCCATGAATCTTGTTAATTACGGCACCGTTTTGTTTGCTTTAGAATCTCAACCTCTTTTATTTTAACACAACCTGGTGTATATCAGTATATGCATCGATCGCTTCAGAATTCTGTCATTAGAGTCATGTCATTAGTGTGAAGAGGAGAAATTCAAGTCTAGAATTTATTATCTATAATAAGATATGTAAGTAGTTTATGCGGATTGAAAATAGAGAATTACAGATTTCAAATAAACGAATCTTTACAGGAGAATTACAGGAGCTCTTCAACTGTTAATCTTTACGGCCCCAAGGCTTCATGTTACATTACATATCATTCCCAAAATGTTTGTGACGTCGTGTTTTGGTTTCGAGTCAAAGAAATGCAATCTTATTGGTGTAGGTGTAGCTGAAAGTTGTGCAGAAACTATATTATTAATTCATGCGGCTAAATCACTATTAACCACACCATTACACTTCTTGATCCATTAGATACATTTTAAAGTCTTTGTAACTATAGTCACTCTACCGTTTCTAACTATGCGAGGATAAAACATGAGAGCTAAAATTAAACCAGAGGTCATCAAAAGCTTAACCTCAAAAAGGCAAAACTGAAACTTAAAAAGCAGTAATATTTTTATTAGTAGCCTAACTCGTAAGGATCGATCTTTTACTCCTTGGCCTCTCGCAGCCAGAACACGGACATTAAAACCCAACCCGCAAATGTAAAAAACATGGAGAGATTCCCACTAGACCTGCCAAAACAAAAACAAATTGGCTAAGAAAACAATCACGACTCCTCACTTTTCGAGTAATATTTAAAGGGACATGAGATGGTTTCTTACTCTGACTTTGATTTCAGATCACTAATCATTTTGTTAAGTTCTACGCGTCCACTATAGACATTAAAGACCCTCTGGATCTTGGGAGCTCCATCTTCGTCTCTAACAGCCTGTAGAGAGACGTAACAAGAATTTCACATTCAACTAGCCAAGTGAAATCATCAAAAGATTGAAAAAAAAAAACAAAGAAACAAGAAACATTGGTTTGACTTACTCTACCATAAACAGTCAAATCCGTGCCAATTTCAAGAACTTGCCGACACTTAGAACCTTCAACATCAGGAATCTAAAAGAAAAAAACCACCAACACTATTGTTTAATCCCGATAGGGAAAAAAAAAAAGAAAGCCAAATGTTAAGATAAGGAATAAACAAGTAAGTACCTTGATTGTTTTATTATTAACAAGGCTTTCGAAGTATTGAACCACTATTTCAGTGGAGAAGTAGCTTTTCAAAACATCGTAAAATCCATCGGCAAATCGATAATCGGTTATATAAACTCGAGCAGTGCCATCATCCTAATGTTTCAAAACAGAAAGCAACAGTTTACTTAATAAGGAGCCTCTTCTTGTTGATATGAAAAAAAAAAAAAAAAATACAATCATATCTTATACCAAATACCAAGGAACCTCTTTACGGCTCACTAATGTTCTTTTCTGATCTGGTATTGGTTCACCAAATTGTATCATCCTCTTAAACTCAAGTACGGCCTGAAGAGAACATCAGGCATTATTCAAAAGAATTGTAAAATGAAAAACACAGAATCATTACCGTTTCCTCGACAAAAACACTTGAACGGCTATTCTCTACGGTTGAGGTTGATCCAACAGTTCCATGTACCACAACAGCGAGGGGATTTCTCCAAGTCTTTTCAAGACACTCCTCTGGAAAAAAAATTGCAAATTTTTTAGGTCAAACCAAAACAAAATGCAAACAAAAAAAACGAATTTTAAAAAAACCTACCTAATCCTTTTAGTTCCGGGATGTGGGTAGCTCTCTCTAGAAGAATAGCGTCCCTGAAAAACGGAAGAAGAAAATCAAAAGTGTGTGTGTTTTCAAGCAGAGCGGAAAAGGAAGCTTATAACGAACAGTTGGTTTCTCTGGCTGGAACGGCTTAACAGGCAGCCGATGCCTACACATACACAACCAGCAACTACAGTCATCATCTTCGACTGCAAAATAATAACAAAAAGAAAGCGAGTAAGGGTTTCTTATTTTTTGTTCTTTCAAATAGAACCAATAAATTAGACTCGAATTTGTAACAACCACACACTCGAGTAAGTAAATAGTCGTCGATTTCCTCACCAATGAAACTGAATTCTATGTTCTGCTCTTCTTCTTAGGGATTCGCTCAAAGGTAGGGGACGACTTAATATTTTATATTAGTATTTCTTTTCATGCGACTTAATATTTGTGTTAATATTTTATTGGCTTCATAAACCATTTTTTCATGCGGCTAATGTAGATTTAATGCAAAATTTGCAAATCTTATCATCTAAACAAAAAGTTAATCCCATCAAAATCGCATTACCTTAGACATTGTTTGTGGAGTTCCAAAATTCAAAAGTTGCAATGAGATAATGTGCGGACCATGCAATCAAGGAAACAAGTCAAGGTGCAACACAAGAAAGTATCACATGTACAATCCAAAGTTGCTCCTGATCTGCTACATATAGATCTCATGGGACCAATGTAAGTTGACATACAATTACACGTAAACGCATGACGATTCTACATGTTAGCGTGAACGACCAACTGGATTCTTAGACTGGAAACTTTTGTTATGAAGATCGAAAATGCTTTGACTTTGATTTATTGTAGCATTCTTTTGGTCACAAAATATCCGCTGACTTGTGGTACACGTCAAGTATCTCCAACTGTGATAACTTCTCTTTCTTTTGGTGATACAAGAAGCATCGATGCCTCATTTTATAGGTTTATTAGGTGCTTTCCAGAGTTTGATTTGAATATAATGTTAACATGAAAACTAACAGAAACATTAAACAAAGAAAGATAACTTCAAGACCAACCGTTTTCATATAAAATTTCGTATAAAAAGTTTGAAAGACCGCAATCTCATCTCACTCTAGTTTGATCTTAAGTTTGAAACGATCAATTAGTTTGATTGAAATTGCGTAGGAAAAAAATAAGTAATAAATACTTTTCTGTTCATTCGCTTTGATTTGTCTTAATAATAAGTCAATGGAAAGACTTGAGGTCGGTCAATAGCCAAAAATATTTTCTATTCTCCTATATATTACTCTCATGCATGCATACAGTCATACATGTGTCCGTCTTGCACTCTTTCTCGCCCTTGCAAAAGTTTTGATTGTTGGAACAAAGATTCTCTCTCTTGTTTCTTCTGAGATGGGGTTTTACCATTATCGGTGGGTGATGATGATTCTTGTTGCCTTGGAGCTATGCTTCTTCTACTCATCACAATCTCAACATGACCTTACGTGCCATCCACGTGACCTGGCTGCCTTGCGTGACTTCATCAACGTCCTCGAGCCGAAGCCAGATGGTTGGGCCTTGAATTCTTCTGCAGACTGCTGTGAATGGGTGGGAATCTCATGCAACTCTTCTTATTCGCTTGGCTTAAACGATCAAGACAACAACACTGCAAGAGTCACCAAGCTGGAGCTTGCGTACAGACAATTGTCCGGTACGTTGTCTGAATCTCTTGGTACCCTGGATCAGATTAGAGTTCTTAATCTCTCCAGAAATCCCATCTTAGGCTCAATCCCTCCGTCTGTTTTCAACCTGGTAAACCTAGAAACTCTAGATCTGCGCTATACCGAATTAACTGGCAAAATCCCTGAGAGCTTGAATCTTCCTTCACTGGTAAATCTCGATCTTTCCTCTAATTTGCTGGATGGTTCGCTTCCTTCGCACGTTTGCCAAAACTCTACCAAGCTTAAGCTGATCAGACTCGACTGGAAGGGATTTTCCGGAGATTTTCCATCTGGGTTCGAGAAATGCGCTCTGCTCGAACAGCTCTTCCTTGGACGGAACAAGCTCACTTGTAAGATCCCGGAGGATGTGTTTCAGCTTCAAAGGTTGAAACTTTTGGAGATAAACGATCTCTCTGGCTCACTCAGTCCTGCACTTGGTAACCTCTCTCGCCTTGTTCATCTTGATGTCTCTTGCAATAATTTCTCCGGTGAAATCCCTGACGTGTTCAACAAATTGCCGGAGATAGAGTATCTCATGGCCGAGTCTAATAGATTCACTGGAGGTTTCCCCAAGTCGTTGGCGAATTCACGGACTTTGATCTTGCTTAACCTGAAAAACAACTCGCTGAGTGGTCCTTTGCATCTGAATTGTACTATGATGACTAACTTGACCTCTCTTGATCTTGAATCCAATCAGTTAAATAGCTCTTTGCCTGAGAGTCTATCGTATTGCAGAAATCTGAAGTACGTTAGTCTAGCGCGAAACCACTTCGACGGGGAACTGCCAGAGAGCTACAAGAACCTCCATAACTTGGAATTTCTATCGCTTTTAGATAGCAGCCTTGTTAACATTTCATCGACGCTTCACACACTTCAGCACTGCAAGAACCTGACAACTCTAATTCTCACTTCCAATTTCGCCGATGAAATGTTGCCTGATGACCCGAATCTTCATTTTGAGAAGCTCAAGGTATTTGTTGTACAAAATTCTAGGCTTACTGGTTCAATGCCAAGCTGGTTGAGCAAAAGCACGGATCTAGAGGTGTTGGACCTCTCATGGAACAGTTTAACTGGATCTATCCCGAATTGGATCGGTGGTTTCGCAAATCTTTTCTACTTGGATTTGTCGAGGAACTCCTTCACAGGGGAAATCCCTAAAGGCTTGACTAGGCTTCAGAGCCTCTCAAGCCGTGATAACTCACTCCAGTGGTGTTACCCATTCATGTTAAGAAGGAACGATTTTGTAAGAAATCTTGGGTTTGACTTCAGACCAACGCTTGATCTCAGCTACAACAATCTCTATGGACCCATTTGGGAGGAGTTTGGGAATTTGAAGAAGCTCCTTGTATTTTCTCTGTGTGGCAACAGATTATCGGGATCAATCCCTAGCACGATTTCGGAAATGACAAGTTTATGGGCTCTTGATCTGTCATACAACCGTATTTCTGGTTCCATCCCGGAATCTCTGGAGAAACTAACATCCTTATCCAAGTTCGTTGTTGCTAACAATAACCTCTCGGGCAGGATTCCTTCTGGTGGTCGGTTTATACTCTTTTCAAGGTTGGACTTCGAGGGAAACCATTTCTGCGGTGGTGATTACTTTCCTCAATGTGAACTAGATACACCACATGAAGCAGAACAATCAAGAACCAGTGACAGTGACTTTGTCTTGGATTTTTCATATGGAGTGGCTCTTGGGTATAGTTTGGCTTTGGTTATTGCTGCTTATCTCACCTGCTCAGCTTTTGAGCTTCCCGCTAAATGATATTTTGGGAACGAATTGCCTAATCAGAGTTTAGTTACATGTAAGCTCTACTGTACGCACGACAAAAAGATCAGAACCTCTGTATTTAATATTGAAATAAAATAAATTAAAATAAATTAAGAGATTCTATTGGCAACTTGTCTGATTAAGCAGTCTTTAATTGAGATAGAATTGTACTTCTATCCCCACTTGGATATTATAGCTCTTGTTACAAAACTCACAACGCACATTGCACATAAAAACGTACCAGCATTTCCAAAGACCTCAGAGATTTTACGGTTGATGGTTATTAGCCCTTCTAGCCGTTTTCCACTTCTACCACATGCTCTCTTTTGCCTATGATTAAGACCAAAAAACACTTTTAACTTAATTTAATAAAAAACACTAACTGTTTTTATATAAAATTACATATAAAAGGTTTGAAAGACCGCAATCTCATCTCACTTAAGTTTGATCTCAAGTGCCTCAATTAGTTTGATTGAAATTGCGTAGGAAAAAAAATTATTAATAAAACTTTCTTTATTCTAGATTTTTTCCAACCGTTTTACTAGTAGAAAATTGATTGATGAACATCATTGTTTGTCTAGAGTTCATTGGAATCAGTTTAAAATACTTCAAAGTAAAAATATACAGTTATATATAAACGTACTTATTTTAATAAATACTTGATTTAATCCATTTTTAACTCGTTATGGAAGATCTGCATAGTTTTGGTTCTAAAAGTAAGTTAATTACAGTAAAACTGGCAAAAAATCACTGAATTAGTACTTCAGTCTGCCTCAAACAGAGAAAACATATAAACATTGACCAAAAAGGAAAAATAGAAAACGACTTTTACACAGTATTTCTCGAGAGTCTACAAAAAAAATGAAAGAGAGTAACACAACTAACAATAGTATGTTAAATAATTTTAATACGAAAATAAATACGTGTCAAAACAAAAAAATGTTTGTCGCTATTATCTGAACCCTTAAAAAAATCCAGAATTGGATCAACAAGTAATTAATTACATGACAGACAATTGGTCATTTCCGTGCATACAGAAATTCTCCTTTGTATCTCTTGCATCATCCGGTAATCGGTATGAACATCAATGGCAGTACCCCCAAATTTTGATCCTATTTTGGCAATGGCAACAACACCCTTTGCCTAGACGTTAGCCAGAGGGTAAAAGCCAATCTTATAAATTACTAACGTCGATTTCTTGGCCGTCTAGATTTACCATTATCTGATCTGTTACCTAAGTCTCGTTTCTCCGACTCGGATAAAACCCTTCTTATAAAATCCACACCGTACATGATGGCTACAGCCACAGCAATTGTTCCGAAGATCTTGGAGTAGAAAATATAAGTCCTGCAAAATAACACAAGATTATTTCAACAAATATATGAGTCATCCCCTCCCAAGTAATGTATAACAGAAACATGAGTCTGTCCTTACTCTGAATCTGACATCATTCCGTCAACCATTTTATCAAAGGAGCCCTCTCCAGTGAAGACCATAAAAGGCTGTTTTTTGGGTTCTTGAATCATGAGATGACCAGCTTTGTCTCTAACAGCCTACAGTACAGAGAGGGACGAAATCATAGGTAACTTAAACGCCACGCTTACAGGGTAATGAAGAAGAACAAAAAAAAATATTTGGACTTCCCTTACCTCACCAACAAAAGTCAAGGTTGTACCAATAGCAAGAGCACGCTCATGGCAACTATGTTGAAGCACCTAAGGAAAAACATCACATTGTTGTTTTAACCCAATGGAAGCGGTGTTTTAGGGGACAAACAGGGAAAAAGGAAACAATGAAGGAACAAAGAACCTTGAAGCCTTCGGGTTTAACAAGCTTGTCCAAGAGTTCACTGACTGGCATATTAAGTGCATACTCATTCAGAGTAGCATCAAATCCAATAGCAGATTGAGCTCCCACAATATTCACCCGACCTGTGCTGTCTTCCTAATTGCGAGAGAAAAATAACCAACTAAGGCGACAGGCTTATAACTTAAACAGCAAAGCACAAGTATGAATGTATCTTACCAGATACCAAGGTGTCTCCCTTTGTTGTAGCAGAAAGTTTAGAGACTTCTTTATCATACTGCCATCTCCCAACTCGATCTCAAAATCCACGTTGCCCTGAAGTATATATGTGTTATGAACACCACCAGAGATTTAAGCAGTACACATGCGGCAAACTTCAGAAAATCAATCTAACCTTTTCCTCTAAAAGAACACTCAATAGGCCGTTATGCTTGCACTCTAAGGGCGCTGCAGAACCAACTCTTCCAGATACCACAACAAGGAGATTCGTGGTCTTTTCTTTAAGCAAATCATCTGAAAGAAAAGAAAAAGAAGTGGATCATTTGATCCAAAACCAGTAGAGATGAAAAATAACCAGATTTTTAAATTATTACACAAAAACACACCTAGCCATTTTAACTCGATCACACGGGTAATACTGTTGAAAAAGTCAGCTTTCCTGCATTATTGCAAAAGTAAATTAATTGATTGATAAATTGTTTTTCAAACACTCCATAATCAATATCCAAGGATTGGAAGAGACTGACTTTTTAATTCTACGGCCCAAGAGATAATATGCTGTGGCACCGCATGACAAATAAACAGCAAGGTTAAGCATCTGCAAAAAATCAAACACGATTGCATCAAACGATATAATCCCTCCACAACTGACCATCGAAGTTAGATCCTATACAAGATTGCATCACCATAACGTACACCAAACCCTTACACACACTAATCGAATATATGAAAACTCGTCAACATATAATCAAAAGCCCAAAGAACTTGCGAAATTTACCAGTTCAGAAAACCCTATACCGAAAACCCTAAACTCGTCAACATCTAATCAGAAAACCCACTATTAAATTGTTTGAATGGTTTCTTGTTGCCAGCAAGTCAGCAGCCTTGTTTCCTTCTCTTGGCACCCAAGTAAATGATATTTCTTCAAATTTAGCCATCCAACTCCATACCTCTCTCTATATTTCGTCAAGCTAATAAAAGAATTTTAGAAAAAGAAAAAAAAAACGATGTATTAAATTGTTATGGTTTGTGACTTATACACTGTAATTTCTTTTAATGGTTTACTTTTTAATTTTTTATAGGTAAAAAAAGATATACTCCATATAATTAAATTAACTTGTTGCCAAAAAAAAAATTAAAGTTAACTTATCGTAGTTTTTTAACTCCATATACTTTCCTCGGAAACACAATTAATGTACTTTCATCTCAACTAGGCTTTTGTACTTTTGTCAGGTCAAGAGGGGATCTATTCGCGGAGATGTTGTCTGTATTTGCTTTTCTGTGTTTGGGCAGTGCTGCCGTAATCTACTTCGGCGGCTACGAAATTAAACGGTTCGTCGCTTCCGACTCGTGAGATCTTTGTCAGCTTAAAAAAAAGTTTCTGAGACGATCCTTCTTCTCTATGTCGGTGCAGAAAGGCTGAGTATCTTAAGAGTGCCACCCGCGTGAACGATTTGAGAGGGCTGAGTATGTCTTCCGTTCTATTGTCTAAAGTTGAATTCTATTATAATCTCTTATCAGTATGGTTTGGTTTCGAATCGATGATCCATTATTTTCCAGGTGAATTGCTCGAAAATAAGACCCGTCCCCTGGTTGTTGCGATCTCCGGAAGAGTTGGCTCTAATGCGCCCTTTAAATGTGAACATAGTGGCATTGAGGCTGTTTTTCTAGAGGAAAAGGTTAGATTAATTTTTTTTTGTGAATTTTGGGCATCATGTGAGAGAGACCTTAAACTCTGCTGGGAACATAATACATTTCAGGCCAAAGTTCTTTTTGGGACGAGGAGTATACATGGTGGTTTGTTGCGCAATTTTGCAGAGCGTCTTGTAAAACCTAAGGAGGTTCCGTGGTTTCTGGTACATATATGTGGATGTCTCGCACTGCTCACAAACTTAAGCCTGCCTCCTTAACCGGTTATCTCTCTCTGACAATAGGAAGACGGCACCGGCCTGATAAATGTAGTGGGAGCCCAATATGCCAAGGGATTTTATGATAATCTAAAAGAGTTTATGTTGGATGAGCCACCGAGTGAACTCATCAAAAAGTTGGCTAAACCTGAGGGCTACGTCAAGGTCCCTCATTCCTTCCTTGTCTTTTGCGTTTTCTATATTTGTCTCAATCTGAAACAACGGGACAATATATCTTTTCTGTAGATTCTTGAACAAACCTGCCTGGAACGTGTTCTTGAGCTTGGTAAGCCCTTGACTATTGTTGGTGAGGTAAATCAAAATCCATCTTCCTTTTTTTTTCTGGATTCTTCTTTGCTATTTTGTCATGATTCACTAGTAAGTTTCACTTTCGATGTTCCTCTCTGTATTTTGTAGGCTGTCAAATACAGCAATGGGTCTCTTGTGATCAAGAGACCCACGGATGGATCTTTTACGTTCTTTGATGATCTTAGTTCTGTTGATAAAATGATTTCCCTTTTGGAATCACATTCACGGTCAGAAAACTCTTGTTTCTCTAGTAACGTGTTATGTATGTTACTTGTGAGTTTGGATTTGGTTACACATTTTGTATTCTTTTGCAGTGCTCTGGTGTTTTTCTCCATAGGCTTAACAGCTGTTGGTACACTTGCGTATTGCTCGTACGTGACGCCTTCAATAAAAAAGCCTTGGTTTCTAATCAAATCACGCACCGCAGCCGGCGAGAAAGCAGAATCGAAGACCAAGCACAGCTCGACGGGCAAGGATCAAGGTTCAGAGCCATTAAGCTTATAGGCTCTACTGTACCTGTATGATCTTAACTTCATGACAAATAAGTTTGCTTTACTTTGTATCATGTGTATTTTATCAAATCTAACAATATCTATCAAATTTGTTCTCAATATTATATATCTTATCATATAATTTATTTATTTGCGATCAAATTCAGTTCTAGGCTTTTAACACGACAAGTGTTTGTTATGAACATCTCTGTTTATAAGAGCTCATTCGACTAAACAGAGCACTGCTGCATTCATTTAACTGGTTTGGTTCATGTCTTGTTCCATTCTTTTAGCGGTCTGAGTGTCCTGTAGTTCACCCATTTCACCAATTTCAAAACTGTAACTCATTTGTGTAGTCCAAGAATTATCTTGGGTCAATGATGATTGGTGTCTTCTTGAGGTTGAACTTGATTCCTTTTTGGGGTTTTGACCAGTCTTGTGAGCCAAGAGTCCTCTGTGAGACTGTAACCTCTCAGTTTCTAATCTCTGATCCTTGATGATTGATTTTTTCCTTTTCGCTGGAATCTCATTCCGCTAAGACGTTTCAGTATCTGAACTAGTTGTCGCTACTCTTTGGTTGGTCTGGTTGGGATTTGAGTAACTTAGTTTCAAGCAAGAAGATTATCGTGACCTCTTACATATCGCCGTGATACTATTATAACTATAACAGAGCACTAGTGCACTCATTACTCTATAGGCTTAAAGATGAGTTGATGAGACCTCCATGTTACCTTATCTGAAATCTTACATAACCAACTTACAATAGCTTCTTTTTTAGTAGACAATTGTCCAGCAATACTCTGTTGATAAGAAAAACTTTTGTAAGTTATTCAAATAAATATATGATAGTGAAACAGAAATTTTACCATTGTAGGGTTATGATATCTAGCAGAAACTCCAACATTCCTCATATCCTCATTGGGCAGATCCCTCCAAAAATCCCTCAAATTTCAGCTCCACAAATGCACATCCCAGGAAACTTTACCATGCAGAGATAGATTGGGTGTCACCTTTTGTAAAGCAAATTAAAAGTTCAGTGAACAAAAGAACTTATAAGACAGAGCAGAACTGGGTTGTGTGGTCTGCTCTCTACGGAAATGTAAAACTGACTGCTAAGCCAAATCATAAAAAAGATGCATATCATATATAGATTCAAAAAAATTACTAACCTCGTAATCAGCCGTAAACATGTCTTACAATATTTGGTCAGTAATCTAGTACAGAGACAAACACAATGAGTGAATTTTATGATGCTACATCAGAGAGTAAATACTATATACTTGCAACACTTTTACCTGAACAATACTCTTCATGGTCCACCTCTTGGCGAAATTGTACTTAATTCTTGCAGTTAGTGTACCATCCAGCATGAAGTATCCAATAAGCATCAATTGTTCCAAGTTTGTCAGTATTGAATCAAATAACAGAAACATCTTTAAAACAGATTAAAAAAAACTCATAGCCACCATTTGGAAATTCGCGAGTTGTAGGTGACAAAGGACGAGGACGAATCACCTCTGGTTTCGTCCAAAAGCTGCTTACAAGATACACAAGCTTGGTAAAGAACACAAATCAGAAAGATCACTGATAATTATTAGTAAGATCATACTAACCTAAACCGATGATTGACACCAAAACCCTGCTTCAGTTTCTTATCTTTGAACATTGCAAATGCAAATCAAATCATCAAGAAAATCCACTCAAATCACAATTGCGATCAACCATAAACAACAAAAGCTCAGTTAGATATAAAAGGAAGATGCTTAACTGTAAGCGTCACAATGGATTCCCTCATATGGAATATGGAACTGGAGGTTCTGGTATTCCAATTTTTCCTCAGCCATAGCTGCTACGCATCAACTTCCTCTTTTGATAATGAATCCTTTTCTCTCTTACAATTTCTGTCCAACTTCTTATAAAAGCCTGCAGAATTGTTGGAGAAAATATGAGAACTGATTCCAGGTTTTCCGAACAAATATTGTACTTTCTACCATCTTCTATGATCATTCTAATATGAACACCTTTCAATTCGTCGATCAACTATGCTAAATTAGGAAACAGATCATACATTTCCCCATAAACTAAAGCCCTCTGTGCTAAGTGATCCCCGAAATCTATCGCATTCTTACGAACCCTACCCGATTAAGATCCAAAACTAAATGGTGGAACGTGGACATATAAACCGAGATAATAAAATAAAGCCAAGAAGTCTTTCTTTCTCTTGACCTGTGGCACAATATGCAAGAGAGCAATAATCTTTGGTATAAAAATTACTTCCCATGTGATTTCTGATGATTCTACATGTTAGCGCGAACGGGCAACTGGATTCTTAGACAGAAATGGGAAACTTTTGTCATGAAGATCGAAAATGTTTTAACTTTAGGTTTTATTTTATCATTCTTTTGGTCACAAAATATCCGGTGACTTGTGGTACACGTCAAGTATCTCCAACTGTGACAACTTCTTTTAATTTTGGTGACTGAAGCATCGATGCCTCATTTTATATTCTTAGATTACATACTTAGCCGCATATTCTAACCTTCAAAGGAAAAGGAAAGGTATCGTCCAAGATATCACATGGATTTCTCTTTTGCCTACCAAATAAGTTTAGAGCTCATAAGTTTATTAGTATTTTATAAAAAAAAAAAAAAGTTTATTAGTGCTATCTGGAGTTGGATTTTAATATTAACATGAAAACTAACAGAAACATCAATCAAAGAAAAATAACACCAATACCCAAAAGCATCTAACTTAATCTGATAAAAAAAACAACAACAGGTTTTATATAAAACTAGATTAAGACCCGCGTATACGCGGGTTTATTTTAAGATTTTGTAATAAAATCATGGAAAAGTATTAAACCAAATTTGATCATTTTAAAGTAAACAGAATAATATTAAAAACCCGATAAAAATATTTAAATAAAATAAGATCGGTAACCTTTTTACGTTTTTATTGTAATTGATATTTTTTTTGAATTCATGATATAAAAAATGAATTAATTTGTTTTATTTTTATTTTTATCCAATATAGAAAGACTTATATATGTCTAAATATGATCAACTGATTAATTAATTCAACAAAACTTTATTATTCCATTCAAGAGATTTCAATTGATGAAATCTTTATTTAATAATTTTTTACCTAACAATATTGAAAATATATTAAACTATTTAAAATTAGAATATCGGTTCATTATATTTTCTTAATATTAGTTAGTTGCTTGATAATTAATTTGTTAGTTTTCTATTTATATTGTTTCTTTCTCAATTTTGTTTTTGACTCAGACCATTATAAATTTTCATTTTCATTATTAGTTAGTTTTTTTTATTATCATTATTTTATTACACATATCGCAATTTTGTGAGTTATAAAAATCATACGTATTGCTATCATGTTGTTTGCTTTGATGAGTTTGTGAATGAGAAAAAAAAGACTACTTTAACTCTCTTTTTATAGGGGTTCATGTAACTTATTCCATGCAGTTATAGGAAATTTAGTTTACCTAACCTATTTCATGTACTAATAGGATTTTATTTATTTCATTAATTTGAATCTTATATGTGTTTGGATAATATAAATTTGATGAATGAGAAACCTTTTTCTATTAGGATATGACAAATATAATTTTTTTTTCTTTTAACTATAAAAGATTAACTAAACCTAACCTATTTCATGTACTAATAGGATTTTATTTATTTCATTAATTTGAATCTTATATGTGTTTGGATAATATAAATTTGATGAATGAGAAACCTTTTTCTATTAGGATATGACAAATATAATTTTTTTTTCTTTTAACTATAAAAGATTAAAATTTCTTTTTTTTTCCTTTATCTAATTTTTTTAATTATTATTTTTTTTTTTTTTCTAAGACACATGTCACGATCTTAACGGACATAACATTAAAAGTGACACATGTCGCAATCCTAAATTTTATAAAAATCCTACGTGTCGCAACCACGTCGTGCGCATCCAGCTTTATATAGTAAGATTTCATATAAAAAGTTTGAAAAATCGCAATCTCATCTCACTCAAGTTTGATCTCAAATGTGAAACACTCAATTAGTTTGATTGAAATTTCGTAATAGAAAAAAATCAATAAAACTTTTTCCAACCGTTTTTTTATTAGTAGAAAGTTTTTTTGTTTTTTTTGGTTTTAATTATTAGTAGAAAGTTGATTGATGAACTTCATTGTTTCCTTATAATCCATTGTAATTAGTTTAAAATACTTCAAAGTAAAACTATACAGTTATATACGAGTATTTTTTTTTTGAACAACGATTATACAGTTATATATACGTACTTATTTTAATAAATACTTGACTTAATCCATTTTTGAAAAACTCGTGGATTATATTTATATTTTATTATTTAAAGTAAGTTGATTACAGTAAAAGTGGCAGAAAATTACTGAACTAGTACTTCAGTCTGCCTCAACAGAGAAAACATGATATACATTGACCCAAAAAGGAAAAATAGAAAACGACTTTTATACAGTATTCATCGAGGAGTGAGTTACATCTATAGGCACTTTTGTCTTTTTTTTTACATTTATAGGCACTTTCTACTCCTAAGGGACTTTGGGGCATTGTAAAAACTAAACACTCATTTCTTTTTTTCTTTAATTACAACTTTGTCTTTTACTTTACTCTTTATTTCTTATTTTTACCTTTCACTGGAAATCAACAACTCCGCCTCACACTCTGTCGTTCATCATCGCCGCTGTTTCTTTTTCCGTCCTTATTCTAGATTTCGCCTCTCATTCCATCGTCGAGTTCTGTATTGATAATCGATTTGAAAGATTTCACCGTCGAATTCGTGGAATAAATTCTTCTGGCTCTTGGATCTGAGAAATTTTCAGTCTCGATCAGAGTTTGGAGAAGATGAATCTGGATTAACTCGCAATCATGTCCACATCTATATGTCCACATATAATCGCAATCGTGGACAGAATAACATATACATATTTAGTGATGCGCTCATCTGGACGTCTTTGTTTGGTTAATTAAATTTTGATAATTTATATAAGATGTATATGTGGACATGTTTACGTGTACATGATCTGTGAACACAAAGATAATTAACAATTGAATGAGTGTTTGTTGAGTTGTTTATCAACTAAACTGTTTCATAGAACTGTATCCATATGCTTGTGTCCATACTTCATATCCATATGGATATATAGTTAAACATGACGCATTTGTGCATTCAATAAAACATATATGTTGATGAAAGAAGATTGTGTCCATAATTTGTTGTTCTTGATTGTATCCATAATTTTATGTCCATATGAGGTATAAGAAATTCGCTAGAAAGACCAAGATAATGAGAGAGGTAAATATGTATATGTTATCTTGTCCACGAATTCATATCCACAATATCATGTATGTTGAATTTTGGATAGACTGAGAACCAATCTCGGAACCATGTTTACACATTGATATGAACATTGGTATTATATATCCATCTGAATACGAAGTATGGACACAAGTATATGGATGCAGTTATATGGAATAGTCTAGGCGATAAACAATAACTCAACAAACACTGACTCAGTTGTTAATTATCTTTGTGTTCACAAAATCTTGTACACGGAAACATGTCCTCCCACACATCTCATTCAAACTCTAAAAATTTAATTATCAAAATAAACTTGAGATGGGTGCATCACGACGTGTACACGATTGCATGGACATGTACATGTGGACATGATCGCGAGTTAACCCAGATTCATCTTCTCCAAACTTCAACGAAACTGAATATTTTCCAGATCCAATTGCCAGCAGAAAAATTTCCGACGAAATCTTCCAAATCGATTATCGGTACATAATTGGACAATGAAATCTCGTAATTTACTTTACTTCAATTGTATAAAGAGAAATCTCTCCCAGATTCACAATTATTCTTCCGTTCAGTTCGTCGTCGGCGGCACAAAACACAAAGTTACTGCAGCGACCGTAGTAAAAAATATCAATCGTAAAAGGAAGAATGAAGCAAATTTTAAAGGAAGGGTATGTTGGAATTTTCGCTATCAGTTTTGGGGGCAAAGTCACTCTATAATCGAAAGTGTCTTGGAGTGATATTATAAAGTGCCAAAGTGCCTTCTATTGTAATTCTCTCTTCATCGAGAGTCTACAAGATACTGTATGAAAGAGAGAAACAAAAGAATCTTAAATAATTTTAATACTATGAAAATAAATACGTGTCAAAAACAAAATAAAATAAAACAATAAATAAATGTTTGTCGCTATTATCTGATCCATGCTTCCCAGCCTCAAATTGTCTTTTGTCTCCTTTCCTTTTCGTTTTTAGGGTTTTTTTAGCTTCTGCTCTCAAATTCTCTTTCTTTCTCAAATTTCCCAAATAAATTCCTCTGAAAGATTGATTATAGATTTTAGCTCCCCAGATACGAAACCCAAGTAACCAATTTTTATCTGAAAGGAAAAAGAAAAGGCCGATCTTTGGCTTTTTTTTTTGCTTCTCTTGCTGCATCTCGTTACTTAGACGCATTCTCCCCGGAATTCGATTCCCGGAATAGCCATCACCGCCGGCGTTTCTGAGGGTTAATTCATTCATTCTCCGGCGTGATTCGTCTGTGAAGTCTTCGGTTGAAGCAGATGGAGGGAATTCAGAATCCTATAGCTCGCACTGTCGAAGAGGTGTTTAGCGACTTCAGGGGTCGAAGAGCTGGTCTCATCAAGGCTCTCTCTACAGGTAAGCTCGATCTCTCTCTCTAGAATCTTTGTTTCTTTTGTTCGAATCTCAAGCTAATTTTTTTCTTTCTCAGATAATAGATTTGCGAGTTTCTATATCTATGCTCGTTTGTTCAATTGGGTTTTCTTCATTTCCTGAGAAAAACCAACAATTTTGGCTTCTTCCTGTTATTGATTTTTCTTTTACTGGGATTTGACGATTCTGGGTTTATTCATGTTTTGCTCTGTTTTTTTTCTTTCTTGCAGATGTACAGAAGTTTTACCATCAGTGTGACCCTGGTGAGTTATTACGTCACCATCTTGTCTAACTTTGTAGCGCATTGATTCTTCTCTGGTTGATCTCTACTTGAAGATTCTATGTATTCAGTGCAAGAATCCCGTTCGGGTCTCAATTAGGGAAGAGTTTGTAATGTGAAATGCAATTTTTTTGGCTTCAGTGATCTTTGATCTTTTGTTTGTCTGAGTTTATAATGGTCTGAGTTTGTTCATTGATCTTTTGTTTCCATGTTTTAGATGTTTCCGTTACTATTGGATTACTGTGATTATCATTTCCTGATTAGACCTTGATTTTTGTTCCCTCTGGCTCTAGTTTCATCATTGATTATCTTCATCCTCAGAGTTGTTGCTTCTCTGAATGTTTTTTGTTTTGGTTTCCTGAGTTTTGAACAGATTGGAGACTGTTAAGTGTTTCTGAGTTTCTACATGTTTGCTACTAAGATGAAGTTAGTTCTCTGTGTAGTTAAGCTTAGAGATTTCGTTTTCTTACTTGTATGCAGAGAAGGAGAACTTGTGCCTCTATGGACTTCCAAATGAGACATGGGAGGTTAATCTTCCAGTCGAGGAGGTCCCTCCGGAGCTTCCTGAACCGGCTTTAGGCATCAACTTTGCAAGGGACGGGATGGTTGAGAAAGACTGGATCTCTTTGGTTGCAGTTCACAGTGATTCATGGCTCATCTCTGTCGCATTCTACTTTGGTGCACGTTTCGGGTTTGGTAAAAACGAGAGGTAAGATCCCTTCTCTGCTCGCTGTTCTATGTTCTGGTACACATGTTTGTTAAAGCTGCATTGACCATTATGGTAGCTGAAATGTTCTGGCATAGTATCATTGGCATAATTGTTTGTTGGTGTGATAGTAACAATCTCTGTAACACTCTCTCGTCTTTGTGAAAGAATCTCTAAAGAAGTGATCGTCATTTACTATCTCTAACCCACAAGTTGTGAATAACACCTAGCTGAATCAGTTGCATTGAGATATATATATTAAATTCAAAGTTCATGTGGAAATATCTAGTGTTCCTCTTAGATTTGAGTTTGTTGTATAGTTAAAGAGCAGTGTTTGTTTTCTGATATTGTACAGTTAAACAGTTTGTAGTTGTCTTGCCTCTGAGCTTGTTAAATTTGTCTCAGGAAGAGGCTGTTCCAGATGATAAATGACCTCCCAACCTTATTTTCAAAATGCCTATGTCTAAATTATTTATTTGTGGTAAAATGTGAGACTAATTTTTGAGATTTTATAATTTATATATTTGGATTTGGGTAAATATTTGGATTTAGGAGTTTAGTTTTTAGGGTTTAAGAGTTTAGTTTCTAGGGTTTCATCTCAAAATAAATACTTATATTGAATAACTGAAATCTGATCAGGTAAAAGATAGACCATAAATTTAGAGCTTCTAATGTACGTAAAATTTAATACCTAGCCAAAACAAAATGTAAAATTTGATACCTTGCCAAAACACGCCCATACTTTCTTTTGTTTTGTCGGAGCGAAACGCTAGGCCTACGAAACGCAACCTGTGAATACAAGCGCAAACACTTCATCAAACAAAATACAAGCGCAAACACAAGTACTGGTATGCGCTCGCATCATTATCAAAATGCAAACCCACGCCATGCATGAAGTTACCCATGCATACTTCATGCATATATTATATTTACCTTTGACCAACATGTACGACAGTAATAGACAGCTAAAATTTCTTAATCTATGTTTTTAGCTAACATTCGGTATATATAGATGCATAACGCATGATATGAATCCGACGCTCATTTCGAATTATCACACATCGTATGGTTGTGTAGATAATCCCATGCTCATATATATCAAGAAAAGCATCATTGTTGTAATTATAAAGACTTAACATATGCGAGCCAACTTGTTACGGCTTAACATAAACCACTAACCAGCTGCGTTACTTATATATATGAAGCAATATTCAACATTATTAAGGGGGTTAAGAAACTTCGTTTTACCAATGAGAAGAGGATCATATCCTTCGGAGATTTATATTCTCCGCCTCCACAAACCGCATGAGCACCAGGACGTCAGTAGATAACCCTGGAAAGTAAAAAGTTGCAAACCTTTACTTTGTGTTAGATATATATCATTTTATAAGTCTAGAATGAAAAAGTTAAAACAAAATGATTAAACTTGATCTTCTGCAATCTAATAAAAACATAACAATCAACTATTTTCTTTCAAGTGAATAGGTGGATCTTCATCTTCTTAGCAAATATTACGCAACTAATGACTTAATGAGCATGACCAAAACAATGAAACCTAAGATTAAAAACATGATCAAAATCAGATGAAAAACACATAAATCTCCTTCACCATATTCCAGTTACCGTTACATTTCTAAATACTTACGGAAATCAATATTGTTTCCACATCTCTAACCATATTATGTCATGGAGAAGCTATTTAATCGCCAACGTAACACAATTTCCATGTCACCATAGACATCCGTATGATTGATTGCATCTGTTTCATATTTTTACAAAATGATAAAAGTGAGTTTCGGGATACAAAAAAAAACAGGATGCTTGCTGAGAAGTATAAAGAAGATATATAAGAGAGAAGCTTTTCAAACCTTTGGAGAAGAAAACTGATTTGTGACCTTTCATTACTGAGAACTTAGACAAATGTAATGGCATATTCAAGTTCCCACAGGAAACTCAAAACCACTAGATTCTAGATCCCTAAACCTACAAAACCACTAGATTCTAGATCCCTAAATCTACTCTGGCGGCTAACATATATTAGTGGATGATAAAATAAAAAATAGATTTTCTTTTATACCACTCTCAGTTTAGTAAACCCTAATCTGAAGTTCAACAATTTAATTATAGGTGTAAAAGGCCATATCCTTTATATGGGTTCACTATTTAAGCCCAATAGGCCAATATCTATATATATAAAGTTCATGTTCCTCTCTTCTCGTTGCTTCTAAATTCACCATTTTGCCATGTCATCATTTTATTTGGCTTATTATATTTTTTCTTTTTAATATTTTAATTTCATAATAATTAGCATTCATTACCTACGTTGCATGGAAACTCCGTCCGAGTCGCGTTTCCCATTTCGGAAACGTTCCCAAAACGAAAACTCTCGGAAACTTGTCGGAAACTCGTTTTCCCACGTTTCCTAAAATTTGCAATTTGGAAACTTGTTGGAAACTCGTGTTTCCATTTTGGAAACTTGTGTTTCCCTATTTAGGGAAATTAACTGCTTGTTTTTTGAAAATATAATAATTTTATAATTACATAAAAATAATATTATTAATGGATTGTTTTAATTGTTTGAGACAATTAATTAATTTGATACATTAAATGGAAACTAGTCTTATTATTAAATACTGAGTTTGATTATTTAAAATCTTCCTCTTGATGAAAATAGTTGAAGATAGTTTGATTCATGAAATGCATAATAATAATAATAATATAATAAAATAATAGAAATATTTTTAATTTTGACATGAGACATTATAATATTTATCTTTAGTTTAACTATTTAATATCTAATATATATATATATATATTATTTATTTATTTATATTTATACACGTTTTCAAAACGTTTCCAAACTTATATATTTGAAAATACACGTTTTTCGTTTCGGAAACGTTTCGCTTCCGCGTTTCCGTTTCCATGCAACGTAGTTCATTACTATCATAAATTTAACAAGAGTATGAACAATCATTTTTTTTTTAAAAAAGGAGAAAGACTAGATCTACAAAAACTATTATTTAGTAAATTTATTTTTGTTAGATTATATAATTTACATTGATGTCAAGATATTATATAAAGAACACTGATTTTTTAACTATTTTGGGATGAAATGAGACAAGACCGGACATGATAAGACGAAAAAAACATAACGAGAGAAATGGGATAAGATTGGACAAGACAGAAAAATTAGCCATGACGAGATGAAAAAACGGAATGAGACGGGAATTGACGGGACGGGATGAAAGGGACATAATGGGACGAGAAGGGACATGACATAAATTTCACCTACCCCAAATTATATTTAGGGACCGGACAGAGAAGACAAAACGGAAAAAAAAAATATAACAGGACAGGATGGGACTCGATAGGGCGGACATGGCGAAACGGGAACGAGAAAGAACGGGACAAGATGAAAAGGAATGAAATGGGACGGGATGGGACTATACGGGAATTTTGTCTATCCTTAGTTATATTTAGGGAACGGGACAATAAGAAACGGAAGGAACATGATAAGACATAATAAAATGGAAAGGAACATAATGGGATAGGACGGGACGGGACGGGGCAGACAGGACGGATGAGACGAGAAAAGAACAGACATGATGAAAATGAACGAAATGGGATACAATGGGACAAGACGATACATTAATCTTGCCTAATCCTAATTATTTTTAATGAATATGTGTAATATTTTTTAAACAATAATAAACAATAGAAATAAACTAAATTTGCGGAAAAACAATAAAATTAACAATAATATAAATTCCGGATCACCTCCTAGTTTTGTTATATAGTTGAGTGTGATCAACCTCAAGTGAACCGCTGAATTTTTTTCCTTTACTGAATAAAAGGTTGTGGCTTTTGAGTTTCTCCGTTCTGCATCACTGCGATAGGTTCTCGCCGGCCACCGTGTTTCGGCCAGACTCGTCGAAAGAGTGTTAAACTGTTGACATTGAGATTAGGGTTTACTTATAACACCGCCGGTTTCTGCTCTTGCGATCCCAGGTACTACGTGCCCTTTCTGGAGGCGAAACTTATTGGCGTTGAAGCAAGCAGAAGCTTTAGCTAGGCTGGGCGGAGGATAGTTAACACTGATTGAATCTCAGATTAGTGATTACGTGTGTCACCATTGACTGAATTGAAGGTCTGTTATTCCGATTACGTAGAACGGTTCATCAGAAAGGTCTATGACAATAAAGGGGCAGAGGGTCAAGAGAGAG